AATTCTGGGCTTTCATAGACCCCTGCACTCTCCCACACCAGCCCTGCCCATGCTGGATCACCACGGGGGTCTGTAACTGGACTATGAACCCCTAAGGGTGGGGCAAGAGTTGTCTTGATCTCTGGGTCCCCAGCGTGATATAAAGGATGCACAGATTCCTGGGCTCCTGTCCCTCAGTGTTGACTCAGCATCCTCTGCACGACAAGCTCCAGGGCAGGTGCTGTGTGTTTAACAAGACGCAACACATCCCCTACTCTGTGGAGGTGGCTTCCAGTAGAGACCAGCCCACCAGCCATGGAGCAATCAGAGAAGATAAACCAAGGGAAGGAAATAGAGAGTGACGGGGTGCTGTTTTAGAGGATACAGCCAAGGACTTCCTGGGGAGATGATGCTGAGGAGAGAGGGAATGAGCCAAGGGAAATCTGTGTAGGTAGCACATGCAAAGGCCCTGAGGTGGATACCTGCTGGTTTATCTGGGGAGCAGCCAGGTGGTGCCACAGGCATGGCAAATTTATTAGTGGTCAGGAAGTTAAGTTAGAGGAATTGTGGAGGATTATATGCTGTAGTCTGTGGCACAGACTTCAGGCGGAAGGCTCCTCCAGTGGTGGAGGAAGGGATGGAGGAAACAAGACAGAAATGACAAAGAATCAGTGGGACCAACATTTGTCCCAGTGTCCAGTGCTTCACAGAGGGCCTGGCACATATGCCCGGCAGCAAACTGTGTGTGGTGTGCAGGCATAAGAGACCCAAAGCAACAGAGAAAAAACTCAGAGCCAGCTAGCTGGGTACACAGGCTCGTAGATCCCCAGAGGCCAGCTGAGGACCCAGGGACACCCAGGGACAACAGATGCAGACAGACAGCAACCTGGCTGAGCAGTCCCATTCCTTCCAGAACCCTCCCCACCCGGAAAGCTTCCCAGGAGCTAGAAACTCCCCCCCTACCCCGGGCCCCCTGCCCGCCTTGCCATGGTGTTGCCTACTCACACCTTGGGCAGAGGAAGCTGGCAGGCCCCACAGGAACCTCACGGTGCAGGGGGAGTGGGGGTAGCGGGCAGCGGGGACGAATGGAGAGGAGTGGTGAGCGGGCAGGCAGCGGGTAGTGGCTACACAAAGGCCCCAGTGTCTGCCACTCCTGCCCCCGGTCCAGATATAAATAATATGTACATAGGCCTATATATATATATATATATACCAGCAGGCCAGGCACAGGACACTGGGGCCGCGTGCTCCCCCAGGGGCCTGGCATGGCAGATCTGCCCCTGTGGGGGTTGGGGCTCAGGGATCCACAGAGACCAGGCTGGGCTGAGAGACTCACACTGAGGGAAGAAGGAAGCAGGACTTACGAGATGAGAGAGGCAGCCTGAAGTTAGACAGAAGCACACAGAGTGGTGAATTCCTTTGGAGACACAACAGAGAGATGGCTGGGGACACACAGAGAGAGAGGCAGAGGGGTAGGCCATCGATAGAATGCAAACAAATCCCAGAGAAAGGCAGTGCCATGGAGATACCTCAGTGAGAGCGGACGAAGGGATGGAGACAGTGAGAAGCGAGAAACCCAAAAAGAGAGACACAGAACGCTAGACAGATGCCAGGCTGGGCCACTGCTGGGGGCAGGGAAGCCGGTGCCCGTGTGGGTGGCGGTGACCAGGCCAGGACATCGGCTGTGGGGCTGTGGTCCGGCCCTGCCCACGCCACTGAGAGGCTGGGACCAGGGCTGAGGGAGGTGCCCTTGGTTTCCGGATCCTGCTGTTTACCTGGGGCTGGCCTCACAAACAGGCGCCCAAGCTGGCCCGTGGCAGGGAGGGTGGGACGGGCTGGGTCCCAGGCCTGGCACCAGTGGGCCTGACCCACCCACCTGTGGCCTGGGTGGTGAGTAATACACCTGGGTAGATGGTGACACATAGGGGAGCAGGGGCAGTGACACACAGTGACAGATATGGGCAGTCGCATGTTTTAACGAGTCGAGGGACCGAGGGTGACAGAGATATACTCTAGCACACAGTGACAGTCACCCCGAAGATGATGGCAGAACTGAAAGGGAGACATGATCACAAGGACCCAGGGAGGGACACTGGCACAGACACACAGGTCACACCGAAGCCCAAAGACACAGTGACACCAAGACACAGGCCTGAGGCCTGGGGACACGCACACGTGTACCCCGGCTGGGGGTGCCCCATAGCAGGTTGTGGCAAGAAGTGCGTTGACTTCCAGAAAGGGCTGGGGCTCCAGGACCCTGTGGTGCTGCTGTTCTCTCCTGGCCTTCTAGAGCGGTGCAGGTGCAGGGCTGAAGGAGATGGCCCCTGGGCCCGTCAGCCCTGGCTTAGTCCTAGCATTCTTCCCACTAGCTGTGTGCCCTAGGGCAAGTCACCTCACCTCTCTGTGCCTCAGTTCCAACCATAAAGTGTGGGGGCTTAGAAGGGATTGGATGAATCCCTCAATCAAGTCACACAAAACTGAGGTCAAATGTAAGCCCTAGTAGCTTTTAGTTGTCCTTACGTGTTACTATGACAGTCTCGAGCTTTCTGAGAAGAGAGCCCTCTGCCCACAGCTGGCTCTACCCTCACCTCTGTTTTGCCACCCACGGGCCCCTCCCTTGGACTGTGTCACCTCAGGCTCGCAGCCCAGGAAACCTTGTGTCCCAATGGCTACTACCCTTCCATTCCTGATGCCTGGCGTCCTCCTGTCTGTCCATGCGTCCCACGTCTGACCGTGGTACTTTTCCACACTGGACACCGGCCGGCTGTCCCTGGGGTGGGGGTCACACCTGCCTACGCTGGGCGAACCAGTGGCCACCAGACACCCTGAGGGATGGCCCCACCCTCCCCTAAGGACCCTACAACAACACCCCACCCCTCCGGCCACCTGAGGTCCCCACTGGGGCAGCCTCAGCCGGAGCCTGGGGACAGGAAGCCCCAGGCCTGGCCGCCCTGAAAGCCTCTTTCAGCCAGAGCCTCTCCCGCCACCACGGACTCCTCCCGCAGAATAATATTTGGGCTGTTGGCCGTGGGGCGGGGGCCAGATCCGGAGGCCGCCGGGGAGAAGCCAGAAACCGCAGGGCTTCCTGCCTCTGGCTGCCGGCTCGGGAGAGACCCCGGCCCGAGGGAGGGGCGGGGGCCGGGGAGACTGAGGACCTTTCTCTGGGCCCAGTTGTTTTTTCCAGAAACCAGGAGGAATTCCCCGGCCTGCCCAGGACAGCGAGGCTGGTGGGACGGCAGACAGGGAGCCAGCGCGGCAGGGGCGGGGGTGACATGCAGCAGCCGGCAGGGCAAGGCGGGCACAGCAACAGAAATAGAGGGCCTGGCCGGAGAAGTGGCAGGTAGACAGGGAAACTCAGGAAGTTGGGAGAGGGAGGGAGGCCAGGGAAGAAGAGACCAGAGATCCAGAAAATGAGCTCAGGAGATGGACTCGAAGAAAGGAAGCCAGAGTCCCAGAAAGGAGTGAGAGTGTTAGAGAAAGAGGAGACAGAGACACAGCAGAGACTGGGAGCCATCCCACGTGCAAGCTCACATGCACAGGTGCACACACAGATGCAGTATTCACTCTGGGAGGCTGAGGCAGGGGGATTGCAAATTGCAAGATTGAGGCCAGCCTGGACAACACAGTGACATTGTCTTAAAAGCAAAAAAAAAAAAAAAAAAAAAAAGGCCGGGGTGCTGAGAATGTAGCTCATTGCTAAGGTTCTAGGTTCAATCTCTAGTATAGGAAAAAAAAAAAAAAAAAAAAAAGACAATCTTTGATTTTTTTTTTTTTTTTTTTTTTTTTTGATACTGGGAATTGAACTCATGACCATGCACTTGCAAGGCAGGCGCTTATGCTGTGAGCTAAATCTCTGGCCCCCAATCTTTGATTTTTTAAATGATTCAGCCATTGGCAGGCTACCAAAGAATGTTTGAGTGGCCAGGGTGGCCAGAAAGCCCAGGACCAAGAAAGGCAAATCCAAAGACGCTATTGACGAACCCTGCCCACCCATCTCAGCCCTACTGGGTGACCTCGGCCAATTCCTTCCCATTCTGGGCCTCAGTTTCCACTCTACACAGAGAGCTTTGACATGCATAGTTGTGTTTCTGGGACAGGCATACCCTGAAGAGATGGAGAGAAAGACGCCTGGATCCCCAGCAAGACCCACAACCGCCAGAGGACTCTCATGGCCACAAAGGCAACAGACATGCAGCCCCTCCATGCAAGCATACACACCGACCCAACAGGGGCAGACACACAGCAGTGACAAGGGTCACACAAAATTGGCTATATAACAAGAGAGAGAAGCTGACTCCTAGAGATTTCATGGAACATGATGAGGTACAACACAGATCTCTCTCTCTCTCTTCTCTCTCACTGGGCCAGTGCTAAGTAAAAGGAAAAAGACAAAAAAAAAAAAAATCACAAACACAAGACAATGACAGTATATACACAAAGTCTGAGATACCACAGGAAGCTCCTGCAGAGTACTACAGACACACCAGCCCACCCAATTGACCAGTACAGACAAAGGACCATGTGGTAGACCACAGGCACCCCGGTGGGCATAGCGATTGTCCCCAACACACAGACACACACACACACATGCACGCACGCACACACACGTGCACGCCCATTAATAAACCCTAACACACACACGATCTCCAGTTTAACACCTTATCTATCATTTTTCCTTTTCCCCCATTTAACCAAAAACTGGGCAACCCCTAGGGACCCAAAGCCTCCAAGCTGGAAGTGTGTGTCTGGGAAGTGGGGGTGGGGATGAGATGGCCTTGGTCACCGCTGAGCCACCTCCCCCTGCTGCCTGGCCCCAAGGCTGCTGCGGGGGCTGTTATCTGTGAACAAACTGTCCTTGGGGTCAGGGACAGCAAAGAGCCAAAGGTCAGGTCGATGCCTACCCCAGCCCTTCCCCCAGGGGCAGCCAGTTCTTGGGGGCGGGAAGAAGAAGGGACAGGGGATCAGAAAGTCAGACATTCATCCAAGCCCCACAGGGCCCACCAAGGAAGAGAGACTTTCAGTCAGAGGCCGAAGTGGTGCCTTTAATGGTCAAACATAGCCAGTATCCCACTTCCCAGGCAAGAAATGGACTTCAGTAGAAACTCCCCACACCCTGACCAGCCCTTCTGGCTTCTCTTGGACACCTCTGGGGAGCTGGGCATTGGAGAAAATGGAGGAATCGTCTCACCTCCATCCCTCTCCCAGTCAACACCAAAGATACAGTGATAACAGCCAACACTGGGCCATGGTGGCTGTCAATGGTGGTCAATGACACATTGATGTCATATGGCTGATACAGTGGCCCTCCAAGGACCCAATAGGCCAAAAGAGATGCCATGCAGGATGATGGCCAACTCGGCACCTACAGAGCCAAGTCCACCAAAATGTAAGTGGTGCCAGCACCCAGTGGGTCATGGAAGATGTCACTGAGACGATATCACCATCACACCCAAAGGGCCAACCAAGATGTCATCCCAGATGGTGGCCATCAAAGTGCCCAAGGGTTCAATCAATAACATCAGCCTTGGAGGCACTAACATTGTCCGACTTGGTTGTCAGAGTACCAGTGGATCATCACAGTAAGTAATAGACCAAACAAGACATTACCCCAGGGACAAGCAGAGTGGCACCAGAAGAACCAGGCCCCAAAGGCCTGATGGCATGAGTCACAGCCGTCCCCTCCCACCACGTTCCTACCCTCCCCTGCTAGGATGCATTAAGCAGAGAGCGGGAATAGAGGCCCTGGTAGTAGACACCGGACTCCCCATTCTCAGCCCCATACCCCCCAAACCCCACGTCCAGTTTGGGTGGTGCCGGTGTCTGTTCTGACATAAGGTTGTTGATGGAAAAAGGGTGGTTGAAGTTGTAGGGTGCGTCCAGCTTCAGCTCTCCTGGGAGCTCCAGGCCGGTGAAATAGGGCGTGGAGGAAGTGGGGGAGCCGCAGTCCAGAGCCCCCACATCCTCCCCCGCACCCTGGGCCTCAGGCTCTGGGGGCGGGGGCTGCGGCTGCGGTGGGGAGGTAACAGTGGCAGCAGCGGTGGTGGTGGAGGCAGTGGACCCTGGGCTGGCCCTGGTAGCTGAGGTCCCACTGGTCCCTTTCTTCACCTTCTCCTCCAGCTTGAAGCGCTTCTGACGGCGCAGGTAGCAGCCATTCTCGAACATGTTGCCGGAGCTGGGGTGCAGGGCCCAGTAGGAGCCCTTGCCCGGCTTGTCCGGGGATCGAGCCACCTTGACAAAACAGTCGTTGAAGGACAGCGAGTGGCGGATGGAGTTCTGCCAGCGCTGCTGGTTCTCCCGGTAGTAAGGGAAGAGGTCCATGATCCACTGGTAGATCTCACTCAAGGTGAGCATCTTGCCGGGTGCCTGCTGGATGGCCATGGTGATGAGGGAGATGTAGGAATAGGGCGGCTTGGCGTGGGCCAGAGGTCGCCGGTAGCCCTTGGGCATCTCCTTCCCGTGTACCAGCCCAGACCCTGGGCCCCCATACCCAGAGCTGCTACCTCCGCCACTGCTGGCACCCAGGCCTGGGAAGGTGGGCCCCAGGGCTGCTGAGGGGGCAGGTGGTGCCAGAGGTCCTGAGGGCAGTGGGGAGGCAGGGACCCCCCCGGTGGGGTAGGGAGAGCTTAGAGGGTTTAAGGTCATGTAGGAGTTGAGAGGCGCCATGGTGGGCACTGGGGTTACGGGAGAGTAGACCTGCCAGGAGAGAAAGACGGGGGAAAGGTCAGTGCATTTCCACCAACCAGTAAGAAATCACAGGACCCACCGTGCAACTGTCCACCTGTTGGTCTTGCCGCAACAGTCAGGCAGACGATGCACACCTGTAACCCCAGCACTCTGGGAGGCTGAAGTGGAAGGATCGCAAGTTCAAGTCTAGCCTGGGCAATTTATTGTCTTAGCAAGAGTACAAGTCCCTTCTATCATTATCTCTTTCCAGAGACAGCTGTGCCTTGAAGCCTCCTCTTTCTCCTCGGATAACCACCCTGCACCTCCCCATTCTCCAACCATCATGCTCCCACACACACAAGAGGTCACACTTGAAGTGGTTCTCAGAGTGTGTTCCAGGACCCCCACCACCCAGTCCCTGAGGTCAAAACCATTTTCCAAATGACATCAAGACATTATTTCTGGGTGTGGTGGTGATGACTGTAATCACAGTGCTCCGGAGGCTGAGGCAGGAGGATCCCTGCGAGTTCAAGACCAGCCTGTGATACAAAGTGAGCTTAAGGACAACCTGAACTACATAGGGAGACCCTGTCTCAAAAAGAGAGAGAGAGAAAAAGACAATTATTGGCCTTTCTCTCTCCCTGTTTCATGAGCATTTAGTGGAGTTTCCATGACACTGATATTGACACAGAGAAGGCAGAAGCAGCTGATACTACAGCCAACTTCTATTGAGACAAATTTATTTGCAAAACTGTGACCCTGTTCTTCTTATTCAACCTTTGAAACATAGTTAGTTGTTGTTTTTTTTTTTTTTGGTCTTTTTCTTTTTTATCAGTACCGGGGATCGACGACTGCCTGCTTGCAAGGCAGGCACTTATGCCGCTGAGCTAAATCCCCAGCCCCTGTTGTTTTTGAGACAAGGTCTTCTCTGCAGTGCAGGTTGGCCTTGAACTCACTAGGTAGCCCAGGCCGGTCTCAGACTGATGGCAATCCTCCTGCCTCAGCCTACCAAGTGCTGAGGTTACAGGTGTGTGCTGCCACACCCAGCTCTGAAACATAATTATTTTAATAAAAACACATATATCTGTAATACAATTCATAGCCCTTTAAAAAAATAGTACTGAGGATTAAACCCAAGATCATTGCATTAAACAACATCCACATTCCAAGTCCTTTTTTATTTTTACTTTGAGATAGGGCATTGCTAAGTCACTAAATTGCCTGGGCTGGGTTTGAATTTGAGATCCTCCTGCCTCAGCCTCCCAGAGTCTTGGCATTACAGGCAAGCATCACCCTGCCCACCCATTAGGGCCATTTTAAGGTAGATTAATACACAATATTTTTAAAATGTTTCAGTTTCAATTTTGAATATGGTACGTACCGATAGACATAACCCACATTAAAAGAAACTGTTTGGGATCTTCAGTAGTTTTTGAGTGAAAGAGGTCCTGAGACTGAAAAATTAAGAAATCCATTTTTTGATTTGAAAAAAAAAAAAAACTGAGAAATTCACCAAAATTGGCAGTCAACTACAAAACTAATAAATTATAGTTCAATTTTAATAAGTAGTTAAAATAAATCTCTGATAATCTAGCCAACTATGTATCACTTTCTATCACTTTTTTATATTATAAATCTAGTAGGTTCTTTGTTTTTCTTTCTTTTTCTTTTTTAAATGAAAACTTGCCACACGGCCCAGGTTGACTTTTGAACTTAAGTGATTTTCCTGTCCCAACCACCTGCATAAAAGGAACTACAAATGTGTGTCGCTGCACCCAGCCTAAAAATTATTGGTTTAATTTATTTTACTCTTTTTAACTTTGGGGGAAGGGTAGGGCCATGATTTCTTTGTGTGGCTCAGTGGCCTTGAAATCATGGCAATCCTCCTGCCTCAGCCTCCCGAGTGCCAAGATTACATGTGTGTGCCACCATGCCTGACAAAAAAATTATTATTTTTATAGGTCAAAAATTTTATCTGGCTACCAATGTGGTGAATGCCTATAATCCCAGCATTCAAGAGGATCTTAAGTTTGAATCCAGGCTACAGATCAAAACCCTGTCACAAAAACACAACAAAATGTGATTAAAAAATCACATTTCAACCTAAAATATAAGTCATCAAATCTAAGATTCACTGTAAGTTACACACTTTTATATATCAATATAAAAGGAAAAATACCCACTTAGATAAAATCTCTGGATATAAAATGCGTTTCATTTTCAGAAATGTTTAAATAGGGAAAAATATGCTCAATGAAACATGGTAGGCATCATTTTGCCTCTGAAAATCACCCTCTATATATTCTTTTGTCATTCAACACATTTATAGGCCACCTGCTCTGTAGCACACTGCTCCCAGCAGTTCCCAAGAAGGATTAATGGATTAAATCTCCTTTCATCCTAAAGCCATGGTTGTGCTAGTGGTTGATAAGGGCTGGGGAGGTATTGATATGATGCCCATTTTACAGCTGAGTAAACTGAGGTCTACAAGGTTGTCAAGGAAAAGGAAAAGGCATCATAACTGGGATTCTGAATTCAGCCTGGCCCCCTTCAGACCTGTATCCTGAACCAAGGCAGACAGAAATGTCCTCATGGGTGGTGGTGACCGCCCATCACCCCAGCACTCTGGAAGACTTGGGCAGGAGGATCACAAGTTGGAGTCTAGTCTGGACAATCTAGTTACTTAGTAAGACCCAATATCAAAATTCAGAAAAATAAAAAAGGCTTGGGGGATGTAGCTGAGTGAGAAGGACCCCTGGCTTTCATAATCCCAGGTGCCACAAAACAAGCCTCCAGAGGGGACAGTGTACCAGGAAGACAAGCCGGCCCAGATAAGCAAGGAAAACATCAAAGCATTGCGGCTCCCCTACTATCTTCCCTCCATCTGCCCCATCTGCCCCGCCCCCTCCCCAGCTGAGTCAATCTCCTGGCCCTGGGGGTGCCCTGCCCTCGGAGGGAGCCACCTCGGCTGTGGGCTGGTGGACACCATCTGGTTGCCTGCCGCCGTAAGATCTGCAGGTCCCAAAGTCCAGAGAGAAGAGGGACTCAAGCAAGCCGCTGGGGGGGAGTCAGAGACAGGTGGCCACCAAGCCCAGGTGGTGTCTCTCCCCAGCAGCGCTCTCAGGCCAGCCTTCTGGAAGCTCCTGGTCTGGCCATTCATCCTCTGCATACGTCTGTCTACCTCTCCCTGTCTCCACACCAGTCTCCCTTCTGTCTCCTCTCCTGCCCTGCCACTTCCTTCACCCTCCATCCACCCTCCAACTCTCTCCTCCTGCCTGTGCACCCCAGTTCTTCCCCATCTCACCCAGTCCCTGCCTCTCGGCCATCCACCTGCCCCCCCTGGAGTGCTCTCCTGTCTATCCCACACCCTCTGGGTCTGGCAGGAGTTCTGGGGACCTCTGCTTCTCCCTCCCCCAGCACTGCTGTCTCCTCAGAAGCCCCCCCACTCACTGCACCCCCTGCTCTCACCCTAGTTGGGTGCTTCTGCCCCTCCCTAGAATAGGGAAAGAGGGGAGGTGACAGACTGCGGCGGGGAGGGTGTGTGTGTGTGTGAGTGTGTGTGTGTGTGTGTGTGTGTGTGTTTCTCTTGAGAGTACTAAATCCCCCAGCACCCTACCCCACTTCTCTAACCCGGAAGGGCTCTCTGGGACCCCAGGGCCCTCTTTTTCTAGTCCCACCCACCCGGAAGTTCTCTCTGAGGTCTGACCTCAAAACCTCCAGCTGCTCTAATCCACCCAGGCTTTCCCACACCCCGTGGCTGGGATGAACCCCTAGTGTCCGGCTCTGAACCGGATCTCCCCCCATAGGGCGGGGCTGAGACTGGGGGGAAGCTGTCAGGGATCTGCACCCCCACCCAGGAGGTTGGATTTTTCTCCCCTTTCATTTCCTTATTGTCTCCAAAGAAGGAAGAAGGGCGTGTCGGGGAGCAGAGAGAGGCCAGGAGAAATCAGAAGTCTGGTTTTCAGTCCCAGACTCTGCAGGTCTTCAGATTTCCCACTTTAAAATGAGGGAGCAGAGTTGGGCGTGGTGGCACATGCCTGTAATCCCAGTACTTGGTAGGCTGAGGCAGGAGGATCATTGCAAGTTTGAGACCCGCCTGAGCTGCAAAGTGAGACCTTGTGTCAAAAAAGTGTGTTTGGGTGGAACAGAACTAGCAATTGGGAGGCTGAGGCAGGAGGATCACAGCGAGATTCATGGCCAGCCTGGGCTACATAGTAAGTTCAAACAGTCCAAACTGTATAGTGATACCCTGTCTCCAAAAATTAAAAAAAATTTTTTGAAATAAATAAAATGGGGAAATAATTGGACCAGTGGTGTGTAAGGAATTGGGACCTGTGAGAACACCCCAAGGTGATAATTTTCCAGCAGCAAGGTACCAGCATCACCCCAGCAGGAGGGTGCTATGTTGAGAAATGGCTTAGGGACCCTATCTATTGGTTCTTGGTCTGGGTTGAGGGCCAGTGTTTCTTTCCCTGTTGTTCTGACTGATGGAAAGAGGTTGGCTATCTGATAGGAAGGCCGGGGAAAGCCTCACGGTAGCCCCCCCAAATCATTCCCAGCCCTCTATAGATTGGCTTTTCCAAACCCCCCTCCCATTTCTCGTTTCTGGCACAGTTTCCATACAAACTCTGACCCATTAAGATGGTCCCCCAAACACTGACTTCTGCCTACACTCACTCAATTTACTTCCTAAGGTGTCCCCTGGAACAGAGGCTTGTAGTTGTATTGGTCTCCTTAAATCCTATGCTCAGCTGTCCTCTCTCTCTAGTACCTGGGAGCCCCCACTCTACCTTTCCAGCAGTACAACTGAACCTCCAGCCACCCCACCTCCACCCCTCCAACATCTCAATCCCTTCCCCAGTTGGCCCTACCATGGTCCAACGTGCACCTCACACCTCCCCAGACCCAGGACAGGCCCCTCCTGGGCACCTTGCCAAGTCCCAAAAGCCTGGGGATCCAGGAATCTCACCCGACAGCCTCCAGCCCTAAGTAACCACCAGATCTTGACTCCTTGGAAAGCCCAGCCATTTCCAGCCCTACACCCCCACGTCAAGCATAGTCTCCTTCCAGGTTAGGAATCCAAGGGTTTAGACCCTGCCATGCCCACCTCCCCAGTCTCACAACACTGATTCCTGTGCAAGTGAGTGAAGCAGGAGTCCTTGCAGCAAGAGAAACTGGAGTTAGATTTGGGGAAGGACTATCTGCTGGGATGAGGATGTGAGGATGTGCCCCTGCCACCTACTCCAAGAAGCCTTCTTGGAGGTAAGACTGGATGGAGACTTTAGCAATGGCTGGGTGGTGCAGGACTGGGGGGAGACTGGAGGCGCCTAATCTGAAATCCTCCAGCCTCTGACTTGAGGAGTCTTGCTGAGGGTCATGGGTAGGGATGGGGCTGGGGACCAAGAATGACTACTGCAAAATCTGATGGCCATACCTCTTACTTTCAGGTCCCCAATGCTGATGCCATCTGGATGCCTGTCTATTCAGGCCACCTGTTATTTCAGATCTCCTAAAAGAAGCTTCATCTTTTAGAGAACCTCTGTCTCTTACCCCTGAGCTCTGCTGGTCCCTTATTTCTGATCCAATCTTAGATGGACAGCTGATCCTTATTCCTGAACCCCAATCCTAGTTTCCATCCCTCTAACCCCATCTTTAAATTAACTCTGTATTCTGACCTTGACGCCCACCTCAGACTTCTACAATGGTGACCTCCTCCTCCATCTCTTAGTTTCTAGCTTTCTCCATCCTTTTGAACCCCACTTCCTGAAATCCTCCAGCTCTGCTCCCTACCGTGGAGCTCTCTGATTTCCTACCTTTGGCTTGTTCATTTTAATTCCTTAGGATTTCGGAGCCCCAACATCCAGCCTTCATGCTTAAGGTGCGACTTGACCCTTGCTTGAATTTCCCACCCATGCTAGCCACCGGCCCCACTAGCTTGCCTAAAGTGCGCTCTGAAACCTTGTCTCCTGTCCCTCACTGCCACACCTGGTCTCCGTGTCCCGGGCTCCTAGGCTCCCCAGTTAGATGTCCTGGCCACCATTTGAGGGCACACTACTGTCCCTGACCCCCATTAAAGCCCACATCCCGATACCTGCCCCCCACTATCCCCTCCGCCATCCCGGAGGACACACCTCGCCCGTCTCCGGGTAGTAGCTCCACTCGGCCAGGTCATGGGCCTCCATCTTCACCGAGCCCAGCATCCCCCGGGCCTGCGCCCCCACCCGCACCGGCTCCAGCTCCGGCCCCGGTCCCGGGGGAACACGGAGGGCCCGAATCTCTTGGCGGGCACGGCCCGAGTTGCGACCGGCGCTCGCCCGTCCGACCGCCCGGGGTCCCGCTGTCCCGGGCGCCAAGGGAGGCGGCCACGCTTTATAGCCGGGACACCCCCGCCTTCGCCTGCCCCGGGCTCCCCTCCCACGTCCCCGAGGGCGGTGCGTCCGGAGTGGGGCGCCCCCTGCGGGATCGCCAGGAGACAGACCTCAGGCGCCGGGAGCCTCAGCCCTAGCACCCGGGAGCTGGCGATGGATGCAGGAGGAAGCTACAGGTGGGAGACACGGCTGATACTAAAGATTCTAATGGCAGAACTCGAGGGTCTTTTTACTCCAGGGGCTTCATCATGTCTACCCCAGAGGGCGAAACGCCAGAGTGCAGTTGGTCCGCTGTGGAGGAGAGGGGACTCGGGGCGCCACAAACTTCAGAGTTACCGAAATGCCAATAAAAGGACCGGTCAAAGATGCTCAAAACCAACCACATTCCTATTGGACAGACGGGGAAACTGAAACTTCCGACGGCTGCAAATGCTTCCGACTGTGTACAGGATGAGGACCAGAAGTGGAAAAGATCGGGGCCTCCGCTCAGATCCCAGGAGCGTGTCAGACCACCTCCAAAATCCAGGAGCTTTGCCCTCGGGTCTCCTCGCTAGCACTAGCTGACCGTCCAGGGACTCCAGACCTTTGTGAACTACACTTCCCAGTAGGCTCTATTTTAACTTCCGTTCTGTTCTTCCGTCATAGACTACATTTCCCAAAAAGTATAGCGCCCGACGGACTGAAAATGGAGGCCACTGGGGCGGAGACAGGCGGGGAGCGGAAGGCGGCCCGCGAGGCTAGAGCTAGGGGCGGGGGCGGGCCAAGGACTGGACTCCATTTCCCAGCGGCTCTGTGTGTGCAGAGTGTGCGCAGAGTTACGGCGTTGGGCGGAAGATGGCGGCGGCGGCGACGTCTGCGAAGAGGCGCTGCTGAGGGGGCGCGAGGGGCACGAAGGCTGGAGCCGCGGTAGGAGGGAGGCGGCGTGAGGGCCCGAGGACGAGGGACCGAGAGCCCCTGAAGAGGCCGTGGTGCGGGCCGGGAGGGCTACTGGAGGAGAGGGAAAACGCAGTGTTCAGGGCCCCGGTTTCTTCCCCTGCTCTGCACCCTTCGTTGGTGCCCCACTGCCCTCGAGGCAAAAGTTCCAGCGTGGCCCCCATTGGCGCGTTCACCCCGGGGACTTCGCCGGCTTCCACTCCGTGGCTTTACTTATTCGTGGCACAGGCACAACCGGTCTTTCGGTTCCTCAAACTCGCCATGCTCCTTCCCGCTTTGCCAAACTATCTCCTCTTCCCGCAACATCCTGTTACCTCTCTGGCTTGCCAACCCATTCATTCTTTGGGTCTCCACGCCGACGTCACTTCCTCTGTGAAACCTTCCTTTCCCGCCCTCCATCTCGAAATTTACCTGTTAAATCCACTCACCGGTCCCTGTTCTTTTCCTTGTTACGTGTGGTCTGATTTGTGATTAGGCTTTTTTGTGATTAGGCTGTTTGATTATGACTGTGACCATGGGCTCCGTGAGACCAAGTGCTAAATGGGTCATAGCTAGGGCTGCCCATCACACCGGAAATGCCCACTTAATGGTTGTTGAATGAATGAAAATTACTACTAGAGCCACTGTTTGGGTTAACAGGAGAAAAGTCATACTCCCAGGTGGGAGTGGGGCAATCTACTCTGTAAGGTGTCCACAGAGAGGGAAAGGAAACCCTGAAATTGTAATAGCAAAAAAAGATCACAAACATGCAGATGTTCTTTAGCGGGACGATTGGCTGAAAAAACTGATACATCCTCATAATAAAATGTGTGGCATGGGTTGGAGATTTAGCGCAGTGGTGTAAGCACCTGCCTGGCAAGTGTGAGGTCATGAGTTCAATCCCCGGTACCACCACCACAAAAAAAAAAAAAAAAGTGTTGCAACTATAAAAGGAAATGAAGAAAATCCCCATATATTGATAGAATGGGCTCCAACTTACATTAAGTGAAAACAAGTGGAAAGTAGTGTTTATAATACAGCATATAGTCAGCCTTTTCTATGCTAGGCTCTACACCTGTGGATTCAACCAACCTTGAATTGAAAATAGGAAAAATGTGTTTTTAAAAATTATTTCTTAAGCAATACAGTATAACATTTATGTACATGGTATTTGCATTGCATTAGCTATTATATAGTAGTTGAAAATGCATAGCAAGGGCTGGAGATTTAGCTCAGCGGCATAAGCGCCTGCCTTGCAAGCAGGCAGTCATGAGTTCGATCCCTGGTACCGATAAAAAGCAAAAAGACAAAAAAAAAAAAAAAAAAAAAAAAAAGAAATCAAAGGTGGGTGTAATCCCAGGCTGAGGGAGGAAGATCATTGTGAGTTGGAGACCAGCCTAGGCTACAAAGTGAGCTCAAGGCCAGCCTGCATAGTGAGACCCTGCCTCAAAAAAGTAAAAAAAAAAAAAAAAATCAAAGCCAGGCGTCTGCTGTAATCCTAACGCTCTGAAGCTGAGAAGGCAAAGAGGATCCCAGGTTTAAGCCCACCTGGGCAATTTAGCAAATTGAAAATAAACAAGGGCTGGGGAATAGGACTGTGCAAAGATCCTGGGTTCAATCCTCAGTGCTACAAAAATAATAAAAGAGAAAGTAGTACTTGTTGATTGGTTGCAGGAGGCAGGATAAGTACCAAAAATGAAGAGTACCAAAGAAATTGTTTTGGCCACAAAGGATAACAGGTCATGAGGCAATCTGCATTAGGCTATAGATTGTGTGTTGAGTGCCAGGACAGACTTTTTCCATCAGAATTTATTGAGTACTAATTTTAATGAGTTTTCAAAGCAGTTGAGTACCAAGATGTGACTGTGTGTATATATATTTTCAATAAGAAAGCAACTAAAAGGTAGAACAAGAAGCAGAACAGGAAGGGAAATAGTAAAAGATTTGATGGATCTTGATGTAGTATCATCATGAATAGAGTGGAGGGACATGCCTGTCATCCCAGCAGTCAGGAGGCTGAGGCAGGAGTATTGCCACAAGCTCAAGGGCAGCCTGGACTACATAATGAGACCCTGTCTTAAAAAAAAAGTAGAGATGGTGGAAAGGTTAACTGTCATGACTAAGGACAGCAGTACTGTAGTTGCCAGGTGGCTATACTCTTTGATTTTTAGGCACAAATTTGCACTGGAGAAAGTTCTTTTCAGACACCCAGTATTACATAGTAAGAGAGACTGATTCTGCATTCACACTGTGGTCTCTACCCCTTTGAGTTGTGTGCTGACAACCAGGTGACTACCCCCTGGCCTTCAGTTTCCTCATCTGTAAAAAATGGAAATGAAAAGCAGTATCTTTCAATCCCCGGCATGCATAAATAGATGAATACTTAAAGTTGTTGCAGTGAGGTCTAATGAGCTAACAGCTGTATTAGATATGCTTTTTCTTTCTTTTTTTGAGTACTGGAAATCAAACTCAGAACCTTGTGCTTCCCAGGCAGGCGTTTATGCTGCTGGGCTATATCCCTGGTCTTGCAACCGTATTAGAGTTGTGCTCAGCACAATAGTAAACAATTAGTAAATATTAGCTGCTGTTTTCCTGTTTGCTATCTAGGCAAAGCGCAGTAGCACTGAGCCCTGTGATTGGGGAGCTTCACTGGTGGGAGTGTCAAGCCATTCCGAAGGTCCTTATTTAGCACCTACTAGGTGCTGAGGACATAGAAAGTAAACAAACACACACACAAATCTCTGTTCTCATGCAGCTTCTGGATATGAATCGTTGCAAAATGCCATAGAGCAAACTAAAGCAACTCGGGTAGAGAGGAAGAAGTTGAAATAAGGTGGTCAAGGAGGGTGGGATTGGTGCTGCTGTCTGGGAGCTGGAAGATTCCAGGCAGAAGGGAAAGATACACAGAGGCTTTGAGGCAAGGATGTGCTGGGGCTGTGGACTGGGCAGCAGGGAGGCCGGGGAGGCTGGAATAGAAAGAGCCACGTGGGAGGTGGAGGTCAAGGTCAGCAAGGCCAGGTCCTGTGAGACCTCTTAGGCCTCGATGAAGGCTTTGGCTGAGTTGCAGCAAGTTTGGAGGTGACAGGCAGGCAGCTGCTGCATACTTACCCCTTCAGTATGCACTCGCTGGGAGCAGCCACTGTGTACACAGCATGTCTCTTTTAAACATGCCTTTTTCACTTGCAAATGATTGTTAATCATTCTCATTGGCAGTCGATGTAATATCCACATATTTTCCAGGTACAGAACAATAATAGTTGTATTCACCCAAGGTGTACTGTGTGTACTAACTCATTTAATCCTCACAAGAATCTGTCACTGGCCAAGTTTTACCAAAGAGGGAACTGAGACCCTGAGAGGCTGTTTCTCATCTCAGTTGGCTGCATGTGTAGGTACACAAAGCAGCAGAGATGGATGGAATTGTTGCTGTTCTGTGTTGCTGCAAGCTGCTGAGGCCTCTTTGTGATGACAGTACACTGAGAGTCCCAGATTGCTTTTACTGTGTTACCTTCCACTTCTGCTTTTTGGTTTGCCCTTTCAGTTCTCTTTTTTTTATATAAAGGGAGTATACAGTACACATTGTCTCACGCTTTATGGGTTTCCATGTTGGGTATGTATTCTCTATCACTGTAAAGATTTTCCTTATTCTCTCTCTCTCTCTCTTTTTGAGACAGGGTCTCTCTTTGTAATTCAGTCTGGCCTTAACTCACTTTGTAGCCTGGGCTGGCCTGCAACTCACAGTGGCCCTCTTGCTTCAGCCTCCCCAGTGCTGGAATTGCAGGCCTGTGAGACCACTCTCGGCACACTCTCTGCTACTAGGGATTGAACACAGAACCTTTCCCATGCTAGGCAAGTGCTCTACCCTGAGCTACATCTCTGTTCCTCTTTATTTAATTTTGAAATGGGGACTTGGTAAATTGTGCAGACTGACCTTGAACCTGTCCTCCTTCCTCAGCTTTCTGAGTGGCTGGGATTACAGATGTGTGCCATTGTGCTTGGTTAGCTGCTAGCCTTTTAATATGTAGATATATTAAAGTTCATGGTTTTTTTTTAAGCTGGCCTATTTGAAAACACTTGGTTTGCTTCTGTTATTTTGCTATGGTGATTAATGCTGTGATCGATATCTTTCTGTGTTAATCATTGTATAATTTTTCCAGGATGGCCTTGTGATAGATGCCTGGATGTCTCTTTCTTCCCTTTTCAAAACAGCCCCAAGGTGGTGCAGAGTGGCTGCAGTGTATTGGATTTAGCAGGCCTTTTCTGCTATAGGGAGTCCTGCTCTGCGTAGGGCATGAGGACTGGCATTTCTTGGAACTGCTTTGGACAGTTTGCTGTGATCCCCAGACCAGAGGACAGCTCAGATGGAAAGACAGGAGGCCCAGGGCAGCGAGACAGATTCAAGGATGAATCAAGGTCCCAGAGTTTGACTTAGCCCATTCTTTTCTAGGGAGCACCTGAGGGCAACCATGGCAAGCGGCAGTGGCGACAATGTCACTCGCCGGAGTGTGGCATCGCAGTTTTTCACACAAGAGGAAGGGCCAGGCATCGATGGCATGACCACCTCAGAGAGGGTGAGTGTGGTGAGGAGGGCTGGCTGTAGTCCCTGGTTGGAACGGGACACTGTACCCCAGACAGAGCTGGGTGTGACCCGGGCTGTCGAGGCCAGCTCTATAATGTTCCTCTCCCCTTTCCAGGTAGTGGATCTCCTGAACCAGGCGGCACTGATCACCAACGACTCAAAGATCACAGTGCTCAAACAGGTGGGCCAGGTGGGCAGGCTTAGGTTGGGAGGCTTGCACAGAAGACACTGGTGTCCACACAAGTGGGCAGTGTGTGGCCTCAGCAAAGCCCCGAGTCATGACAGTGTGCTGCCCATCATTCCTCTTCAGCACTGTGAGGCAGGGGTTTTGCCCCGATGTGGGCCACAGAGCTTGGACCCCAGGCTTATCTCGTTAGACTGATGTCACTGTGCTAGTGGCCAGCCAGACTAGTGCTAGAATTCTGGATTCCTCTGCTGTTTGTTGCATCTTCTGTCTACCAGGGTGCAGTGTAGTGGGGAAGCCATGTCTGTCACCAGATGGTGATGACCTGCTGTGAGAAGCCCAGGGGGCTTTGGGAGCCTGGTGTGGGGGGCATCTGACCTGGCCTAGGGATGGGGGTCAGTAGGTCTTCCAGTTCTGGAAGAGAGGACCCTTCGAGAAAGGCTCTGGGGGATAAGGAGGGAGGTAAACCACATCAGAGCTCGAGGTCATCTCAGCAGAAGGCATGAAAACCCTGCAAAGGCAAAGGAGAGCATGGTGCATACAGGAGGCAGCTGGAGGTCAGAGAAAGAACCCAGCCCTGCTGCTTGCTCACTGTGTGACCTTGGGGAGTCTGCAGTAGTAGGCACCAATGGCAGTGAGGGCTGTGACACTGAGCTGTGGGAGCAAGGGCCTGTGCCTGCAGGAGGATGTGTGGTGGGCTTATTCCAAAGAGCCTGCCAGGTGAGGGCCTCAGGAAATGACTCTCCCTGGCATATAGTGCTTGCTGAATGGTGCCAGTGTGTAGCCTCCTCATTGCCTGCCAGCACTGGTCTTGGTGGGTGCTCACACAGCCTTGTGAGTTGGTGTTTAGGATTCTCATTTTACAGCGTAGCTAGCCGAGGCTCAGAGAGGGAAAACTACTTGCTCAGGAGCCTAGAAGTGAGTGGCAGAGCCAGGAACCTAGACCCATGCTGTTTTCCCCTGCTGTCCTGTCTGTACGATTGGATCCTGGTTTTATGTCTGTTCCTCTTCCTCGACCCAATCTCCTTCCAGGTTCAGGAACTGATCATCAACAAAGACCCCACCCTACTGGACAACTTCCTGGATGTGAGTGACTGATAGAATGGAAATGGGGCTGGGCACAGGGCTGGGTTGCATCCTGCTGTGGCCTGACCCACCTTTCCTCTGACATGGGCAGGAGATCATCGCTTTCCAAGCAGACAAGTCAATTGAAGTACGAAAATTTGTCATTGGCTTCATCGAGGAGGCATGGTATGGGGCCCAAATTCAATTCCCAGTCCCACGCACCCACAAGAAGATGCAGTTACTTGCCCAGATTCACAGTTGTCTGGCTACTGCCCCTGTGCTTACAACAGGGCTCTTAAGTGGAGGTTAAAAGACCCAGCAAAATACAAACTTCAGGGGCACTGTTCTCAGCTTCCAGATGTGCTCGCAAGCAGAACACATGTGGTCCCTGATTGTCACCTGCATGCCATTTCTGAGTTATGAGCCCTGAATTCCCTTTACACCTGGACCCCAGGTCCCACTGCCTACCCTAAGGCCAGCTTGACTTTGTCCCTTTCCCTTCATCCCCCAGCAAGCGAGACATCGAGTTACTGCTGAAACTGATTGCAAACCTCAACATGCTCCTGAGGGATGAAAACGTGAATGTGGTGAAGAAGGCCATCCTCACCATGACCCAGCTCTACAAGGTGGCCCTGCAGGTGAGTGCTGTCCCATACTCCGGGATGTCCCAGCTGCAGGTTGTCGTTTTTTTTTACTGGTACCAGGGATCAAACTCACGACCATGCGCTTGCAAGGCAGGCGCTTATGCCGCTGAGCTAAATCCCCAGCTCATGCAGGTTGTCTTTACAGATGCATCTTCTGGAGGTCAAGCCAGTGAGGTCACACTGTTCATGGGCAAGATGTGCTTTCAGTCCTTGGGGGCAGACAAGGGGTGTAGTGTTCACTGGTTCAGGGGATCACCACTAACAAGTCCTTTCTTCCATGGTCTATTCATTTATTGGTTTAACAGACATTCCCCCAAGTACCTCCTTTGTGCACAGCCAGTCCTAGGTGATGCCAGGGACCCAGAAGTGACCACACACTTGGGGTTCTGCCTTCGTGGTGCCTGTAGCGCAGTGAGGGAGATGAGTCTCATTAGAGAGTAAGGAGATGCTGGTGTGGACTGCGGGATAAAGAATTGCTGTTAGTATAAGGTTCTGTGGCACTGTGAAGGGAATGAAGCCGTTTAGCACGAGTCCCTTGTGAATCAGTGTTACTCTGTTGCATTCCTCAAGCTTTGAGAATTTGCTAGGTTTTCACCCCTGTTAGCCCCATCAGACCTGTCTTGGGCCCCACTGTTCCAACCCAGCATGAGCCAGCTCTGACATGGGGAGATGGGAACTCAGGAACTGTTACCAGAATGAGTATAGGGTCTCTAGGTGGAAGTGGAGGACGTTGGGACTTGATGTGTAACCTCCACATTTCTCTCTTCCGCTCCTCCCTGGTCCCATGGCAGTGGATGGTGAAGTCACGGGTCATCAGTGATCTGCAGGAGGCCTGCTGGGACATGGTGTCTGCCATGGCTGGGGACATCATCCTGCTGTTGGATTCTGACAATGATGGCATCCGCACCCATGCCATCAAGTTTGTGGAGGGCCTCATTGTCACCCTGTCACCTCGCATGGCCGACTCAGAGGTTCCCCGGCGTCAGGAACATGACATCAGTCTGGACCGCATTCCTCGAGACCACCCCTATATCCAGTACAGTGAGTGCTGCCCGGAAGCCTGCCTGTGCTAAGCCACAGGCACTTTCTCTGCTCCATGCCTCCTCCGCTCCTGCCCTGCTGGGTTGTTAGTTCCTGGAGTGCAGTGCTTAAGAGCCTGAAGGTGCTTCTGTATTATGCATTTGAGTAGGCTGCTTCTTCCTAGACTTGATTTCTCTTTTTTGTACAGTGAAGAGGACAGTGATCCCTTCCCGTGGACTGTGGTGAGGCATTATGGCACTGTGAGAGAATAGGTTCCAGCTAGTAAGGTTTTATGTTTGTGTTAGAGGGGTTTTTGCTGTACCGGGGCCTTCCCATGGAGGTTTTTTATTTTATATTTTGAAGATAGGGTCTTGCTGAGTTGCCCAGGCTGGGTTCAAACTTGAGATCCTCCTGCCTGAGCCTACCAGGGTGCTGAGATGATAGGTATGTGTGATCATGCCAGACGGCCAGTTAGTTTTATGCTTTTCTGAATTTCAAATTATAAAAGTAGTACATATACACTGCATGTGTGTCCAGCAGCATGGAAAGGTATACAGGGATAATCCCTCTCCTCCAGTGCTGCTCTCCAGAGGTGAATACTGTTAAGGGAATTCTATTTCCGTCCATACCGTTCCTGTGAACTGTGGATGTTTATATAAGCATGGTGTCTGGTTTGTTCCCTCTTTTGTTTATGAAATGATCCCATGCTTTCTATTTTTGGCTGGACATCTTTAGAGTGTAGTGGCTCGTGTTCAGATTTCAGCTCTGCCGCTGGCCTTAGGACCCATCTTTCTTTCCTCATTGCTAAGTTGTGTATTGCCTGAGTCACTTTCCTCGTTGCTGGGTCAAAATAATAACCACAACTTAAAGGAGGAGAGGTTTATTTTGGATTGTGTTCACATCTCCCAGGTTTAAATAACAAACAGCCTGACGAAAGGGCCTGGATGGAGCAGAGCTGCTCATGTCACATCTTGAACTCACTGTATTGAACTCACTATGTAGCCCATCTCACTATGTGGTCTTAAACCTGTGGCAGCCCTCCTGCTTCAGCCTCCAGAAGGCTAGGATTACATGCATGCATCACTACACCTGCCTTTAGGTTGTATTTAATTCACTCTTTAAAATAAAATGGAATTCAGTGTGTTTACCACCAGAGTTTTAAGTGTTAACTCTCAGGGTTAGGATTGAGGACGCTGCATAAGGAACTTTGAGCTCTTTGTGTGTGTGTCAACCAAGTTCATGTAGTCAGTTTTCTGTAATAGGGTATTTAAAGTTATTTTTATTTAGTCTTTTGCTTCAAGCCCATGCTTTGAATATCCTCATAACTTAGTTTCTATACTTACTGATATTCATGGAACTCATCAGATTTACTAATGTTTTTGCATTTTCTAGCCATTCTCGGACATCTGAGTACCAGAGTTCTCCCTTCCTTTAGGTCCCCGAACCTGCTCTCTGCCTCTGTCTCTCTGGCTCCCAGTCCCTCTCCCTCTCCAGAAGTCTGGGAAGAAGTCAGCACTCACCGGCTGTGTTCTTCCTCATCAGATGTGCTATGGGAAGAAGGCAAGGCAGCCTTGGAGCAGCTGCTTAAGTTCATGGTGCACCCCGCCATCTCCTCCATCAACCTCACCACGGCGCTGGGCTCCCTCGCCAACATCGCCCGCCAGAGACCCATGTTCATGTCGGAGGTGATCCAGGCCTATGAAACCCTGCACGGTAGGTTGAGCCCTCCGCCCCAGCCCAGCTGCAGGTTCTGTGTTAAGTAGGCGCTCTACTGTCAAGCTGCTGCCACAGCCTACTCTGCCCCCTTCCTGAGCATCAGCCAGCTGGGTGCTGAGTGTACTCTGAGTGTCAGTCATCGGTCTAGCCTGTTGTGTGCACACATGTGGAAACTGGTGTGTACCAGAAACCTGTCCTAGACTGCCTTCAACGCTGAAATGTATGTGAGAGAAGTGAGGTGGTATCTGTGAAATACTTGCTAATATCCCAGTTTCTCCTCCAGCTCCCACCAAAAAGAGAGACTAGATGTTCCACAATCATATTTGTTAATGAATACTTGGAAACTCATGATATTTTTTCTACTTCTGTGCATGGATAAACACTGGGGTTTGGGTTGAAGTGTGTGTGCAGGTTGTGAGTTGGTCTGTTGCATGGCTCTTTGCTTCCTTATGTTGGCTTGTTGCCTTGTTATCTGGCTATTTCCTTTGGGTAGCAAAGATGGCCTCCCAAAGCTCTAGACCTCTATTCCATCCACTTAGTAACCTCAGGAGGAAGAGTATCCCTTTCCCCATCATTCCGCAAGAAGCCCATGCTCATTGTTTCTGATTGGTCAGCAGAGGTTTGAGCCTACCTCTGAGCCAATCACAATGGCCAAGTGAATGCTGTGTTACTGGCTCCAGGTCTCATTCACACTTGGATGGAGAATGGAGACAGAGTGGTTCCCTCAAAGGGGAATGGGAGTGTTGTTGACTGAAGAACAGACAGCATACACCGGGCAGGCTAAATTACAAGCATCCTCTTTGGTTCCAGAGCAGGGAAGGCTAGCTCTTCAAGGTGACCCTCCGACACTGGGGTGTCATTCTGGTGGCGGGGAGACCAGCATGAGGGAATCGGTGGATGTGAAGGGGGCAGTTATATTGCTCCCTACAAGAAGCATTGGAATCCAGACCAGAGAAGGAGGGGTATCAGACTTAATGCTTGATAACACTGAGGCTGGCTTTTTCTGTCTAAGGGACTAACACTGATGGAGGTCTCCCAAGGGTCCTCTGTACCAGCTTGTTGGGGGAGAGCTGCGCACTAGAGCCGAGGCCATAGCAACTCTCTTAGGACGAGCCTGCAGGCCCTCTGCCTGAGTTGGGGGTTGAGGGTGAGTCCAGTAGGACCCTGAGAGCGTTCCCGCACAGACTCCTGCCTCTCTCCTCATAGCCAACCTGCCCCCAACGCTGGCCAAGTCTCAGGTGAGCAGCGTGCGCAAGAACCTCAAGTTGCACCTGCTGAGCGTGCTCAAGCACCCGGCCTCCTTGGAGTTCCAGGCGCAGATCTCCACACTGCTGGTGGACCTGGGCACGCCTCAGGCTGAGATCGCCCGCAACATGCCCAGTGGGAAGGATGCCCGCAAGCGGCCCCGGGACGACTCAGACTCCACGCTCAAGAAGATGAAGCTGGGTGAGCAGAGTGCTGAGGCCAGCCTGGCGGGAGGCGGTGCAGGGCCACACTGAAGGTGTGCTTCATTTGTGTGAGTGTTACAAATCATGCGGTACAACACGATGACACACAGTAAGCACTGGGGGTAATTATTAAGGCCTGTAACACTAACGGTGCAGAAGTGAAATGAAAGTCGTCTTGGGTTTATGCCTCTCCCCAGAAGTGACTGCTCCTGCCGTGACTGTTTCCTGTCAGAAGGGCTTTGTGTGTGCAGAGCTGTCCTTTGTTTTGTGGGTAGCACTGGGATTGAATCCAAGGCCTTCACACTGAGCTACATCCCTGACTTTAGTTTTTCTTTTTTGTTGTTGTGGGGTTTTTTTGTTTGTTTTGAGATAAGAGTAAGTTGCCCAGTTGGAACTCAAATTTGAGATCTTCTTGCCTCAGCCTCCCAAAAGGCTGGGATTACAGATGTGTGCTGCTGTACCTGAATTCTGTTTTTTATTAATGATGGCAACTATGGCAGCTTCCTTAACATCAAACATTTTTAAAAATACCACTTGTGTTTATTTACGAAGAACTCGTTTTCATAGTAAAAAACAGGAATTCATTGGGTGAAGTAGTACACACCTATAATCCCAGGACTGAGGAGGCTGAAGCAGGAGGGTCGTTGTGAGTTTGAGACCAGCTGGGCTGCATAGCAAGACCCTGTCTCCAAAAGAAGCGTGTGCAAAGCACAGATCTTCATTCCTTAAATGTGGGCCTGTTTTTAGGGGCAGTACTTAGAAGGGGAATTGCTGTGTCCAGGAGAGGTGCACGGGGCTGGGGATTTAGCTCAGCAGTGTAAGCGCCTGTCTTGTAAGCGTGTGGTCATTTGATCCCCGACACATTTTAAATTGTGACTTGCTGTCAGATTACCCTTCCAGAAAGTGGTGTGTTTATTTTTCCACATTATGCCCCTACTAACCTTTTTAATTTTTGTCAGTCATATAGGCAAAAACATACTGTCTTATTAGGTCTGGGTATTTGGTTTGTTTTCTGCATTTCCCCAATTCCTAGTAAAGTTCAGCACTATTTCACAGGCAGCAGGTTGCACACACAGAGCTCTGAAATTACTAGTTAGCTTTTTGTAACTGACATTGTCTCGAGCTGGAGCTGCAGCTCCTTGGTGGAGTGCTTTGTGGTGTACATGAGGCCCTGAGTTTCATCCCCAGCACTGCAGAGTAACAGTACCAGTACGAGTACTGGCTTCTTAGGGCTTAGTGGTATCAGCTATGGGGATTTGGCTTATTCATATCCCAAATGAGGAGAACTGAGGCCAAAAAGGGAGGTTGTTGCCTAAGGTCACATGATGCTTAGTGGCCGATGTGGGACTGCAGCCAGGCTCCTTGTCCCCTAGGCTACTCTTTGTGTGCCAAGGCCAGCAGAGCCAGGGCCCCCATAGCCTCCTGGCAGAGCGTCTGCTGCTCTCTTTAGAGCCTGTGTCTTGTTCTCCTCCCTGTCCCAGAGCCCAACCTAGGGGAAGATGATGAGGACAAGGACTTGGAGCCCGGCCCCTCAGGAACCTCCAAGGCTTCAGCCCAGATCTCAGGCCAGTCAGACACAGACATCACAGCTGAGTTCCTGCAGCCTCTGCTCACGCCTGACAACGTGGCCAACCTGGTGAGGACGCTGGGGACGTGCCGCCCATGGCGGGAGAGAGGGCCCCCCTCTTTCCCCTGTTGCCTGCACATTGGCCACATGTCCGTCCTGGGAGGGGTGATCCAGAAGGCCGTGCATGCTTCCCTTGCTGGGCTCCTCTCATCTTTGCTCCCTCAGGAGTCACTTTCCATCACCACCCAGTGGTCCCTCTTTGGGTGGTCTCAGTCCCCATCCAAACCCGTTCACATCCCTCACTTTCCTCTCCTGTAAAGGGGACGTCTGCTCACTGGCGAGGCTGGGGTTTGGCTTCTTCATATACCAAACAAGGAAAACTGAGGCCGAAGAAGGGAGGCTGTTGCCCAAGGTCACATGATGCTTCAGTGTCTGAAGTGGGACTGTGACCTGGCTTCTTGTCCCTCGGGCTGTTCTTGTTTGCCAAGGCCGGCAGAATGTGGCAAAAAATGTAGGGTGGGATTGATTGGTTCGCTCTGACTCTTGGGGCGCTGAGCCTCATTGAGGGCAGCCCTGGTCGGCCTCAGTCACTGCCGTTTCCCTTGCGCTGGCCTGGACATGGGACTGGTACTTCTGGAACTTGTGACTGAGAGAGACTCCTGCTCTGGGCATCCCACAGGTCCTCATCAGCATGGTGTACCTGCCCGAGACCATGCCCGCCTCCTTCCAAGCCATCTACACCCCTGTGGAGTCAGCAGGCACCGAAGCCCAGATCAAACACCTGGCTCGGCTGATGGCCACACAGATGACGGCAGCAGGACTGGGTCCAGGTGAGAGGCCTGGAGCTGGGCTCAGCGTTCTCATTGCCGAGTGCTCCCTCATGGGGGTGCAGAGGAAAGTCACGGCCCCCAGGCGTGCACAGGGCCAAGGCCCCACAGGTGGATGCGTGCTGTGTTTTCAGGCTCTGGGCTGGAAATGTGACAGACCTGGGTTTGAGGTCCAGATTGAACCGGGCTGCTGCTTCATCCACTTAATTGCCGAGTGACTTCCACTGGGTTACTGCACCTCTCTAAGCATCCATTTGTCCTGATTTCAAAAGTACTTTTGAAGTATGTGTATGAGGAAACCCACAGCTCTAGACTGTTTTTCCACCACTCCAGAAAGTTCCCTTGATCTGTCCAAGTGTTGCTCAGGGATAACCACTATTTGTTTTGTTTTGTAGCACATTTTATGCTTTTTGATTTCCCTAATTATTTCTGTAAAAATATAATATCGATTTATAGATGAAAATAAAGCTGAGTAAATACATAGTGTTGTACAATCTGGAAAGATAGTTTTATGTTTTTTCCCTCACACTATTCTAGGATCATGTAGAATACTAATTTTTTTTTGTCTTTTTCGTTTTTTTTTTTTTTTATCAGTACCAGGGATTGAACTCATGACTGCCTGCTTGCAAGGCAGGCGCTTATGCCGCTGAGCTAAATCCCCAGCCCCTTAGAATACTAATTTTATAACCATAATCTGAGTTCATATCCCTTTTCTTTTAGTATGTTATCTAAATTACACAGCAGCACCAAATTTTTCTATTCAGTATGTCTTATAAAGTACAGTCATGTGCTGCTCAATAATAATTTATAACCACTGTTCCAAGTTTGGCCTTCAGAGAGTAGTTTTGCCTTTTTTAAAAAAAAATTTTTAATTATTTTTATTTTAAAGAGATTAGGGGGCTGGGGATTTAGCTCAGTGGCATAAGCACCTGCCTTGCAAACAGGTGGTCGTGAGTTCGATCTCCGGTACCGATAAAAAGGAAAAAAAAAAAAAGAGAGAGATTAAAACCCAACAAAACAGAATTAATCCAGTCAAAACAAGGCAGTGAAAGTGGTACAGAACTTCAAACAGGATAATAGGAACTCAACAATGGCAACCATAATATATCTTATCTTCACAATTGTCCATCAAACATAGTAAAGCCAAATAGAATAAAACCAGTCAAAACAGAACACTGAATAAAATAAACCAGCAAAACAAAAGAGATTAATAATGGATTTCAAAAACAAGGCAGAAGGAAATCCCTCGTATTTGCTCTCTTCCATATAGTCATCCTCCTAGTAGGTGCTCAGACTGCCAGCCTTAGGCCTGCAAAGCCAGTCAAACGATACAAGCCTTCAGTTGTTTCTGAACCTCAGTTGTTATCAGCTCAGCCTCTCCTCTGACTCAGCCAGTTTCTAGGAGTGAAGAGTAGTTTTTGATTTTCAGCCGGTCACCAATCACCTCATGGGGAGGCGATCTGGTTTCTTCCTGGGTCCCACACAGTTTGCACAACTTACCTGAAAGTCAAGCTAGCTTCTTAGTGTGGCCCTCCCAGACCCTGCATGGCTTCTGCCTCTTTTTTATTTTCTTTTTGAGACAGTTCTTGCTGTGTAGTTCAGGCTTTGAATTCACTATGTAGCCCAGGCCAGCTTCAAACTTTTGGCAATCCTCCTGCCTCAGTCTCCCTAGTGCTGGCATTAAGTTTTGCCTTTCTTGAACTTCACCATGTAGGTGGCGTCACAGAGGTTGGCCTCTTTTGCTCACCATAAGTTTTTGAGCCTGATATTGCAAACTAGCAACTTATTTAACTGCTCAGTAGTCTTTCGTTATATGAACACAACTCTATGTTGTCTCCTGGTGCTGAGCCTGTGGCTGCTTCCTGGCCTTGCCTTTTGTGGAAGAAGCTGCAGTGAATGCTATAGTCTGTGGCGGAACACATGCCCTTCTCTGCGCCCAGCGTGTTCAAGAGCAGGGCTGTTAGGTCATTGGGCAGGTCGATCCATGCAGTAGAAACTGCTTATCAGGTTTCTGGAGTGGCTGCACTGTGTGATGCTCCCCACAGTAGTGAATGGCATTACTGGTTTGAATCTCAGCTGGTACACTGGAAACTGGAATAGAGTACCTGTTCCAGGATGATGCTGGGCACGTTGCAAGGGCATTTATGTGAGCCAGGCCGGACACTCAGCGGTTTCCCTGGTGGAAGCGGACAGGTCTCACATGCTGGGGTCCGGTCTGCTGCCTCCTGCTAGGTGTGGAACAGACCAAACAGTGTAAGGAGGAGCCCAAAGAAGAGAAGGTGGTGAAGCCAGAGAGCGTCCTCATCAAGAGACGCCTGTCTGCCCAGGGCCAGGCTATCTCAGTGGTGGGCTCTCTGAGCTCCATGTCGCCCCTGGAGGAGGAGGTGCCCCAGGCCAAGAGGAGGCCGGAGCCCATCATCCCTGTCACACAGCCCCGGTGAGTCCCTTTCTAGATGCTGCGCTGGGCTGAAAGCCCTGCCTTGGGGGTTTGGTTCTGAGCTCCTCATGTGCACACGTGCATGTGTGCCTCTGTGTGTGTGTGTGTGTGTGTGTGTGTGTGTCCCCACCCACACATGCACACAGATGGTCTTGATGAGGTTCCCCCTGACTCTGGACTCAGCAGTAACTGCCAGAGCTTTGTAGTTTTTTGTAAAGGTCGCAGAGCGCCTTAGGAGAAAGCTGCTACTATCCTCTTAGCTCCTGGTGACAGTCGGGTCACTCAGCTTTTAGGTCTTGGGGTTGACAGCGATTGTGTAAAGCATGTGGCCTGATCCTTACCCTGCTGGCTGGTCCCTTCGTTCTCGTCCTCTGTGTCCCGTACAACCCCAGCATCCAGCCAGACAGCTCCAGCCCCTCCAAGGCTTGCTCAGTGCCCAATAGACCTGCCGTTCCTCCAGGCTCCAGGCTCCTTTGTTATGTTACAGCCACAGCGAGTTCCGTGTGAGTTTTCCCTACTTAACTCTCTCTGCTTGAGGCTCAACCCTGGATCTGGGTGCACCTTGGGCCCTCCTTCGCTCTGCCCATCACAGGTGTCCTCACTGCCCTCTTCCTGACTCCTTACCATCAGGGACCTGGGAGTCAGGAGGCGTGGACAGATAACATCTCTGTGAGGCCTGCCTCGTCCCCCGAGTGGTGAGAGTCACCAGATAGGCCTGGGCTACAGCAAGGATGCTCTAGGTCACCGTGTCCCTGTCCCTACTCTCGCAGGCTGGGAGGTGCTGGTGGGCGCAAGAAGATCTTCCGTCTGAGTGAGGTGCTGAAGCCCCTGACTGACGCCGAGGTGGAGGCCATGAAGCTGGGCGCTGTGAAGCGGATCCTGCGGGCCGAGAAAGCCGTGGCCTGCAGCGGGGCAGCCCAGGTGCACCCGGTCTCCATTCCAGCTGACTCTTTGGAGTCAGCTTTTCCTTAGCCAGTCACACGGCATTTCCAGCAGTGCAGACACAGCACGGCCTCTTGGCCCTTATCTGCATCCTGTCCCTTACCCAAGGGTGACGTGATACACAAGTTAGGAGGACCTTTCGAGATGTTTTTCTGGGCTTTTTGTTTCTATTAGGTTTACTGGTGTAATTTAGAGCTATATATTAATCACATTCATCAAAGGGAATTTGTACCAGTACATGACATATTTTGGTACTGCTTTTTTTCCTCCATTTCCCTGCCCTCCCTTCAGTCCCTTTTCCCCTTCTTATTTACAAAGCTTTGTTTCTATTCTGTCTTTGTTTTTTCCATCCTTTTCTCCTCCTTTTTCTGTGTTCCTCAGTACTCAGGTATCCTGGAAACTCACTTTTATTCCGTGAACAGTGGATGTTTTGTTTCTTCCCCTTCTCCTCTGCCCTGCCACAGACAGGCCCTGCTGGGTGTAAGGTTCTTCAGCTTCCTTCCTCATGTCTGCACCAGGGGTCCCAAGCCTGGCCAGTGTACCCAGGTTACCCCCAACACCCCCCCCTCCCCACTGACACACCTGCTTGCTGTCCTGCCAGGTGCGCATCAAGATCCTGGCCACCCTGGTGACACAGTTTCACTCCGGCCTCAAGGCTGAGGTCCTGTCCTTCATCCTGGAAGATGTTCGGGCCCGCCTGGACCTGGCCTTCGCCTGGCTCTACCAGGAGTACAATGCCTACCTGGCAGCCGGCTCCTCTGGGTTCCTGGACAAGTACGAGGACTGCCTCATCCGCCTGCTGTCTGGCCTGCAGGAGAAGCCGGACCAGAAGGATGGGTGAGGAGGTGGCCCATGCCCTCCTGCCCCCTCCCTTGCTTCCCCTTCACTCTTCCCTGTCACTGTGTTGCCTGTCCCTCTGCCTCTCTGCAGCTTGCTGAGTGTCCTCTGTTTCCCCTCTGTGGTAGCTGTTCCTGCCCCATGGGCTTATGTTGTAGCTTTCTCCCTTTGCCTGGTCTCTGGCACCCGTTTGCCTTCCACAGCAGCCCTAGTGACAGAGTAAATTGTGTCTGGTTACCTTTCCACTAAGGACCTTGCCTGCAGGATAGAACACAGCCTCTTTCTGTCACCTCTGCCAGCACATCACTGGCCTTGGTCTCCTGCCTGCATCTCCAGTGTGCTAGTGTTGAGAACCTTGAGCACCTCTAGTCCCTCTACCTGTAGCTACGCCCCTCCACCCCCCCATTTAGGCTCTTTGCATGGTTCCCTACTGCTGCTACTGCTGCTGCTCCCCCCCCTCCCCCAGAGTTGATGCCCGGCTCACCTCACTGCCTCCTCCTACCCTCACTCCTTCCCCTGACTGTAGGAAATGAGGGGAGTTAGGAATCCCCAGCTGGAAGAAGAAGAAACTGGATTTCAGAGAGGGCAGATCTCTGCCCAAACCAGCCAGCTGGCAGCTTGTCACATCCAAAGCTCTGTGGCCAGGGGCTGAAAAGTTGTCCCTGGGGTAGGGCTCTGGCAGCCAGGCTCCCCCAGCTATGTTCTGTGCCTCCCTCCGGCAGCATCTTCACCAAGGTTGTGCTGGAGGCACCACTTATCACTGAGAGTGCTCTGGAGGTGATTCGCAAGTACTGTGAAGATGAGGTGAGGAGGCAGGCACAGTCCTGCTGGGTCCGCAGGGGCACAGCCTGTGAGGGTGCTGATGAAAGGGGGTGAGAGGCAGACCCTGTGGTGCCCTGTGGCAGCTGAGCCCACTTCCCTGCCCTGCCGCAGAGCCGCACCTACCTGGGCATGTCCACCCTCCGAGACCTCATCTTCAAGCGCCCATCCCGCCAGTTCCAGTACCTGCACGTGCTCCTGGACCTCAGCTCCCACGAGAAGGACAAGGTGATCCCCACACCATGTGCTGGGCCACACTCAGCAGTGTGCCAAGGCCTCTCTCTATCTGCAGGGAACACCCAGGCTTTCCTACCATCCCCTGAAAGTTTTCAGCATCTGAGCTGCTAGGAATGGCAGGATGTTGTGCCTGCCTCTTCCCACAGGGTGTGCCCTTGTCCTTGGGACAGGGGAGGAGGGATTGAACTGGGGCCTTCACACTCAGCTGCATCCCCATCCCATTTTATTTTGAGGCAGGGTCTCATCAAGTTACTAAATTGATCAGGCTGGGCTTTCATTTTGCAGTCTTTCTGCCTCAGCCTCCCAGGAGAGCTGAGGTTAGGCATGTACGACCACTCCCAGTCCCTTTTTTTTTTTAAACTTTGAGACAGTCTTGTTAAGCAGTAAGTTGCCCAGGTTGAGTTCAAACTTGTGACCTTCCTGCTTCAGACTCCGGGGGCTGAGATTGCACTCCTGGCACCCATTCATCCTCTATTCCTCCCGTTTTTGGTGAACTTGAGCTCCTGTTTAGGCCTGAAGCCTGGAACCAGCCCATCAAGGAGCCAGCGTGACCACAACCAGTGAGCACCTAACACGTATAGTGCCTGGAGCTGTGGCCCAGCCCATCTGCTTGGGGGTGGGCAGGGGAGTGGCTCAAGGCAGGCTTCCTGGAGAGGCTACCTGTGTCTGCTGTAGTTGATAGGGACCTTTGACCACTGTCCTCACCGCCTGTGCGGTGCTCCTCTGGTCCCACGCTTGGTGCTGTTCAGACAAAGCAGGGCCCAAGACCAGGCCCTGTGCTGTGGGCTCCCAGCAGATGGTGTCTGAGCACCGCAGGGATTAGCAGTGACAGGCGTTCCAGGCAGAGGGGAGCCCAGCGTGCCAAGTTCCAGAGCCAGGGAGACTTGGCAGGGAGAGGTGCTTTTGAGGAACGGAGGAGTGTGGCCTGCTGTAAGGACGCAGGAGTGAGCGACGAGGCCGGGCCTGCCCTCATTGGGCCGCCCGCCCTCAGGTGCGCTCCCAGGCCCTGCTCTTCATCAAGCGAATGTATGAGAAGGAGCAGCTGCGCGAGTACGTGGAGAAATTTGCCCTCAACTACCTGCAGCTCTTGGTGCACCCCAACCCGCCATCTGTGCTCTTCGGGGCCGACAAGGACACAGGTGTGGCACGGGTTCACTGGATGCATACTGAGCCCTGCCGCCTACGGGGGAGGACCACAGTGGGGGCATCTCAGGTCTGTCTCTCAGCAAAGCCCCAGGTTCTCCTGAATGAGATGGAGCCCTGGGTCCCTGTGAACAGGCCCTTCAGTGGGAAGGGTTGCTCTGGGCTAGGGAGGCCCAGCCTGGTTGAGAAGCTTCTGGGGTGAGAGACCCAGCCAGGACTGGGTTGTAGAAGCAGAGCTGGTGATCCAGGCTGAGGAGATGATGGTACAGCGACTCCAAAGTGAGGAGCGGCAGGGACTGTAAGAAGTGGCAAGGACTGGGGCTGGGGATTTAGCTCAGCGGCATAAGCGCCTGCCTTGTAAGCAGGCAGTCATGAGTTCGATTCCCGGTACCGATAAAAAGGAAAAAGACAAAAAAAAAAAGAAGAAGAAGCAGTGGCAGGGACAGTGGCCAGGACTGGGCTGGCGCTGCTCCTTACTGTACCTGGCAAATAAGGCAAGGCGAAAAGCCAGACATTTATCCTGAATCCTTGGGGCAGTTGTGGGAAGACTTGGAGAGGGTGGGGGTCAAGGTCAGAACTGCCCCTGAGAGTGACCCTTGTGATGGGTGCTCAGAAGAGACTGTAGGTGGAGTCCGGCCCCCATACCCCTTCTTCCCCCTGACCTGTTCCCTGAGATAGGCCAGGCACCGGAGACGGGGTAGGGGAGGGCCAGTCTGATGCCTTCCCTGCCCTGTCAGAGGTGGCCGCACCCTGGACTGAGGAGACGGTGAAGCAGTGTCTGTATCTCTACCTGGCCCTACTGCCTCAGAACCACAAGCTGATCCATGAGCTGGCGGCCGTGTACACTGAGGCCATTGCTGACATCAAGCGGACAGTGCTGAGGGTCATCGAGCAGCCGGTGAGGCCACCAGGGCCCTGGGCAGGCTGAATCCCCAGCTTCAGTCCCTCCCTCAGGACAGTCACCCCAGCCCACAGTGCTAGCTTCCAGGTGCTCCTTGTGTCATCCCCAGGTCATGAAGAGAAACAGGGTGGCCCAGCAGATGAGAGCCTGGAGCAGACAGGCCTTGGTTCTCGCTGTGACCCTGGGCCCCACAGTAAAGTCGGGGGAAGATGATCCACCCCCATGCAGTGGAGGGAGTCTGAACTCAGTCTCCACACCATGGCTGCCAAGAGCTGGCCTTCCCCTGTGTCGCTAGAGGGAATCTTTGGTTGTCACTAAAGAAACTGAGCTCCTCTTGTGCTTTGCTCTAGAGCTGCTGGGTTGCTCACTGGAAAGCCACATAGCAAAGCAGCAGCTACAGTTTGCAGTGTCGGCCTCCACTGTAGCTGGGTTAGAAACCACTTGATTACATCTCATCTCTGCCCCTGACTTTTACAGAATTTTTATCCGAGTTTTCCAACAAAAATAAAGGGAGAGAGGCGGTCCTGTTCATCCCCCCATACCTGTCTCCTAGATTTGAAGACCTGACCCCCCCAGGTCTTCATACCTATAAAATGGGATATGACATGGAGTGGACTTAAGATGAGCCCCTGCACTGGCTCCTGGGTTTCCATCTCAGCCATGAATTTGGTCGGGGGCAGGGGGCTGTGGCCCCACTCCCTGCATTTGGCTCCAGAGGCAGCAGCAAGATGAGCCGTGGTCTGGGCCCTCAGCCAGGCTGAGGCAACAGTAGTCGTGGGGGCAAGGAAGGCCTTTCCCAAGGAGTCAGGCCCTAGCCCAGTGTTCAGAGGTCTCAGATTTGAGACAGGAGGCTGGCCTGTGGAGGGGACAGCACAGAAAGTCCAAGGTGCTGAGGCACCCCATCCTAGCACCCCGCCAGCCACCCTGTCCTCCCCCAGCTCACCCTCATCTCCTGATCTCCTAGATCCGAGGAATGGGCATGAACTCGCCAGAACTGCTCCTGCTGGTGGAAAACTGCCCCAAGGGGGCAGAGACACTGGTCACCCGATGTCTGCACAGCCTCACAGATAAAGGTGCCCCAGACACCCTTGTGTGTCCCCCTACCTGCCCCTACTGGGTCCCTAGATGGCTGTACCTCTTGCAAGTCTCTCCATTCCTGGGCCTCAGTTCCCTTACCTAGAGCAGTGTGGCACCTACTACATGGGAGCGACCAGGGGCTGCAGATCCTGCTGACCTTCACACTGCCCCCAATCCCGATTCCTGCTCCTCTGCCCGCAGTCCCACCTTCCCCCGAGCTGGTGAAGCGGGTCCGGGACCTCTACCATAAGCGGCTGCCTGACGTCCGCTTCCTCATCCCTGTGCTCAACGGGCTGGAGAAGGTACGGGTGGCTGCTGTGCCATGGGGCACAGTGGGGTTGAGGGACAAGCAGCAGGGAGAGCAGGAGGGGTGGGAACCAGCTGCCCATGCCAGGCTGTCAGATGTCCACCTCTGCCATGTGGTGACCTCTTCTGGCCGCACAGGCCACGTGCTGTCTCTGCCTTAATTTCCTTACTGGCTGGGAAGCTCGCAGTGATGTGTGGATACGTGTGGTTGTCCCAAGGCCAGCATGGAACTGCAGCTGAACTCAGTGTGTGGGATGTGGCCCCTCAAGTGCCCTGTGCCTCAGGGGTCCCGCCCAGGAGCTACAGAACTTGGGGAGAACCTTGTCTGCTGGGAGGGGGGATGAGCACGGCACCCTCCACTGGGATGCTTGTTGGGCAGGGCCCCAGGCTGAGTGGTACACATGTCTGGGAGCCTTGGGAACCCCTCGGGTGAGCAGATGAGGGCTTGGTGGGAGGGGGTGAGGGCGTCTGACGTGCTGCCCACCCCACCCTCTCCCTGTAGAAAGAGGTAATCCAGGCCCTGCCTAAACTCATCAAGCTCAACCCCATTGTGGTGAAGGAGGTCTTCAACCGCCTGCTAGGCACCCAGCATGGTAGGTGATGCGCCCCCTCCCTGCCTGGAGCCAGCTGGGCCCTGGCCTGAAGTTTCCCTCCCCGAGGGAGGCTTCGTGGGACTGCCCAAGGTGTGGGGGGGTCACCCTCCTCCCCACCGTGTCTGCTGAACTTAGCTCCTGTGTGTCTGAGTGCCCAGCCTCTAGGCCCTCCTTATATCCTGCCTGAATCCCTCAAGCTGTCAGCAAAGCAATTTTGTCTGACCTGATCAAAAAGAAACAAAGTTTCAAAAGTGGAACAAAGTAATGCAGCATGGGGTCCACCCCCTCAGTCCTTTCCTGTCTTGGAAACGCCTGTGAGCCTCTGTACCGTGCTGCAGTCAGTGCTGGGGACCTGGTAATGGGCCAGTCCTGGCCCTACCTTTGGGGATGCAGAGCCCAGTGGGGAGTGAGGATCATCTGTGCCGTACAGCATGGCTTTGATGAGGGGGGGGACCCCAGCAGGAGGAAAGCTTGGTCTTCCCTTGCCCTGTCTGCTGTCCTCTAGTCCTCTGGAAACTCCCCCCAAAACTGGGGAATGTGGACCCCTCTCTTCACTGAGACCCCTGTACTGTCCCCTCTCCCCTCACCGCCTCTTGCTATAGGTGAAGGGAACTCGGCCTTGTCCCCCTTGAACCCTGGAGAGCTCCTGATTGCATTACACAACATTGACTCCGTGAAGTGTGACATGAAATCCATCATCAAAGGTCAGACATCCTTCCCTGTCTGTGGCCTAGCCCTGTGCACCATGGTGGTCTTGGCCACCCACATCCCCAGCCGGGATCTGCCACTTGGAAGACCTGGCGTTTGTGGCCCCCTGCAGCTCTCTGAAGCCTCCACACAGCCCCTTCCTCCCTCCCAGGGCTTCACAGCCTTTTTGCCCCACTGAGGGCACCTGGGGATGGGGTGCTTGGTCCTGCATCCCCTGCTGCCCTCACCACCAGGAAGACAAAGTGGGGCCCAGGTGAGCCTTGATCAGAGGCACATGCTGCAGTCAGGGCGCCAGGCACTGCTGGCCTGGTAGGCGCAGGCCCAAGTGGAGGCAGGGGTTGGACCCCCACAGCGAGGGGCTGGGGACCCTGGCCAGCTCCCCACGCCCTGCACCCCCTTAGCCCCGCTCTCCCATAGTGCCTGCGGGCCTGCTCTCGCAGATCCCTGCACATTGCTTGGTAAGTCATTGATTCCACTTCACAGACAGAAAATGTACTGTCAGAGAGGTTAAGAAACTGGTTCAGGGACACACAGAAGCCCAGTGATGTGGTGGAAAGCACCTTAAACCAAAGTAGACCTGAGTTAAAGATCTGTCTCCTCCGTGCACGCTGGGTCTCTGGGCCACTTCTTCCAGGAACCCCAGCTGCAGCTCTCCGGAGCGCCACTCTCCCTCCCTAAGAGGCTCTGGATCAGGACCCGAGCTTTGCCACCTGTCACCCTGTCTGCTCTGAAGACAACTGTTCTTTGATTCCTCTTCTCTTGGGTGGGGACTTCTTCTCTGTGCCACCATGTTTCTTGTTCTAGCTTCCAATGCCTTGTTTCCTAGCCCCCCTTAGAAGGTTCCCAACAACTTCTCAGGTCAGGCGAGGAGCTAATGACAAGGTAACACCGAGGAGGTGCCGAGGCCTGTGGTGGAGAAGCAGCGGGAGAAAAGCTCTCGCAGGTTATAGTCTGAGACTGGTCTTTTGGCCCCAGGCTGCTTCTTGTGTTTCTGGGTGCTGGGGATAGGACCCATGGCCTTACTGCCATTGGGCCATGTTCCCTTTCTCTCCTGCCCCCTTGACACACCACAGAAAGTGCTGCCATTCCCAGGGGCGGCCTGATCACATGCTTTATGCTCACGTGGTATGGGCACAATCCAAAGGCTTTGCAGGCACAGCCACCCCTGCTAAGGCCGTTCCTGGATCCAGAATAGAATCCTCCATCCCCAGGCCTGTGTTGCTCATAGGGGGACTGTGGCTGGGAAGAAGGAACTCGAGGCCACTGAGGTGGCCAATAGCCAAGGCCTGGTGGTGGCAGCAGGGCATGCAACCCTGACCACCTCACCTTGCTCTGGCGTACTTGGGCCCATCACCGCCCCCCCCCCCTGCTCAGCTGCATTCCCCTGGCCCCACCCACAGCCACTGCACCTTTCCCCTGCCCTGGCCTTAACTCCCGCTGCGCTAGTGCGCACAGTGGGAAGCAGGCTGAGAAGTCTCATCCTGTCCTGTGTGTCGCAGCCCCCGGCCCCTGCTGTTTGCTCCCACATATCCCAGTGAAGAGCAGAGAGGGAGAGAGGAGAGAGAAAGAGCGAGCGAGCGTACCTGGACAGACTAGGAAGGCTTCCTGGGGGAGCAGGAGCCAGCAGGGGTGAGGAGGCAGGGAGAAGACCGCAGAGCTGGTGCTGGTGCTGTGTCCTGAACCTGCCAGGCTGACCCTGGGCTTGAGGGAGGGGCAGGTTGTGACCACTGGGGAACCCGGTCCCAGCCGCCCACCCACGTGGAGTGGGGATTTGCTCTGTTCTCTTGTGGTCCTCTAGAAAGGGGGACGACCAGGTCGAGCTTTTGCCTAATCTCTCACAGAGCAGATGAGGGCCCAGTGGGAGCCTGGGTGGAGTGGAAAGAGCCAGTTCTGGGGGCCTTTAGTGGCAGGCAGGCAGGAAGGACACAGGGCTCTCTGGCAGGGGGAGGAAAGGGGGTGCTTCCTCAGTTTATTGTGGGTCCTCACCTACACTCTCCTCTGCCCCTTCAGCCTCCTCCCCCTCTGTTTTCCTGTTGTGTCTCCCCCTTCCCTCCCTCTCTGGGCCCCGTTCCCTGTAAGACCACCACACCCCATTCTCCCCAGCCTCTCTTCTGGCTCAATAAAGATTTCCATTGACAGACTCACATGGCAACTGGTGTTTGGGGAAGAGGGGCTTCACAGGCAGGTTCCAGGGTGTCCTCATTAGCATAGTGGATCAGGGCTCTGCCACCACCTCTGGGGGAGCAGACCCAAGGCTGGATGGGGGGGTACATGTGTAGTCCAGCCCTCTGGGTTCTTCTGGTGCTGGGCTGGGGCAGTGTCCATCATCCCAGTGCCAGCCTTCATGCCTGTGAGCAGCCCCTTAGTGGGGGCCCCTCCTGCCCCTGGGAGGGGACCGTGGAAGTCAGTAAGCCGCTTCCCCTCGATAGCAGAGCTGGAGGTGCCCACCACCCAGTGGAGCTGGAGCAGGGTTCCTGCCTTCTAGGGGTGTCCTCAGGCAGGGCCAGGGCACCCTTACCTCACAGCAGTGAGGCAGAGGACAGGACGACGAGCCGCTCTCCGCCTCGCAGCTACCAACCTGTGCTTTGCGGAGCGGAACGTGTACACATCAGAGGTGCTTGCTGTGGTGATGCAGCAGCTGATGGAGCAGAGCCCCCTGCCCATGCTGCTTATGAGGACCGTCATCCAGTCCCTGACCATGTACCCCCGCCTGGGGGGCTTCGTCATGAACATCCTATCCCGCCTCATCATGAAGCAGGTAACTGCCCTGGCCCGCAGAGGGCAGCTGGCCACACTGGGAGAGACCCCGAGCTTGACCCTCCTCTGCTGGGAAGTGCAGTATGGCCACAGTGCAGAGAGGGCGGGTGGCTGTGGGCTTCAGGGGGTAAGCCCCACAGCAACACAGTGGCCCCTGGCCAGGACACACCCAGGCGGAAGATGGTCCAGTTCAGGCTGACCACCTCAGGCCCTCCATGACAGACGGGTGCCACTCGTAGCCCAGCAGCAGCTGCTCTGTATCCTCTGCATAGAGGCTCCAGGCCCAGTAGGGCAGACCTCAGCTCAACTCTCAATTTTGCCTGTGACCTCCTGTGACCCTGGGCAAGTCCTTGCACCACCTTTGCCTCTAGCGGGAACAACGTTGCCCTCTTGAGGCCACTGTGAGGATGACATGCTGGGCGCTTAGGGGTGAGGCAGGCAGAGCTGTGGCAACGGGGTGGGGTGGGGGAACGCTGGCGTTTCAGCCCCTTTGCCAATTGCCCTGATGTCCCAGCTGCCTGAACTGGGAAGTACAGGTCTGGGGAGGGAGGGCAGCCGGAGGGAGGTTGGGGATGCGGGAGCCCAGAGGATTCCTGGGCGATCTCCCTGGGCTGGGCTAGGGTTGGGGGGCTGCCTGTGACCCCACCCAACGCTGCCCCCTGCCCGGCCAGGTGTGGAAGTATCCCAAGGTGTGGGAGGGCTTCATCAAGTGCTGCCAACGCACCAAGCCCCAGAGTTTCCAGGTCATCCTGCAGCTGCCGCCGCAGCAGCTGGGCGCCGTCTTTGACAAGTGCCCAGAGCTCCGGGAGCCCTTGCTGGCCCACGTGCGCTCCTTCACCCCGCACCAGGTACCTCAGGCTGTGGGACCACGGCCCTCAAGGACAGGATGGCGGTGGGGTCAGGGGAGCCCTGTGCTGCCTCAGAAGCCCCCAGGCTCCCGGGGTCCAGGTTGGGGATCTGGGGTGTCTCGGAGCTCTCCACAGCGCCCCCTCCTGTTCTTCATCTAGCAAGCACACATTCCCAACTCCATCATGACCATCTTGGAGGCCAGTGGCAAGCAAGAGCCCGAGGCCAAGGATACACCCGCCGGCCCCTTGGAGGAGGTGAGGCCCTGCAGCCCACCCGCCTGGCTTGCCCCCTTCCCTTCATGAGGCAGCAGCTTCCTAGGCCACCTCTGAGGAAGGAGGGGAGGGACAGCTGCCCCTTCCTGCGCACCCCTCTTCTGAGAGCACCCCAGAGCTCCTATGTGCTCCTCTTTGCCTCAGGACGACCTGGAACCCCTAGCTCTGGCCCCAGCCCCAGCCTCCCGGCCCCCTCAGGACCTCATAGGCTTGCGGCTGGCCCAGGAGAAAGCCTTAAAGCGGCAGCTGGAGGAGGAACAGAAGCTGAAGCCCGGGAGCGTGGGTGCCCCTGCCTCGGCCTCCGCCGCCCCCCGGCCCGGCCCTCCCCCGCCGGAGGAGACCATGGATTTCCGGGAGGAAGGGCCCGAGTGCGAGACCCCGGGCATCTTCATCAGCATGGACGAGGACTCGAGCCTGACCGAGGCCGCACTCCTGGACTCTAGCCTCGAGGGGCCCCTGCCCAAGGTAGGGGTGGCAGCAGGCGCCGCACAGGAATCCAAGCCCAGAGATGGGGCAAGGAGAGGGCTGGCAGGGGACCCGCCCTTGACCCGCTGCCCTTTGCCTTTTCCTGCCACCAGGAGGCAGCAGCGAGCGGGCTGACCGCGAAGGAGGAGCGGAGCCCGCAGGCCCTGGCTCCTGCTGGGGAAGACGCCGCGGTGAAGACGCCCAGCCCAGCCCCAGAGGAAACCGGGGACCCCGAGACCAAGGGGAACAGCTGACGGGGCCTGGGAGAGGAGGGCGGGGAGGGGGGCACTGGCCGTTGGGGCTTTGCCTTAAAAGTAAATAAAGGAGATGGCGCTCAGAGGTGGGGCCGTCATGTAATCTGCTGCCCTCGGGCTAGGGCTGGGGACACGCGGGGCGCGCCTGCGTGGACACTGCTTTCGCAGGTGACCCAGCCCCATAACGGCCCTCCTCGTTCAGTGCTTACGAAGCAGTGACAAGCAGCTGCCTGGGGTGTGCTGGTGGGTGACTGCTCTGGCCCACCTGTCTCCAGCCCTTCCTCCTGCAAGTCTGTGCCCTGCTTTTGAGCCATGGGGGACCCCTCAGAGCCCCCTTCTGGGCAGTACTCCAACAGGAGGAGTTTCCAGGCCTCCAGTCAGCGGGGCAGTCAGGAGGCCTCACAGTCTCAGGACGCAATCCCGGAGGCGCTGCCACAGATGCTGCTGGGACAACAGCGGGGCAGTCAAGGGGTCCCCGCTGGCCTGCCCCAGGCTGATATCCGCAGGTCCCTGGGGGCCGAACTTCCCGAAGACGAGGTCTGGCAGATGTCGCAGACCTTCCAAGCTGCAGAGGCCGCCATGGGCCTCATGGAGCACCCCGAACTTCCCTTGGGGTTCCAGACCCATGCCTACCTGCCAGATGGCAGGACCCTGGCGGGTGAACACACCACCAACCTGATGCTACAGCAGCTGCAGCAGGGCCAGGCTGGCCTCTTGCAGCAACTGGAGTCAACCTACCGCCCCAGGGGGTCAAGCTTCTGGAGTCATTTCGACAGCTACCAGAGAGAAGACCAGCACTTTAAGCCCGAAACTCAGCACAGCCCCTACCCAAGGGACGACCCTGGGACCCCCTGGCTGTCTCTCTCAGAGCAGGGCTTCCTGTGCTACAGTCCTGAGGTGCCTGAGCCCCAGCCTCGGGACTTGGCGGTGCAGAACGCCAAGGCCTACCTGCTGCAGACCAGCGTCAGCTCAGACCTCAGCCTGTGAGAGGGGCCAGGGCAGGGAGTGGGGAGCAGGCAGGGAAGGGACCTAGCCAGGGCCCTGCCTCCTGGGGTCTCAGGACTAGAGGGCCACCTTATGGGAAAGCGCTGGCTGCCTTGGGCTTTCCACTCAGCCACTGGGGAAGACATGCTAGCATCTCTCTCACACCTCTGTCCCTGTCCCACAGAGGAGACAACCCAGGGAGTTGGGTCACTTGTCCAAGGTTACACAGCTAGGATGCGGCAGAACCAGACTGCAGATCAAGGGACTTGGGTCCTGATCCACCTACCTTTAAGGGGGGCAGTTTTTGAGCCGGTTTCCTCTGAACCTCCTGCCTGAGGAAGAAGCCCCTTAGCTGTGGTCACAAAATACCTCTCAGCCTCCATGAGAGACCCATGAAGTCCAGATGCTAAAGAATGGACAGGAAACACAAAACATGGTAAAGGAGGTCATCTATAATCCCACACTGTGGGAGGCTGAGGCAGGAAGATGATAGGTTTGAGCCCAGCTGAGGCAACTTAGTGCGACCCTGTCTCAAATGTTTTTGTTGTTGCTGTTTGGTTTTTGTACTGGGAATTGAACTTAGGATCTTGCACTTTCCCGGCAGCATTTATGCTGCTGAGCTATATCACTAGCCCTTTAATGTTTTTTGTTTTTGTTTTTGTTTGGTGGGGGGATCCTGTCTCGAAAAAACTTTTAGAAAAAGGCTGTGGATGAAACTCAGTATGAAGGCCCTGGGTTCAATCCCTGGTACCATCAGAAAAACAAAGCTGGTTAAGGAGGTCAGGCAGTGTGCGGTGCTGAGTCCAGCCACAGCGGGCAAGGGGTCCAGGGAGGGGCTCGCAAATGCAGAGACTCTAGGCTTGCATTTCTCAGAACAGTAAGGAGCCAGGGGAGGGGTGGGAGAGGAGGAGGAAGTGAGGTTGATGATGGGCCTTGCCCAAGCATGAAGCTGATCCCACCAGTCCCGAGCTCAGATCCTGCTCCGCCTCCCCTCAGGAGGAGGTGCACAAGGAGTAAGCACCTCGCCCACACTCAAATTCATTGCTAGTCACTCCTGCTCCCACCCTAAGGCCTTAAATCCCTCCAAATTAACCTGTTGACATCCCACCATCCTCTCACTTCAGTGGCTTCAAGTTTCCTTCCTAGAAAGCCCTGGCCAGACTCACCTCTTCTCAACCTTCTCAGCCTCAGTGAGAGCCCTGTACCACACTCAGGACTGCCAATGGCCAGGCACAGTTGCACACACCTATAACCCAGATATTCAGGAGGCTGAAGCAGCAGGATCCCAAGTTCACGGCCAGCCTGGGCAGCTTAGCAAAAAATAAAAAGGGCTGGGAGTGGGGTATACGGCTCAGTGATAAGTGTTTCCCTTATGGATGGGAGGTCCAGGGCTCCATCCCTAGAACCCCAAGAAAACCAAAACCAACAAAATCAGCCTCGGCAGGGCTGGAGATGCAGCCCACTGGTAGAGCTCTTGCCTTGCATGCAGAAAGTCGAGTTCGATCCCGGCACCATCTAAAATCAGTCTCTACATGGCAGCAGACATACTCTACCAATGGACCAATGTGGTTCCTAATGCTGACAATGCCACCAGTGCATGACCCTCAGACCCAGCCTTCTCTAAGCCTCAGTTTCTCCATCTGTAGAGTGCAGATCCTGGTTTTGAGGGTTCAACATGGCTCCCAAGTGCCTGGCTGTGGTGACAGGGAGTCACTGTGGTGCCATCATCACCATGGCTTCCTCTCCTGCCACTACCCCCTCTACTCTGGGCTCATGGAACCTTCTATGTGTGCCTCCAGGGGTCAGCAGCAGCCCCTCCTGAATGTCACACATCCTGTCACACTGTCTGCAAATTAGGGCAGTTTTTCTTCCTTCTAATCCTAGCTTTTCTTTCTCATGTCTTATTGCATTGACTATAACCTCCTGATGTCATAAAGTCACAGTGGTTAAAGCAGGTGTTATCAGGGTCTTAAGTAACGGAGAGGTATAGGAATGTAGCTCAATAGTTCAGGTGCTTTCCTGGTAAGCAACAGGGATGTAAGTTCCATCCCTGGTACCAAAAAAAAAAATGAAGTTTAAAAAAATAAGTAACAGAGAGCATGGCCCTGGGATTTAGCTCAGCAGCATAAGCACCTGCTTGGCAAGCATGAGGTCATGAGTTTGATCCCTGGTACAAAAAAAAAAAAAAGCGAAAGAGAGCAGTCCTATGATTTTTAGGACTCCAGGAAGGTCAGAACTGTCTTGCAGGAGTAAAGACAAAGAGCTCCTCCACGAGGTGGCCCATATTTATTTGGTTTTCAAACAAAGGGAGGGGATCCTGAGGCAAGCCTAGGGACAGAGCAGGACCTTGGGAGTCCGTTCAAAGACTTCTCTAAGTGTAAATTGTGCCAGTGAAGAGGACTCTGCTTTCTGAGGTCAGCGGCTCTATTGCTCTGGAACGGGTGTCAGCAGCCCGTGTCCTTGGCTGCCTCAGCTGTGCTCATCCTGAGCTCTGTGTGTCTGTGCTTTTCCAGCACAGCCAGAGGTCCCTGTGCTCCGAGGCTTAACCCTCACTCCTGGGTCTCCAACAACAGGTGTTCCGGTTACTCACATTGCTGAGATGCAATCCCAGCACCAATAAATAGGAGGAAAACAGGGTTCCTTTGGCCCGCATTTCTAGTCCATAGGTGGCTGCCTCAAGGTGGGTAGGGATAGTGGATCAGGAAACCTGGGGAAGGAAAGACACCCTTCCTGGGCACAGCCCCAGTGCTCAGCCTCTCCCGACCAATCACTTTCGAAAGCCCACCATGTAGCCGGGTTTGCTGGTGCATTCCTGTAATCCCAGCACACAGGAGGCTGAGGCAACGGGATCCAGACCCTGTCTCTGAAAACAAAACAAACACATAAAAGTCTCATGTCTGAGTATATGAGGTTCTGGGGTGATGTCTAGATATAAACCATAACAGCAGACATTCATGGTCCCAATCTCATAGTGGGAAATACTGTTTTCCTGTGGGGGTTTTTTGTTTTTGGTACTGGGAAATTGAATTGAGGACCTTGCACTTACCAGGCCCCCTAATGTACTCTTGTGGCATCAGTGTGCCCTGTGCAGCCCAGAGTTGGGCATATGATTCCACTTTGCTTAGGATTTCAGCCTCATATTCCTAAGCAAGATCAGTATCCAATTTTCCTCTCTGTGTCCTTGAATTTTGGCAGCAAGAGTACCTTAGACACATTAAATGTCCCAGGGGTTCTCTCCCTGCTGCTGCTCCCTCTCCCCGAAATATACTTCCCCTAAAACCTCCAAGGACATGGGTGTCTCCACCCTAAAACCTGCACGCTGCTCTGTGCCCCTTTCATCCTAGGGATCTCAGCTTAAATACCACCTTGCTGAGCCCTTTCTGGCATCCCTTCCCAGCTCCTCTCTCCCCAGCCCCAGTCCTTGCTTTCTTTGTCTCAGTAGAAATCACATCCATCTCCATTATCAGAATGTCGGTTCCTCCAGGGTAGGGACCCTGTCTCCATTCCCTGTGTGTTCCCAGCACTAGGCTCGGGCCAGAAAGCTGAGCCGGCACTGTTCCCTTCCTTCTCCCATGGGAGGCAGGTACGAGCACCTGGTGAATCTCCTGACCAAGATCCTCAACCAGCGGCCCGAGGACCCCTTGTCTATCCTGGAGTCTCTGAACCGCACCACGCAGTGGGAGTGGTTCCACCGCAAGCTGGACACGCTGCGGGATGAGCCCGAGATGCAGCCCACCTATGAGATGGCCGAGAAGCAGAAGGCGCTGTTCATCCGGGGCAGTGGAGATCGGGAGCAGGACATGGAGGAGGAGGTGGTGAGTGGGCCGAAGGGAGAGGGGGTTGGCCATGGCAGCAGTGGTGGTGTTAAGGCACAGGTGTGCTGAGCCCGGGGATTGAAGTGACTTCCAGATTAGTCTGTGTGTGACCCACAGAGAGGGTGGGGCCGGGCCAGAGATGGCTTCAGCACCACCTGGTCCGGGAGACCTGGACTTTATTCTGTGGCCACCGGGGCTCTCAGAAGGGGTGGGAATAGTGGAAAAGCTGATCAGCTTCACTTCTCTGGGAAGCTGGCAACCAATGGTGGGTGGTGTGTGCACACCTGTAATCCCAGCATTCTAGGTGGCTGAGGCAGGACTATGCCAAGTTTGAGACCAGCTTGGGTTAAACAGTGAAGCCATCTATCTCAAAATAAAAGTCCCCCCCATCCCGTGCCACCCCCGGGTGTGGTGGCACACATCGGTGATCCCACTACTTCACAGAGGCTGATGCAGGAGAATCACTGCAAGTATGAGGCCAGCCTGAGCTACATAGGAAGAGTCTTGTCTCAAAAGCAAAACCAAACAAAACAAAAAACCCGCACAGTGTATTTGGGCTCACACTGTTCGCCCTTTGGGGGTTGTCAAGAGCTCTGTGCGCATCAGTCCTAGGGGAGCCCCGGGTGATGCTGGGGCGACAGTGACATGGGTTTCTACTATTGCAGAGGAGGAAGAAGAGGGCATAGCTAACCTCATGAGGATTCTTGCAGCCTCTGTCCTTCTTTTTTTTTTGTAACTGGGATTGAACTCATGACCTAGAGTTTGCCAGCCAGGCACTTAGCTGAGCTAAATCCCTGGCCCCGCCTCTATTGTTCTTGCTGTCACTTCAGGGGAGTGGGCTCAGGTCAGAAAGTGACAGGGCCCCTCCTGGGTTCAGCAAGGTGGGAAATGGAGATGTGTATCATGTCTCTCAGAGAAGGACCTCAAACACTTGTGCAAGGAAAAGATGAAATAAATTGTTTTTTTAAACACTGTGCTCAAAATTGAGGGGTTTACTTTGTAATGCATTATATAGCTTAGGTAAAGGGAAAATCTCCCTTGCTTTTTTTTTTTTTTTTTTGTCTTTTTCCTTTTTATTGGTACCGGGGATCGAACTCACAACTGCCTGCTTGCAAAGCAGGCGCTTATGCTGCTGAGCTAAATCCCCAGCCCCATCTCCCTTGCTTTTTGACAAATCTTGTACAGCAAGTGGTGCAATCATTATTCAGTTTTACACTGAAAATACTAGGGGTGAAAAGGGTCCCCCCAAATTCAGTACTGAGGTCTCAATCTTCATCAAATTACTTAGAATGTCACTTTAGGAATGGGATCACTGCAGATATCATTTACTGCCCCTCCTTTTATTTTTCTCTTCCAATATGGAAGACATAACCCAAAGGGCTAAGCTCATATCCACCTGTTTTATTTTATTTCACTTTTGAGACAAGCTTTCTAGTTTCCCAAGATGGCCTCAGATCCTCCTGCTTTAACCTCCTGAGTGGCTGAGATTTCAAGTGGGTGACACCACACTCAGCTACTAGCTAAATTTATTTTTTGATTTTTTTTTTCTTTTTCGGTGTCAGGAATCAAACTCAAAGCTTCACACTTGCAAGACGTGTGCTGTGCCACTGAGCTACATCCCCAGCCCAAGTTTACATGAGATCAAAAAGGAGCAGGGTGTCCATATAAAAAGGGGAAGAGCCGGTGTTAGGGCACACACCCCTAAGGCCGACTACTTGAGAGGTCCAGGCAGAAGGATCACAAGTCTGAGGCCCTCCTGGGCAATTTAGTGAAACCTTGTCTCAAGATTAAAAGGTAGAAAGGGCTGGGGGTGCAGCTCAGCGCTCCCTGGGTTCAATCCCCAGTCCTGGGTTGGACAGGAAAATCATGGCAGAGGCCACACATGTACAGAGCCCCAGGGGATGCTCCTAAAGCCAAGGGATGCCAAAAGCGGCCACCAGCAACCACCAGAATGTGGGAAGGGCTTAAAACAGATTTTCTCGTACAACAGTCAGAATCAAATTTTGATCTCCAACTTTTAACCCCCAGAACTGAGACAACTGATTTCTGTTCGTTCGTTGATGGTAGTTTTGTGTGCCTATGCATGTGGAGTCAAGGTCTTGCTAGGTAGTTCAGGCTGTGGGCCTCGGACTCACTATGCAGCTCAGGCTGACCTGGACCTTGTGGTAATCCTCCTGCCTCAGCCTCCCGAGGCTGAGTGCTGGGATTACAAACCTCGACTTCTCGACTCCCCGGAAAAGGCAGGCTAGCGAGTGGGCGCTCAGCCCTCTGCCCTGCACCCCCACCTGCCCCCCACCCCACCCCCCTAGGCGGACACCGCGGTGCCCAACATCATGGAGGCGGCCTTCCACCTGGAGCAGGCCGGCGTGGGGCTGAGCGCCGAGGAGAGTTTCCGCATCTACCTGGCGCTGAAGCAGCTGGTGGAGCAGCAGCCGGTGCACACGTGCCGCTTCTGGGGCAAGATCCTGGGGCTGCGCCGTAGCTACCTGGTGGCCGAGGTGGAATTCCGCGAGGGCGAGGAGGAGGGCGAGGAGGAGGAGGGCGAGGAGCTGCTGGAGGGCGCCGAGGCGCTGGAGCCGCCGGGCGGCGAGGAGGAGGGCGAGGAGGACGAGGAGAAGGTAGCGGACGCGGTGCCCAAGCCGCAGTGGAAGCCGCCGCCGGCGGTGCCCAAGGAGGAGAGCCGCACAGGCGCCAACAAGTACCTATACTTCGTGTGTGCCGAGCCCGGCCGCCAGTGGGCGCGCCTGCCGCACGTGACGCCCGCGCAGATCGTGTGCGCGCGCAAGATCCGCAAGTTCTTCACCGGCCACTTGGACGCACCGGTGGTCAGCTACCCGCCCTTCCCAGGCAACGAGGCCAACTACCTGCGCGCCCAGATCGCGCGCATCTCGGCCGCCACGCACATCAGCCCGCTCGGCTTCTACCAATTCGGCGAGGAGGAGGGCGACGAGGAGGACGAGGGCGGCGCGGGCAGGGACTCCTTCGAGGAGAACCCCGACTTCGAGGGCATCCCCGTGCTCGAGCTGGTTGACTCCCTAGCCAACTGGGTGCATCACGCGCAGCACATCCTGCCGCAGGTGAGTGAGCACGCCCCCCCCCCGCCCCGGGGGAACCCCGCCATGCAATCAGGCTGGCATCCCTGCTAGGCGCTGTGCTTCCCCTCTCCTGACGAGCTCTCTCTCTCTCTCTCTCTCTCTCTCTCTCTCTCTCTCTCTCTCTCACACACACACACACACACACACACACACACACACACAAACACACACGCACGCACACACGCATCTGCCAGGCCCTTCATCCATTCTACGGGTAGTGTTTGGGATCTGGGTTTGGTAGCACATGCCTGTAATTGCAGCACTCAGGGAGGCTGAGGCAGGAGGATTACCGTGACTTTGAGACCAGTCTGGGCTACAAAGTGAGCTCAAAGCCAGCCTAAACTGCATAATGAGACCCTGTCTCAAAAAGACCCCCCCCCCAAAAAAAAAACCTTTTCCTTTTTTTTTTTCTTTTTAGATAAGGTCTCACTCAGTACATTCATTATCCAGGCTGGCTTTGAACTGTGTAGCCCAGGCGGTCCTTGAATTCACAGTGATCCTCTTGCCTCAGCCTCCCCGAGTGCTGGAATTACAGGTGCACCCCACCATGTTTGGGTCCAAGTCTGTATTTATGCATTTTCTCATTCAAGAAATCATCTGAGTTGGGGCTGGGGATTTAGCTCAGCGGCATAAGTGCCTGCCTTGCAAGCAGGCAATTGTGAGTTCGATCCCTGGTACCCATAAGAACGAAAAAGACAAAAAAGAAATCATCTGAGCTGGATGTGGATCAGAGAGATCTTCTGTGTCAGGATTTTCAAAATAAAGAATGTATGACAGTGAGCAGGTCCTGGACTCAATTTTCTGTACTGAAAGAAAATAAAAAGAAGTGCCCATTGGGCTCTAGGAACTTCTGATTATCCAAATAATTAAAACATTGTTGACACTATAATGTTTTATTGCATTCACTTAACTCCTTTAGCGATCGGAACGACTACTATTCCCGTGTCCTAGCAGATGGAATAGGAGTCTGTCCTGTGCCGTGCACTTGTTCATGTATTCATTCAGAAGGTATTCAGGGCTGGCCCAGGTGTGATGGTACACACCTGTCACCCAGTACTCGAGGCTGAGGTAGGAGGTCTGCCATGAGTTCAAGGTCAGTCTGAATTACAGCGGCAGAGCCTGTTTCAAAAAAAAAAAAAATATTCAAGGCTAGGCTGTGGCTCAATGGTAGAGCGCTTGTCTCCTGCATTCAAAGTCCTGGATTCTGCCCCAATGTGCATGCACACATGGAGCAAAAACCCAAGCAAAAAGTATGAGAAGCATTCCTTGGCCCTTGAGAGGCTCCCGAACCCAGCAACGATGCAACTCAAGAGGTAGCCATGATGCCCACTGCACAGATGGGCAGACAGAGGCTGAGGCTGCCGATTGTGGGGCACAGGCAGAGGGTGCGGGCCCCTTTCTCAGGGCTTTGTCCCCAGCACCTGGAACAGAGCCTGTCTATGAGAGGCGCTCAGGACAAAGCAGGTGCGAGCTAGTAAGTGGAGGAACTGGGCTCTCTCTCAGTGGGAGGCTGGAATCCCTGCCTCACCAGCCTTCCAAGTTCAGGTTCAGGCCTAGGCCAGCTGCGTGCCAGGCTGCCACCTGACCCCTTCTCCCCAGGGCCGCTGCACTTGGGTGAACCCTTTGCAGAAGACGGATGAGGAGGAGGAGCTGGGGGAGGAGGAGGAGAAGGGCGACGAGGGGCCTGAGGAGGTGGAGCAGGAGGTTGGGCCACCGCTGCTGACGCCACTTTCAGAAGATGCAGGTTAGGGTCCCCCTTGTCCTCCTCTTAGTTCTCGTCTGCAAAACCCCGGCCTGGGAGGGGGCAGCACAGAGGGAGGCCAGGCAGGACTTCCAGGGGCATCTTGGTGCCCACTTTTCAGAGCTCCACTGGCTCTGGACGCCGCCCTCTGCTGCAAAATGAGGTGACAGCCCCTGGACAGCCCCAGGTGGTGTGGATTTCTGCGTTTGGTCTTTGAGTGCCAGGCGAGTTGGGGGAAGCTGGGGGATTTTGTTTGCTCTTTTTTTTTTTAAAATTTTTTATCGATACCAGGGATCGAACTCATGACCGCCTGCTTGCAAGGCAGGTGCTTATGCCACTGAGCTAAATCCCCAGCCCCAGCTGGGGGATTTTGAATGAGGCCACTGGAGGGAAGAGGAAAGAGAGGCTAGATTTGAACCCAGCCTATGAAGGACACCAGGTGTGTATCACTGTTTGCAGATGCTTCTGCTGAGGCTCAGACAGGTGAAGTGACCTCCTGGGCCACTCCCAAGCAAGAGGTCAGGAGCCAGCGGTTCCAACAGTGTACCCATGCTATTGTCACAGCAGCTGCCTCAAGGCACTGTGGGTTTCTTCTCTCCCTTCCTTCTCCCCTGTCATCCCAGAGCTCTCTGCATGGTGTTGGGCCCCCTGACCCTGTGCATCTCTACCTCCCACTGCAGAAATCATGAACATGGCGCCCTGGACCACCCGCCTGTCCTGCAGCCTCTGCCCGCAGTACTCTGTCGCCGTGGTGCGCTCCAACCTGTGGCCTGGGGCCTACGCCTTCGCCAGTGGCAAGTATGGTTTCTCCCAGCCCTCCCTGCAAGAGCCCTCTCACCCTCTTTCCAGGCCTGGCAGCCCATCAGCAAGGGCAGGTTGGGAGGAGCCCCCCAGGGCTGAGCCCCGGACTTCCTCCCACAGGGGCCATTGTGGGTAAAATAAGAAATCCAAGCTGGGTCAATGGTAGTCTCAGGTACTCTGGAGGCTGAAGCAGGAGGATTGCTTGAGCCCAGGAGTTCAGTCTGTAAACAACAAAAAGTCCCAGATGAAAGAACAGAGGATCTGAGAGGCACAGGGAATGGTGCAGAGCTAGACAGCACTTGTGGGATGCCAACCTGGATCATTGGGCTGAGGCCTTTTCTGGACAAGCAGGATCTGACTCCTGAGCTCCTGTACTATTCCTCCTCCTGTCCAGGGAGTGGAAATCTCCACCTGGATGGCCCATCAGTTGCTCCCAAAAGATTGGCAGCCAGCTGGATGCTCCCACCTCAGCCATACCCTCCACTTCAGTCCCTCTGCTCTATGCCAGGCTTGTGGTAGCCCTCTGGGCAGCCCCGAGGGAGTGGGGTCTCCAGGGGCCACAGGCGGGTGCACTATCACCTATGTCCACCAGAGGACAGCAGCTCCGGTCAGGTCATAGATTGTCTTTACCCTAATGGCCAAATCCCGCTGCAATGTGTTATATATCGTGGTGGGATTTCATGTCATCTTGATACGTCCACCACTTCTTGGCAATTTTCTTCTTCTCCAGAAGCTGTGAAGTGGCAGGCTTGCTTTTGCCAAACCCCTCCTTCTGGCCCTACCTTACCATATGCCTCTGAATCAAAGGGTCCAAACTTGGGATTCAACTTGCGCACTCATGCGCCTCCCCATCCAGCCTTCTCTCCTCCCTCACCCCCGCAGCCACCCACCCTTCCCCTCTGGAAGACCCTGTACTGTCACTACTGCCAGCTGTGTTCTTGACCCAGACCCTGTGCTGGAAAGACAGACATGGGTAGCTCCTGTCCCAGAGCAGGCAGAGCAGGGGCAGACATGTCCCCAGCCCCTCCTGCCTGGTACTGGGCCCAGCGTTGCTGTGATGCTAGGAGCCCGCAGTGCCTGTCATGTTTTAGAGGATCCGGGAGGGCTAGAGGGGAAAGCAGCCTGTGAGCTGAAATTTCCAAGGAAAGAGGTAGCAGGCAAGGGCCGGTCTGAGGCACATCGCCACCACAGCTTCTCAACCGTGAATGATGCGGCTCAGGGGGGCCTGGGATGGAGGCTAAAGCCAGGCCCATCCCCTCCTCTAGGACTTGAACCCAGCACCTTTCTTTCCACTGAGCAGTATTTTCCCTTTTTTCTTTTCTTGCTTCCTTTCTGAAATAGATTCTCACTAAATGGCTTAGGTTGACCTGAGCAACTATTTTGAAGATAACACTATGCAATATCCAATATCGCAACCATTGTTTTCTTGTTTTGTATTGTTTTGGTACCGGGGATTGAACTCACAACCTCGCATTTACCAGGCAAGCGCTTGAACTGCTGTGCTAAATCTCCAGCCCTCTATCATCTTATTTTGAAATCCTCTATTACTGTTGTTGTTGAGGCTTTTTTTTCTGTTTTTGTTATCATTTGGCTTTTGTTGTTTTTTTCTTTGTTTGTTTGATGGATTTTTTATTTTTCTGTGCCTTTTTGCTCTTTAAAATTAAAAATTAAGGGCTGGGGATTTAGCCCAGCAGCATAAGCCCCTGCCTGGCAAGTGCAAGGTTGTAAGTTCGATCCCCAGTACTAAAAATTACACTGCCCAGGTTGGATTCAAATTTGAGACCCTCAGCCTTGCACGGTGTTGCTTGCCCCGCCATGCTTGGGGAGATTTCACTCTGTGTGCGCGCGTGAGCGTGCCTGCTTTGAGACAGGGTCTTTCTCGGGCTGCCCTAGAACCTGAAGCAATCCTCTTGCCTCAGCCTCCAGAGTGCTGGAATTACAGGCCTGCACCCCCTAGGCCTGGTGATATTTAGTATTTTTAACCAGCTCCGAGTGAGGCTGATTGCTGGTGCAACAGCCACATGAGCCAGAGGAGGCAGGGACCTGGGAGCTGCCAGGGTGGCTGTGTGTTGAGAGGCACTGAGTTGCCAGAGGAACACGATGCTATCTAGAACAGAAAGCCTGAAAATAAGGTCGAAGCAAAACTGCTCCCCCAGGACCAGAGCTCTGGATCCAACTGTTTGTAACTCCCTGTTTCCCTGTCTGTGTCACTCGGTCTCTGAGTCCCCTCCCCTTTCTTCTCCTCCTCCTCCCTCCTCTTCTTCCTCCCTCTTCTTCTTGCTCCTCTTCCTCCTCCTCCTCCTCCCTTCTTCTTCTTCTATGTTTTTTTTGACAGGGTCGCACTATGCAATATGCAATTCAGTTCAGGCTGAAGTTGACCTCATTTTGTAGCCCAGGCTTATCTCAAATTTGCAATGATTCTCCTGCCTCAGCCTCCCTAGTGCTGGGATTACAGGAATGTGCCACCTTGCCTGACAAATCCCCTCCCCTTTCTTTGCTTGCTCCGCTATCTGCTTCTAGTTCAAATGAGTGGTGAGGAGCCAGCCTGTGGCCTCGTTTATTCCCAACCTCCAGGCAGGACCTCAGCACCAGGCCAGGAACTTTAGTCTGCTTTGCTCCCATCTGTGCTCCAGCACAGGAGCAACATAAATAACTACAGAAGACTGTTTTATATCTTTTTTATTTTGGGAACGTGTACCAGGAATCAAACTTAGGACCTTATGCTTGCCAGGCAGGCGCTACACTGCTGAGCTACATCCCTGGCCCCCAGAAGATAATTTTATTTTTATTTATTAATTTTTTTGAACTGAAGATTGAATTCATGACCTTGCGCTTGCCGGGCAGGTACTTATGTTAGTAGATAATTTTAGCTGGGCATGGTGACACATGTCTTTAATTCCAGCACTCAGGAGGCTGAGGCAAGAGGAATGTCATAAATTTGAGGCCAATCAGGGCCACAAAGTGAGTTCAAGGCCACCCTGAACTGCATAGTGAGATCTTGTTTCAAAAAGACAAAAAAAAAAAGTGAAATCATTAATGAGATATTTTATATTCTTTGTTTCATACTGAGTCTTCAAGGCTGAGAATGAAGCTCAGTGGTAGGGCACTTCCCAGCATGCAGAAGACACTCAGTTAAACCAAGGGTGGTGGCACTACCTGTTATCCCAATACTCAGGAGGCTGAGGCAAGAGGATCAACATGAGTTTGAGGTCAGCCTGAGGTACATAGTGAGTTCAGGGGCAGCCTGAATTGCCTAGTGAAACCCTAACCCAAAAAGACAGAAAAAAAAAAAAAAAAGACTAATTTGAGTATTTGTTCTTTGAGGTCCTCAGTTCAACTTGTGGTACATCTCCCCACCAAAAAAGAACTCACAAGGGAAATTAGAAAATTAAAACTGAAAACTCAGTCCTCTTGTTCCCCTCACTATGTCTCAAGCTTCTGCACAGGTAGTGTCTCGCCTGACCCCGTGAGATTTTGCAAGACTTTCCGTACAGGCTGCGCCCACGCTCTGGGCAGCCCTTGTAGACTCTTGTGGTATCTTGTTGCCCTTCCAGAAAGTTTGAGAATCTCTACATCGGTTGGGGTCACAAGTACAGCCCGGACAATTTCAACCCAGCCCTGCCAGCCCCGGTTCAGCAGGAGTACGCCAGCGGTCCGGAGATCACTGAGATGAGTGACCCCACAGTGGAGGAGGAGCAGGCCCTGCGGGCTGCCCAGGAGCAAGCCCTGGCGGCCACCGAGGAGGAAGAGGAGGACGAGGAGGAAGAGGAGGACGAGGACCTGGATGACTAAGGCCCTGTGGGTCCTTTCCCCAAGCAAGCAGACAACAGTTTTCCCTTCCACGTAGATAGTTCCAGATTGTATTTTCACTGTGGTTTGCTTCCTGCTCCTGGCATGCAGGGGTAGAAGACAAATAAATTTGCAGTGCAGAAAGTGATTCATTTGTTTGCCACATTTGTTGACTTGGATGCCACATCAGGGCTGTTGAGCCATATTGGGGGCCGGGGCTGGGGTCTGCTGATGAAGTCTTCCCTCTTTTTCTCTTATTCAGCTGGCTATCATACAGTTATTGAAGTGACCCCTAATAGACCAGTCCTGTGCTGAGAACCCAGAAGTGTCCAACTGGGCCCTGGGCTGCCTTCTCAGAGCCTGCACTCTCTAAGTTGCCCAGACTGGGCTTAGACTTGCAATCTTCCTGCTTTAGTCTCCCAAGTTGCTTGTCTCCAAAAGATAGCAGTCCAGATGGAAGAGCTCAGAGAACTGACAGACTGCTCAACTTTTTTTTTTTTTTTTGTCTTTTTCCTTTTTATCAGTACTGGGGATCGAACCCACGACTGCCTGCTTCCAACGCAGGCGCTTATGCCGCTGAGCTAAATCCCCAGTGCCCAGACTGCTGAGCTAACTCTTTAAGAGGTCAAGAAAAGACCATGGAAGGGCATTGCACGTATGCAAAGACCTAAGGGCAAGGTACAGCAATGAGGAGGCAGGAAGATCCCCATGAGTTTGAGGCCAGCCTGGGCTACATAGCAAGACCCAGTCTCAAAACAGACAAAAAACAAAACAAAACAAAAAAACAGTAATGATGTGATGAAAGGAGGAAGTTTCTCATTTTTGGTGACACATACTGTGAGACGTTAGTGGACAGAGATGAGGATGGAAAAAGATGGGCTGAGACCAGACTACTCAGAGCTTAATTTACCCCAAGAGCACCTTTGGTGACAGGTGGTCTGGATCAGGGGAATGCCCCCATTTTATTTGTAGTTTGGAAAGACTCCTCCACGCAGTTGTATTGGCCCAAGCCTGTCATCCCAGCTACCCAGCAAACTGAAGCAAGAGGATCAAAAGTTTGAGTCCCACCAGGGCGACTGAGGGAGACACTCTCAGCTACTGGCTGTGGTGGCACACACCTGCCATACCAGCACTCAGAAGGCTGAGGTAGGATTGCTGAGAATTTGAGGCCAATCCAAACTACATAGTGAGACTTTGTCTCTAAGACAGCAACACCAACAATCTAGGGAAGCCAGGCATGGTGGCACACATTAGTAATCTCAGCAACTTGGGAGGCTAAAGCAGGAAGATTGCAAGTCTAAGCCCAGTCTGGACAACTTAGTGACTTACCAGGAGCCTGTTTATATAAGGGGTGTGTGTGTGTATGTGTGTGTGTGTGTGTGTGTGTGTGTGTGTGTGTGTGTGTGTGTGACTGGTGATGGGTAGGAAAGATAAGGCAGGAGTCTGGGAGGTCAGAGACAAGGCTGATGCAGGGGGGACACAACAGCAGAAAAATTAAAATCAGGGCTGTAGAGAAAGGAAGAAAATGAAATAGGAATTCTGAGATAGGGTGCAGAGACTTTTGGGGACTGAAAGTGGGAGGAGTGACAAGAAATGGTATAAATTCAAGGAAATCCAAAATCTATGACCAGGTGGTTGGCAGGGCCAGGCCTAAGGTGGGGATAGGAGAGAGAAGCAGGATTTGGACTAAGATGGCAAGCTTCTGGTAGGACTTTTGAGTGGGATGCCTCTGGGGAACTCTGGTAAGAAATCTGAGAAGCCTTTGAGTCCCTCAGTCTAAGGAGACCTTCGTTCAGGCCAAGGTGGCTTCAGCAGAAGACAGAGGAGTCTTGGGTTACTCATGGATCACTGGGGCACAGCAGGGGGCATTGCAAGGATCAATCAAGGTAGGTTTTGGAGGAAGAGTGAGGCTATTGAAGACACCAGCTTTTAGTAAATATATCGGAGGTTGGTGAAAAATATAGAAGAGGTTTGAGTTTTTGTTTTTGTTTTGTCTTTTTCGTTTTTTTATCGGCACCAGGGATCGAATTCACGATTGCCTGCTTGCAAGGCAGGCGCTTATGCCGCTGAGCTAAATCCCCAGCCCCGAGGTTTGAGGTTATTAATCAGTAATGGGTCACATGAAATCTTTGGGGCTTTGTGGCCACATTGGGTCAGCAAGGATTTGGGAATGGGAACAAATGGTCAGGGGCCTTAAACTGTCAGTTTAAGGGGCTTTAAACTGTCAGGAAAACACTGGAGGTCAGGTGGGTGTATTGTGAATTTAAGAAGACTTAAGGATCACCTGGGATCATCTGTGATATTAAGGGGAGGCTGTATTACTGGCTGAGTCCTTTTGAGGGTCCCTTCGTTGCTATGCAAACGGTTCCCAGAGCGCTGTTGTTAGGGACTAGCGCTTTCCACATAGCCCCGCCCCTTTCCCGCGGGCCACGCCCCCGCAGCCAACTGCTTTTTAGTTGCAGTCCTGGAGGCCGCGCCCATCTTTGGGCCCCGCCCACAGTCAAGAACCGTTACCCCAGCGACTGTGGGGCTCGTCCCGCCTCTGGGCCCCTGTGCCAATCGAAAAGACGTTGCCGCGGCGACGCTCCCACCTCTTCCTGCGCGGGCCACCGGCTTCCGGCAGGGGGCCGGGCGGCGGGCGGCGGTCTAGCAGCGGCGGGGCCCGGGGGGCGCCCAAGATGGCGGCGGGTGGCGCGGAGGGTGGCTCGGGCCCCGGCGCCGCCATGGGGGACTGCGCGGAAATCAAGTCGCAGTTCCGTACCCGCGAGGGCTTCTACAAGCTGCTTCCCGGCGACGGCGCCGCTCGCAGGTCGTGTCCGGCCTCCGCCCAGACCCCGGCGCCGCCCCAGCCCCCGCAGCCCCCGCCCGGCCCTGCCTCTGCCGGCGCTGCGGGCCCCGCATCGTCCCCGCCGCCCGCAGGCCCCGGGCCTGGGCCCGCGCTGCCTGCCGTGCGCCTCAGCCTCGTGCGCCTCGGGGAGCCCGAAGGCTCCGGAGCCGGGGAGCCGCCTGCCACGCCCGCGGGGCTGGGCGCTGGAGGAGACCGCGTCTGCTTCAACTTGGGCCGCGAGCTTTATTTCTACCCAGGCTGCTGCCGCCGCGGGAGCCAACGGGTGAGTGGCCCGCGTCGTGGGGCCTGCGTGCTGAGAGGACTGGGTCTCTGGGAGATGATAGGCGAGCCCCCAAATTGACAAGGGGCCCTAGATGCGATGGGCATCCCAGAGGGATAAGATTCTTAGAGGTAATACAGGATTCTGAATAGTGATAAGGCAATCACCTTCCGCGTGGGATTTTGGTGTGTGATGAGTATTCTGTATGTGATGAAGCTTGTGATAGGACAACCGAGATGATGCAGGGTCCCCTGGATTCTGGGATAGCAGGCATTCTGCAGGTGATGGAGAATCGTGAGGTGATGCAGGCTCGGAGGAGATGGAGAACCCAGAAGAAGCTTGGAGTCTGCAGGTGTTGGGGGTGGGGGTCTTGAGACTTCGGGAGCCCAGGAATGAAGGCGATTTTGGCTGTGATGGGGTTCTTAGAGGTAATAGGTGAGTGAGATCCTAGGGAGAATTGGGGTCTAGAGGTTATAAAGGTCTTGGAGGACTCAAGCTGATGGGAGACTGAAATAATAAGCACGGACCTCCCTGAAGTGATGTAGGTTCTAGAGGCGCCTCCCGTGGTGAGAATTGGCAGAGTCCAGAGGTGAAGAACATGAGCAATCATGAGGGTCAATGGGTCCCTAAACCGTGACAGAGGTCCTGAGGTTTAAGGTTTCCAAACTGAAGTTGATTCTGGGATATTTGGCTTCAGAGTCCTTGAAACGGGTATTCCTGAGCATTTGAGATCTTGGAAAATATTGTACTAGGTCCCGAGACAGTTGCTGAGGTTATGGGGTCAGACGGGAGAAATACTGAAACTTGGGGACTCCTGGAACCCTGGAGCCTGACGGTGTGACCCTAAATTTGTGGTGGGAGGGTGCTGCTGTGGAAAGGCACTGTGGTCCGAGGGAATGTCCTTCCAGTAGGTTTTGCATCTCACTCTTGTCTGTGATTTGTGACCCCTTCCTGTTTGTGGTTGCACCCTCCTTCCCTGCGCATCTACCCACTTCCCCTCAGGCATTTAACCCTGCTTCCTCTTAGCGGTTTTTCTCAACCTCAGCGCCCTCTTCCTTTCGCTCAGTGGTGTGAACTCTTACCTCCTTTCCCTCCCACCACTCAAGTCCATTGACCTCAACAAGCCTATTGACAAGCGGATCTACAAGGGCACCCAGCCCACCTGCCATGACTTCAACCAGTTCACTGCTGCCACCGAGACCATCTCCCTGCTGGTGGGGTTCTCAGCTGGCCAGGTGCAGTACCTGGACCTCATCAAGAAGGACACCAGCAAGCTATTCAACGAGGAGGTGACTGTGGGCCCACAAGTGCTGTTTATCATGGGACTACAACTGCCTGGGAGCTGGGTGGGCCTAGAGGGCAGGGGAAGGAGAGGTGGGGCATGGAGGTGACAGACAGCAGCTAATAATGATGGCTTCTCCTGTCATGGCTGCAGGTTGGGGGACGGACACTAGTAACTGGTTGGGCTTTTCTGGGTATCTTTGCTTTTCAAATTCTGTGCTCTGTGGGTTTTGGATCCAAATCCCTGCTATATTATAGATTCGCTCTTTGACTTTGGGAAGGTGGCTGCTCTCTAGGGCTCACTTTTCTTCCTCTGCAAATAGGATGCTTATCCCTACCGCTCAGGACCAATGTAAACTCATACATGGCAGTTGGTCAGTCTGGGCCAGTTTGGCTCAAGAGGAAACGCCAGCACAGGGCCTTATCCGTTGGCCGGGACTGCTCTTGCCTTGGGTCTCCTTCTCTGCTCCAGAGGGGTGTTCCATAAATATTCTCTAAATGAGCGAATGGCTGAAGGGAGCCAATAGAACAGAGAATGAATTAAAAATGCATTAGCTCATCCATTCACAGAGTAGCTATGGAGCATCTATCCTGTGCCAGGCGTGGGTCCAGGCGCGTCTTGGGGAGCAGAAGGACGGGAGGGCCTGTCCTTGCAGAGCTTTCAGTCAAGCAGGAGGAACATGGCCGTTAGCTGCTGTAAGGGTCCTGCAAGGCTGGTAGTGAGGCTGTTGGGAAAGAAGCAGCAGGGAAGTCTGGCAAGTTTGAGTAGATTGGTTAGGAAGGCCTTGCCAGGAAGTGATTTTGAAATGAAGAAGACCTCAGAGTCTAGAAAAGTCCTTGAGGGATGTTCTGAGTGGAGGGAACACTGAGGACAAAGATCTTGAAGCAGGACAATGTGAAGGTCAGGTGACTGGGGAAGTGGTTGAAGGAGAGAGGATGGAACATAGCATTTGGGGACTTAACAGGTGCCAGCTCCCTGGCAGTCCCCAAAGAGACTTCACCTCTTCCTCCTAGATGGAGTCAGGAGCAACTTCTGGCCTGGCTTATCTGAGCCTTTGAGCAGACATTGATTCGGGGAGGGTGATTTTCTCAGCTGTCTTGGAGCAGAGACAGCTCAGGCTCTTGGAGAGAGTCCTCTCATCATGCCGGCGGGTGCCTATGGCTTTGTTCTCTCCAGAATCCTGGTAGAGAAGGCTGCAGAGTGTCTTGGCAGGTGCTGGCCTGTGTTTAACAGCTCCTCACTGATGACTGGCGAGAAGAGACAGGCCCCAAGTGCTGGAGGCCTAGGGGCTAGGGACACCCTGTGGGGTTGGTGGCAGCTGGGGTCAGGGCGGCTGGAGTGGACTGGTGTGGAGATCAGGTTCTACTCTGTAGTTAAGACCACAGGATTCCTTGGAGGATTGGACATGAGCTGTGAGAAGAGGATAGTGAAGATGCTTGGAAGGTTTTGGACTTAAGCAGCTGGCAGGATGGGGCTGGCAGTCATTGTGCAGGAATGCCTTTAAGGTACCTGCTGTGTGGATGGCACAGGTACCAGAGCCAACCTTGTGTGAAGCAGTTTCTTGCCTTAACCTTCACATGGTGAGGATGAGTAAAGGGTTAGGCAGATGGAGGACAGTCGTGTGGCAAGCAGGACTGTTCCCTTGCCACGGTGGGCCATTAGGTCAGGGCTGTGTGGCCTACTTTGCAGACAGTCCTTATTCCCCTAGCCTTCGGTGACCAGGTGTCAGCCTCCTTTGGTGTGGGAGCTGCTGTCTGCCAGGGCCTGGGCCTGGCATGGCACCACCTGTGTGACTGGCCAGGGCCAAAGGCCTTGGTGGCCCCAGGTCAAGGTGTAGTCTGCCAGGAGCTAAGAGTGTTCTCCTACCCCACCCTGTCTCCCCATGCAGCGGCTGATTGACAAGACCAAGGTGACATATCTCAAGTGGCTGCCTGAGTCCGAGAGCCTGTTCTTGGCCTCCCACGCCAGCGGCCACCTGTACCTGTACAACGTCAGCCACCCTTGCGCCTCGGCCCCGCCCCAGTACAGCCTGCTGAAGCAAGGCGAGGGCTTCGCTGTCTATGCTGCTAAGAGCAAAGCACCCCGAAACCCACTGGCCAAGTGGGCAGTGGGCGAAGGGCCCCTCAATGAGTTTGCCTTCTCACCGGACGGTCGCCACCTGGCCTGTGTCAGCCAGGATGGCTGCCTGCGCGTCTTCCACTTCGACTCTATGCTCCTGCGTGGGCTCATGAAGAGCTACTTTGGGGGCCTGCTGTGCGTGTGCTGGAGCCCCGACGGCCGCTACGTGGTGACGGGAGGCGAAGATGACCTGGTCACTGTGTGGTCCTTCACTGAGGGCCGCGTGGTGGCTCGAGGCCACGGCCACAAGTCCTGGGTCAATGCTGTGGCTTTTGACCCCTATACCACTCGGGCAGAGGAGGCCACAGCGGGTAGTGGTGATGGGGATGGGAGCGGTGAGGAGGAGGAGCCTGAGGCTGCTGCTGCAGGCATGGGCGCGGGTGGGGGTGCCCAGCTCTCCCCACTGCCCAAGGTCGGCTCCATCACCTACCGCTTCGGTTCGGCAGGCCAGGACACGCAGTTCTGCCTGTGGGACCTCACCGAAGACGTGCTATCCCCACACCCGCCCCTCACGCGCACACGCACTCTTCCCGGCACCCCTGGTACCACACCGCCAGCTACCGGCAGCTCCAGGGGTGCTGAGCCTGGCCCGGGACCCCTGCCCCGATCCCTCTCCCGCTCTAACAGCCTGCCACACCCAGCAGGCGGTGGCAAGGCCGGCGGCTCAGGTGCTACCGCAGAGCCGGGCACGCCATTCAGCATTGGCCGCTTTGCCACACTTACGCTGCAGGAGCGGCGGGACCGGGGGGCCGAGAAGGAGCATAAGCGCTACCACAGCCTGGGCAACATCAGCCGGGGTGGTGGTGGGGGCAGCAGCAGCGACAAGCCCAGTGGACCCGCCCCCCGCAGCCGTCTGGACCCTGCCAAGGTGCTGGGCACAGCACTGTGCCCGCGCATCCATGAGGTGCCACTGCTGGAGCCCCTGGTGTGCAAGAAGATCGCCCAGGAGCGGCTGACGGTGCTGCTGTTCCTGGAGGACTGCATCATCACCGCCTGCCAGGAGGGCCTCATCTGCACCTGGGCCCGGCCCGGCAAGGCAGTGAGTCCTGGCCGCTGGCCCTGTGGGAGGAGGGGACGTAAGCATGGAGATCTGGGTGCTCCAGAGCAAGGCCCTACAGGCTTAGAGCAGCAGGACAGGGCTCCGAGTCAGCTGGAGCCTGGGAACTTGTGCCCAGGATCCTAAAGGGTAGCAACAAGGCCCTTAGGGATGGATCCTAATTCTCTCAAGGCAGTGCCCATTTCTATGGAGAATCTGGATTTCAGGTGGTGGAATTTTTTAGAGACAAGATAAAGCCAGTGGCCTAACTCCATCATGAAAGGGGAGGGTGGCTGGGAAGGAAACCCAAGCTCAAAGCCTGCATTTTTGCTGCTTTTGTGCCCATGGGCCAGGCACTGCCCCTCTCTGAGCTGCTCACCACCATTGGGACAGAGCCTCCTCACAGGTTGGGGTGAGCGCACACCAGCTCCCAGGTGGCTGTGGGGTTTAGATCACTGTAGGGAAAGATAGGAACCTCATGAGCTTGGCGTGCATCTCTGCACCTTTGGTCTTATTGCCCAGGACCACAGACCTGAGGGCCACAGCTGGGTATCTTGGCTCTTCCATTTTGGGAGCTTAGACTCCCCAGTTCCTAGAACCCAAGTATGGTCTCATCTTGGAGGCCAGGGTGGTGGGGTTTGGGGAGTCTGACTGATTCCTGAAAGAGTCCCCTCTGTCTCCCTAGTTCACAGACGAGGAGCCCGAGGCCCAGGCAGGGGAAGGAAGTTGGCCCAGGTCACCCAGCAGTTCAGTGGTAGAGGTAGGACTGTCCCTGAGTTCTTGCCTTTCCAGCATCTCAGGACCACTGTCCCAAGTCAGATGGGGACCCCAGTTTTCTCCCTCCCCTCCTCCCTTGTCTCTGCTTGGGATCTTAATTATTGTGTGACCCTGCTGACTGCTGGACAGGGGAGCTAGCCACCAGCCAAGCATGGCCTCCTGGGACTAGCGCAGTGGCGTCAGGGCTGGGGTTGACTGAGGGGCAATCCTAGGACAGGAGTGGCCTTGACTCCAGCTGCTCCTTCCCTGGGCACTGGCAGGTGGCATCTAACCCCTCCTGTCTCCCTCTTGTCCTCCCCAGGGCATCTCTTCCCAGCCAGGCAACTCCCCAAGTGGCACAGTGGTGTGAAGCCGTGGATATTGGGGTCCTCCACCCCATGCTCCCAGCCTCCTAGCCATAACCCTCCCTGCTGACCTCACAGATCAACGTATTAACAAGACTAACCACAGAGAAAGGACTGTTCCGGTCCCCCACCCTGCACAAATACTGGGGGTCCCTCAAAGTGGCCCGACCCTGGGGGGATATAGCGGTCCAAGTGGCCTCAGCCCTGCCCCACCCATTGCCAAGTACTGTGATCCTCTGAAACATCAGTGTTAACCCACATCCCTATCCCCAGCATGTGACTGGTGGCTCCTGGGGAGAAGCTCCCTGCCACCAGAGCCCCAGCTCTGCAGTGCGCCCCTGCGGTTAGGCAGAGCAGGAATGGTCTCCCTCCAAGCCCCTACTCCATCCCACCCTTGCTGTTGTCTGTGCTTTTGAAAAGTGTTAAGTTATGGAAGTCCCAAGGGCCCTCCTTGTCCCCCAGGACCTCTTATTTATACTAAAGTTCCCTGTTTGCACAGCGGCTCTGTTCCCTGCGTGAGGCAGGCCGGCGGAAGTGTGTGAGTGCTTTTGGCCACTGTCCTAGGGCCTGGCTTTTACCAAAAGAAACAGTGGCCAGCCCACCTCTCCCAGCCTGCTCCTGGGTGGGGAGGGCAGGGGTATGAGGTGCAGCAGGGCCCTTGGGGGTGGGAGGAGACAGCCAGAAGCCCCTTTTCAGTGTGCTCAAGGGTGTTTTAAAAGTTAAAGCATCACAACTGCCCAGCTCCACTCTTCCGAGCCTGCCTCTGGGGTTCCCCCAGGCAGCTCCCAGAGGTACTGTCGAGGGGACTACAGGAGTAGTTTGAACTACCTAGGGAACAAGTCTCTGGTGCCTCAGCCTGGCCCTGCTGCGACCCAGGTGCCCACTTGCAGGTTCCCCTGGCCTCTGGAGAGCAAAGCTTCCGATGCCTGCTGGTGGCTCCTACTCCACCCCCCCCCCCAAATGTTTCTGTTTCTAATCCCAGCCTGGGCAGGAATGTGCTGCCCGGCCAGGGGCCAAGGAGCTATTTTGGGGTCTCCTCTGCCTGGGGAGGGCCTGGCTCTACCATTTGCCTCCTCCAGCCTTTGCCCATCAGGTCACCCCTGGCCCTGGCTCCTGAGAGTGTCCCCCCCACCCAGTCTCTACCACCCTTCCCCACCTCCTGCCAAACAAAAAGTCAGTATAAAGCAGAGGGCCCAGGGGCTAAATTTAACTATCCCGGAGTTGGAATCCATCTGAGTCACTGGAGAAACTGCCCTAGCCCTTGTCCCCCTTCCCCAGCCTCAGGCCCTTACTCTGCCTCCCCCAGCTATGGTGCTTGAGGGAGATGAGCAGGGAGGGGGGTAGTTACTGGGTCACTCAGCCTCGATTGCCGGTCTGGGCAATGGGAGGGCTCCTCTGCACCCTTAACTTGCGCCCCGCCTCTTGACTGGAAAGCAGAAGCTGCTGTGAGAACTGAGATTCTTCAGTCCTTGTCTAGCACTGCAAGGCTCGGGGGTGCTCAGGAAGGGGTTGTTATTGGGGGGGCTGGCTCCTGAGGGGTTAAAACCTGGAGGCGGGAGGGGGCTGGACTAGAGGGTGGGGTGAGAAGAGGAGGAGGCCTCAGCCACAGAGAAGTGGCCAGAGAGGCCCAGGGGACAGCCAGGGACAGGCAGACATGTGGTCAGGGCTCCAGGTCCTGGACGAGGTCTGCCAGACCCCGTGACAGGAGGACCCCGAGCCTCGGCCCCGGGAGGGGCCATGGTGCTGCCCTCCCAACATGTCAGCCAAGGTGCGGCTGAGACGGCTCCAGCAGCTGGTGCTAAACCCCAGGTTCCTGGGGCTGGAGCCCCTGCTCGACCTTCTCCTGGGCGTCCACCAGGAGCTGGGTGCCTCCGACCTGGCTGGGGACAAGTATGTGGCCGACTTCTTACAGTGGGGTGAGTGCTGGCTTGCATGGGCTTCTGGACTTGGGGAGCAGGAGGGATATAGGGACATCTTCCTGTGAGGTGACCCGGAGCTTGGACTAGGTCCTTGGGCAACACACCCCTATGCCCGTAGCACCCCGGTGGGGCCAACTAAGGTCAGCAGAAGCCAGAATTCACCGCAGCAGGGGAGCACTGGTGGGCTAAGCTGGGCACAGCCATCTACCCTATACCCCCTGCCTGAGCCTAGGCTAGGGACCTGCTGGTGTCCCCATCTCCTAGAACTGTCCCCCAAATGAGCCCGATGGCCCTCTACCCTGGTTTTCAAGAGCACAAGGGCAAGTGAGGCGGGACAGCTGTCATGGGTGTGGCTGACAGGTGCTGGGGCCAGCCTCTCCAGCTGCCGGGACAGGTGCCCAGGCCCTGGGAGGAGAAGTGACTCACACAGGCCCTGGGGGAGAACCAGATCTGCAAACGGGCACCACCCAGCCCCCCTTGGTGCTCCAGCTGCGAGCAACTTGGGGTGCCCCTTTCTCTGCCATCCTCCCTCCCATGGCTTGGTCCCTGCCAGCCTGCTTCAGTCGTGGTCCCTTCCCCTCCGTAGGGGTCCCAGTTCAGTGCCATTAACCCTTCCATTGTCCTATGAAGCCCCTCCTGGAAAAATCTGGGCGCTGGGGACATGTCCAAGGAGAAAAGCAAAGTGCTTCTTCCTGGTCTCCCCGCCCCCACACCAGGCCTAGGTCTCAGGCTCGCACTAGTTTCACTCCGAATACTTGTCCCTCAGTGTCCTGCTTTCGCTCCTTGGCCTCCCGTATGGTGTCACTGTCTCCTTTCCCTGCCTTCCCCAGCCCCTTCTTGGCCATGTCCTTCTCTGTCCGACCCAGGTGCCATTCCTTCCCTATTTCATAAATGGGAAGGTAGAGGCCAAGGTACAAGGCCACTTGGCCTGTGGAAGACCCCTCTGCCTCTTGTCTTCTCTGGTTTTAGTCACTCTCCTAGCCTCCCCTTTTGCAGGGAATGAAGCAGAGCTGACAGGGTAAACTGAGGCCTAGATGGGGGCAGGGCTCTGGCTCTTCTCGAAGGAGCAGTCCTTTTGTGGCCTGAGCTGCATCCTTCGGCCCCTCCCCTGCCAGGCCTGAGGCGGGGGAGGGGGCCTGGGTTCCCGCTGCCTTAAAAGGGCTCAATGTCTTGGCTCTCTCCTCCCTCCCCCGTCCTAGGCCCTGGCTGCTGCTTCCTGGCTGGCCCCAGCTCTCAGAATCCCCTCTTTCTATAACCCACTCCCTCTCCCTTCTTCCCTGTCTGAGCTCTTACCTACCCCTTCCTGTCTCCCAAGCTTGGCTTCTTCAACCCCAAGGCCAGGCCTCCCTTTCCCCACTGCGCCTGAGTCTCCAGCCTCCACCTGCCAGTTCCCCTCTGGGTCTGTGTGCTGCAGGCCCAGCTGCAGGCTCATAGCCTCTGCAGCTGATGGCATCTAAGGGAAGCCCGCTGCCTCCTGGGAGAGCAGGGAGCCACCTCTAGCAGTGCTCAGGCTGTCAGTGCTAGTTGAGCCTCCGGATCCTTTCCTGTCCCCAAATTCAGTGTTTCCCATCGTGCTCCAAGAACCGCCAGCATCTCAGACTGGAGGCACTGGGTACGGGGTAGTTCTGGGCTGGAACCCAAGGCTCAGGAGTTGATAACCTCAGGGTTGGGGATGGGACACCCTAACCATCACTGGGAGTGGGGGTGGGGACCTGAGGTGCAAGGAAGTCCAAGAACTGGCCCTATTCTGGTCCTCCTCTGTTCCCAAGAGCCTCCTATTTTGCAAATGTTTGTTACTTTATTTATTTGCACCAGGAATTGAACTCACAACCTCGCACTTGCCAGGCATGTGCTGTGCCGCTGAGCTATATCCCCGGCGAGTTTGTCCCCGGAGTGTTTGTTACTCTTGCACCCACTGGAGCCCTCTTACTCAACGCCCAGTCCCCAGAACGGGTTCCCAGGCTCCTTAAGAGGGCAGTTTTGGGTCACCGAAACCTCACTCGGTGTTTTTGTGGGAGAGCTGTGGGAGCAGACAGTCCTAAAGGGAAGTTGAGAAACAGGGGGAGACTGAGGGTCAGGCCCTCCTCTCCAGTGTCTCAGTGACCCTCGGTTCTTCCTCTACCCCTACCATACCCAGCGGAGCCCATCGTGGCCAGGCTTAAGGAGATCCGACTGCAGAGGGATGACTTTGAGATTCTGAAGGTGATTGGACGCGGGGCGTTCAGCGAGGTGAGTCCTGACTGGCTGCTGGAGTTGGAGCGCCCTTTGAGGTGGGCGGAGCATAGGAGCTGGGGCGGGAGCTTAGAAATTGATGAATGAGACTTAGAACCCATGTCTGGGCTGCGGTGGAGGTGGGGTCTGAGGGCAATCGGCGCGGTGTGTCCGAGGCGGGGCCAGGGCTGGGTAAAGTTAGAGGTGGAGTCAGGTCTGGGTGGCTTTCTCTTTGTTTGGCCACAATCTATACTGTCAGTTTGCTTTGCCTCTAGGTAGCGGTGGTGAAGATGAAGCAGACGGGCCAGGTATATGCCATGAAAATCATGAATAAGTGGGACATGCTGAAGAGAGGCGAGGTGAGGGCCGGGCTGAGCGCGGTGGAGCGGGGGAGTCTGTGCCTCTCACCTTCTTCAGCGCCTCTGCTGCCTGGCGCAGGTGTCGTGCTTCCGAGAAGAAAGGGATGTGTTGGTGAACGGCGACCGCCGTTGGATCACTCAGCTGCACTTCGCCTTCCAGGACGAGAACTACCTGGTGAGTTCCTGGCCTGATGACTAGGAAGGATGGGGCGCTCCCAGCCATAGGAACAAGGCTGGGGAAAGTTGTAAGGTCGGGCTAGCTGCCCCCAAATGCCTGCACGGGAGTCTGGGTATTGGCAGGATGTGTCTCAGATCGGGGAGAAGCCTTTTTTAAAAAATGTAGACTCGGAGGTGATGTCTTTTACTGCTCTTTTCCTGACCAATTTCCGGGTCTCACACTAAGATCCCTCTGTTGGACGAAGCCCTTAACTGGAGTGGGGCAGCTCTCTAATGTGTATGGGCCACTGCTTAGGCAGAGTGTGTCAGAGCTGTCCTCGGTGTTGGGAGGTCAGGAGCTCTTGGGGTTTTTTTTCCCCTGGATGTCTCAGAGGGAGTGAGTCTCTGTCCAGTGACATCCTGGAGAGGAGTTTTTAGGGTGAATCTCTGATTTGGCCTCGAAGTTCTCTGGACTCTTGGGAATGGGTCTGCAGTGTTTTTGCCCAGGGATGGGGCATCTCTCTCTGGGAGTCTTTGCCTCTGGCGATCAGCAATGGGCACCTGGCTTTGGGGGGGAGCACTGACCCCACCCCCAATGACACACCCCCTCTCAGTACCTGGTGATGGAATACTACGTGGGCGGGGACCTGCTAACGCTGCTGAGCAAGTTTGGGGAGCGGATTCCGGCTGAGATGGCGCGCTTCTACCTGGCCGAGATTGTCATGGCCATAGACTCAGTGCACCGGCTGGGCTATGTGCACAGGTGGGTGTGGCAAGGGCTGAGGGACCGGGCCTGGGGGGGACCCAGAGAGGACTAGGGGTGCTTGCCTTAGAAGCTGGAGCCCAGAGGGATGGGGCCTAGGGAGAGGTCCCTTTGGCTGGGGCCCCCTGGAGGCAGGAACTAGGACTGGGGTCCAGGATGACAGAATCCCTCAGGAGCTGAACTGTTCAGAAGGTCGAGGCCTGGCCGGATGGTGCTTAGGAGGCTCATCCCCCCCCCCCTTCACTCCGAGCAGGGACATCAAACCAGACAACATCCTGCTGGACCGCTGCGGCCACATCCGCCTGGCGGACTTTGGCTCCTGCCTTAAACTACGGGCTGATGGGACGGTGAGTGAGCGCACCAGCTGCAGGGCAGCTTGGTCCACCAGGGACAAGTGGGTGCAGAGTGTGTGTGTGTGGGGGGGGCAAGAACGAGTCCTGGGTTGGGGTTAGACTGTAGGGGGAGAGGCTAATTATTGGAGGCGTGGCTAGAAGGGGTGGGCTGGAGCCCAGTTGTGGTTTTGTCCATGCAGGTGCAGTCTCTGGTTGCTGTGGGGACCCCGGACTACTTGTCCCCCGAGATCCTGCAGGCTGTGAGCAGTGGATCCGGGACAGGCAGCTATGGGCCGGAGTGTGACTGGTGGGCACTGGGCGTGTTTGCCTATGAAATGTTCTATGGGCAGACGCCCTTCTACGCAGACTCCACGGCTGAGACCTATGGCAAGATTGTGCACTACAAGGTGAGTGCAGGCCCCAGGAGCCCTCTGTCTCTCCAGGGCACCCGGGCCGACTTTCTGTCCCTCTTCCTCCCGAGCAGGAGCACCTGTCTCTGCCACTGGCAGACACGGGGGTCCCTGAGGAAGCTCGGAACCTCATCCAGGGGCTGCTGTGTCCCCCGGAGGTACGGCTGGGCCGGGATGGAGCAGAGGATTTCCAGAAGCATCCTTTCTTCTTTGGCCTTGACTGGGAAGGCCTTCGTGATAGTGTGCCCCCTTTCACCCCGGACTTCGAGGGTGCCACTGACACGTGCAACTTCGACGTGGTGGAGGACGGGCTCACTGCCATGGTGAGCGGGGGCGGGGTAGGTACCTATGGCCCCTGCTGGGCTGAGGGAACCTGCCCGTCCCCTGCTGCTCCCTGACGACAGCCTGCCACACTCATTCACTCCCAGAGCACGAGTGCAGAGCTCCAACTGTCCTGAGTCACAGTCCAGTTGCCAGACAGGGAGGTGCCAGGGTGATCTGGTTTGAGAGGGGTTGGTTCTAGAGAGGGGTTTTGGACCCAGCGTGGAAGATGCTGGGGCTCTCTGCAGGAGGATCTGAACTTTCCCACCATCCTGAGCAAGCTCTCCTGGAATGCCTTTGTGCTGGGCAGTTCAAGGAACACAGCGCTGACCAGGTCAGGCCTGGTCCCTGCAAAATCTGATCCACCTGAGGTCTAAGGAAGGAGTAATTAAAGTGGGGCATAATAGTGGTCCTCTGTAGTCTCAGCACTCTGGGAGGCTGAGGCAGAAACATCGCAGGCTGAGCCCAACCTAAGCAACTTAAACTGTCTCAAAATAAAAAGTGAAAAAAAAAAAGCACTGAGAATGTCAGTGTGAAGAGTTTGGGTTCAAGAGTAATTTTAGTCTGGCAAAGACCCTGAGGGGATGCAACAGACTACACCAAAAAATTATGAAGAGCAGAAACCATTTTTTAAAATTTATCCAGTTTTCTGAGACAGAGTCTCCCTATATAGTACAGGCTGGCCTTGAACTCGTGTCGATCCTCCTAGCTCAGCCTCCTATAGGCATGCACCACCATGCCTGGTTGGAGGGGCCATTTTAGATGATCTTTGAGTTGGGGTGAGTTGTAGGGGGTATTTAAGCCAGGACCAGAAAAGGTGGAGGGGCCAGCCCTGACAGCTGCTGGTTCTGTCTGTGTGTCTCACTTAGGAGACGCTGTCGGACATGCAGGAAGGCGTACCGCTGGGGGTGCACCTGCCTTTCGTCGGCTTTTCCTACTCCTGCTTGGCCCTCAGGTAAGCAGGCCTGAGCGGAGGTTCTGGGGCAGGTAGCCAGGACGTCTGCAAGGTCCATCTTGGGGTCAAGGGCTCTTAGGAACCAGTAGACTTAGCTTATAAATTCAATTTTGGATTCAATTGTAAAACCTCCAAATCTAGCTTTGGCCTTTGAGAATTTTGCAGCTGTTGACTTTTACATTTCAAGTACACAGCGTCATGGAACCTCTGAATCTTAGGAAATAAGTTTAGAGTTTTTAGAATCAACTTTAACACAAACTCAACGAATCAATAAAACGTTTTAAAAACATCAGTTATACAACACGATTAGAAAGCACGGAAAAAGAGAAGGAACAGGTGCAACAGAGTCCCTGGCTTATGTGTTGCAAACAAGCGAGTGCTCCACATCCGTGAGGCCGAAGCTGACTGGTCACGGCTTGGCGCAGGCGCAAGATCGCCTTGCTGTGAGGAGCCTCCTCCCTGGCAGGGCCCAGCAGAGCTCACGCCGCGTGGGACCAGCAGTCCGGTCCTGAGCATGTCCAGGATACACAGGTCCTGGGGACATGCTCCATGGTGGGACTGCTGGTTGGAAGGGACACTACTTTTATTGCAATTTCATATTCCTAGGGAGAGTCTGGCCCCTCTCAGCTATGGGGTATTAAGTGTGTCCTCCTCCGGTGCCACTGCACCCGCGTCAGTTTTAGGACCTCACACCCACGTGTGTGTGTAGGTTTTTTTTGTTTTTTTGCTTTTTTTTGAGACAATGTTCCCTTATGTAGCCCAGGCTGGCCTTGAACTCTCAGCAATCCTTCTGCCTCAGCCTGCTAAGTGCTAGTATTACAGATTCAGATTTAAAACTCTATCATGGCACATGCCTGTAATCCCAGCATTCTGGGAGGCTAAGGCAGGAGGATCATAATTTTTGAGCCTAGTCTGGGCAACTTAGTGACTTAGACCCTGTCTCAAAATAAAAACTAAAAAGTCTGGAGATGTAGCTCAGTGGGAAGGCCCTGGGTTCAATTCCAGTAGCACATTCACAGGTACACAGAAAAAAACCCACATCTCTGTCAGTTTCCAGAGCTGGGCAGGACCTCCCTCATGAGGTGCCCCTCTCAGTGCTAAAGTCCTAAAAAGAGAGCCATCAACAGGGGATGTTAAGGAAACAGTCCAGAAGATCCTAGAAGATGGGCCTCTGCACCTCAAGTTTGTACAGACAGGGCAGCTCCTAAGGGTTTTCTAGCCAGAAGAGGGTTTGTCACCCAACCTAGCAACTGGTTCCCTTCTTTTCTCCCTTAATCATGGGGGCTTAATTAGGGGCTGCTGACCCTTACCTACAAGCTCTCCCTTTCTTCTCCCTCTCCCCAGAGACAATGAGGTCCCAGACCCTACACCCATGGAACTGGAGGCCCAGCAGTTGTCTGAGCCACACGTGCAAGTGCCCAGCATGGAGCCTACAGTGTCTGCACCAGAGGCAACTGTGAGTAGGTGGGGGAGGGAGCTGACCAGGGAGGAACAGGAGAGAGAAGGCCAGGGCTTCCTGGGTGGCTGTGCTGGGCAGTGCTAAGCCCTCCGAGAGAACAGGGGACAGAAGCAGCCAGCAAAGCAGGGTGATGAGACTCCTTCAGGCAAGACCTGTGTGGACAGGAGGGGACCAGACTAAAGCTTGGAACCCCTGCCCCTTCATCACAGGAGCTGTGTGTGTGCGCGCGGGGAGGGGGAGGAGGTGGACGAGCCCTAGGGCTCCAAGGGCCCAGGCAAACCCAAACTGGATCCCCACACAGGTAGAAGTGGCAGATCCACCTGCTGCTCCTGCAGCAGAGGAGACGTCGGAAGGGGAGGAGGTGACCCTTCGGGAGCTCCAGGAAGCCCTGGAGGAGGAGGTGCGCACCCGGCAGAGCCTGAGTCGGGAGCTGGAGGCCATCCGCAACACCAACCAGAGCTTTGCCAGGTTGGATCGGGCGAGGAGTCCTCTGGCAGCCCCTCTTGGCTGGAACCCGCCAGGCTCATTCCCTGGGTCTCCCCACAGTCAGCTACTTGAGGCTGAAGCCCGCAACCGAGATCTGGAGGCACACGTTAGGCAGCTGCAGGAGCGGATGGAACTGCTGCAGGCCCCAGGAGCCGCAGGCGAGTCCCCCATCGTCCCGCTACCCAGGGCGCTGGGAGGTGGTCCAGGAGCAGATGTGCGACACTGCGGGAGGGCAGGGGCCCAGGCTGGGGCACGCCGCACCACCGCCCTCCTCCTCCTCCTCCTCCGCCCCTCCACGCGCCATCTGCCTTTCTCTTCTCCTTCCAGCTGTCAGGGGGGTCCCCAGTCCCCGGGCCACGGATGCACCTTCCCATGTAAGACCCTTTTCTTTCCCCTACCTCAAGCCTGCTATCCCCTCCGCGTCTCCTCCGCTAGATTTAGGGCTCACCCTAATTCTTTGGGGTTCTAGAAGGTAGATGTCCTTCAGCCCCACATCTTTCAGGTCTCCCTCGGTTCAGGGCTTGCAACAGATCCCTTTCGGGATCCTCAGCAATCCCCCCCCCCCCGCGCGCCCGCTTCAGTTCCCCTTGCTGACCCCCCTCGCCCCCCGCCCTGGGCGGCTGGGCCCATTTGGGCTCCGATCGGGTCACCTGTCCCTTCTCTCTCCAGCTAGATTGTCCCCCGGCCGTGGCTCTGGGCCAATGCCCGCTGGTGGGGCCAGGCCCCATGCACCGCCGCCACCTGCTGCTCCTTGCCAGGGTACGTCCCACGCCCGCCGGCCACCACGCCTCCGCCTCGCTCCGCGCACTCGGGCCACAATCGCTTAGCTGCGCCTCTGCCGGGCTCAGCCCACTGTGGGGAGGGAGGGTGCTTGGGCAGCCAACCACTGCGGGCCACTAGGAAGCAGCCAATGAGGGTCCGACGGTACTTTGGGCTTGAGGGCCGACCATCCGCTGTGAGGGGCGGACGCAGGCTGGGGGGATAGTGGGCCCATCTACGGGAGTAGGCGGATGACACCTGGGAGCCCACTGGCCGCGTGCCAACCCCGCCTTCCCACCCGCAGGTCCCTAGGCCTGGCCTATCCGAGGCGCGTTGCCTGCTCTTGTTCGCCGCTGCTCTGGCTCATGCCACCACCCTGTGCTGCTTTGGGTTCGTGGCCTGTGCCGGCCATCTCGCCCCAGCCTGGCGTCGCCCGGGAGCAGCCTTCGCCCCCTGAACCCTAGAACCCCAGACTGTCCTCGACTCAGGCCCAGTCGCAGGGTTGAGTGACCCGGGGACAGTAGAAGCCGCTCCCACCGTGTCCCCGTCCACCCACTCAGCGCGTGAGCCCAGCTCCAGTCCCGTGATCCGGGCCCGCCCCCTGGCGCCCGGGGAAGGAGGAGCGGATTTGTGGCTGGTGAACCGGGTTCGTGGGGGGCTGGCGCTCAGGAATGCTGGTGGTGGGGACACTGCTGGCCACTTCTTTCCCAGCCGGGCTGAGGCCCCGACGTGGACGGGTGGACTGGGTTCTGAGAAGACAGCAGACCGGGGCGCGGCCACCCGATTGTCACCCTACACCACCCCACCTACGATCGGCTCGCAAACCACCAATCTTCCTTGTGCATGAGCTCCAGGGAAAGCTATTCCTGCGGCCTCCGCCTGCTTTCGGGAATTCTGTGCTTTTGCCAGCCCTGCTTTTTCGGGGACTCCCACGACTCTTTTTCTCACCTACGCTGCTCTCGGAGTCACAGCCGGCTTCCCCGGCCTCAGTGGCTTGAGTATTTATTGATCTTGTCCTCCGACCCGCTGACAGGCTCCCGGACCCCATCACCCTAATCCACGTTTTGGATGCACTGAGACTCGACATTCCTCGGTATTTATTGTCTGTCCCCACCTAGAACCCCCACCCCCGACCCTCGCGAATAAAAAGCCCTCTCTGCCCAAAGCCCTAGCCTCCGCGGTGTAGTTCTGTAAGCGTGGTGGGGAGGAGGCTTCCAGTGCGCCAATCAGGAGGCAAGTGCGGGTAACCAATGGGCTGCTGGGCAGCTAGCGGGACGCAAAGCGGGCGAATCACGGTAGGAAGAGGCAAAGATAGGAGGCGGGGCTTCTCCGCCTGGCCAATAGAGGGAGAGCGAGCCCACTGGAAGGTACCGCCCCTCGCCCAGCTGTGGCTCAGCTGTGCCACTCCAGCGTCCAGACGAAGGGGGCTGGGCTGACGCCGCACGGCCATCCTCTTCGCACTGCGCCTGCGCAGGCCACGCGCATCCGCTCCTGGGACTTACGATCAAGAAAAGTTGCTGCAAACTTTCTAGCTCGTTTCCCCCACCCCTCCTCCCTGCCAGACCCGCCTCCTGTGTAGCCGGGAATTCCGAGGGGCGGAGCGCGCGCCGAGATGGGGAGTGGGGGGGGCCCTCAAAGGACCCTGGAGACGGAGGCGTGAAGAAGCTCAGTCTCGGGGCGGAGATGGCTTCATGCCCGTAGGCCTCCTGGACGGCCCGTTACTTTCTCCATGGTCCCGATGGGGAAACTGAGGCCCTGAGCCAGAGGCACATGCGGGGGGAAGCAGAAAGCGCGACCAGAGACGAAGGGAAAACAAAGGGAGAGTCCCAGACGGGGAGGGAGACGGACACACACACACAGGGACAGAGACCCAAGTGGAGCGCTGGGTCTGGCTCGCGGGGCGGCGAGCGTGAGGGAGAAAACTGGGAAGCGAAGTAGGGTGGGGGAGGGGGCTGGGGAAAGCCTAAGGGAGGAGGAGAAGGAGGGAGGAACTTCCCAAAGTTACAAAACATGGCTACCTTGCCTGCCGAGCCGAGCGCTGGGCCGGCAGCTGGGGGGGAGGCGGTGGTGGCGGCAACCGAAGAGGAGGAGGAGGAAGCGCGCCAGCTCCTGCAGACTCTGCAGGCGGCCGAGGGTGAGGCGGCAGCGGCGGCCGGGACCAGGGCGGGCGAAGCGGCTGCGGGAGCGGAGGACTCGGGGTCTCCGGGCGTCCCCGGGTCGCCCTCCGAGGCCGTTGCCGAGCCGCCCTCTGGCCTCCGCTTCTCGCCGGAGCAGGTGGCGTGCGTGTGCGAGGCGCTGCTGCAGGCGGGCCACGCCGGTCGCTTGAGCCGCTTCCTGGGCGCGCTGCCCCCGGCCGAGCGCCTACGTGGCAGCGACCCGGTGCTGCGCGCGCGGGCCCTGGTAGCCTTCCAGAGGGGCGAGTACGCCGAGCTCTACCGGCTTCTCGAGAGCCGGCCCTTCCCTGCCGCCCACCACGCCTTCCTGCAGGACCTCTACCTGCGCGCGCGCTACCACGAGGCCGAGCGGGCCCGCGGCCGCGCGCTGGGCGCAGTGGACAAATACCGGCTGCGCAAGAAGTTCCCGCTGCCCAAGACCATCTGGGACGGCGAGGAGACTGTCTACTGCTTCAAGGAGCGCTCGCGAGCCGCGCTCAAGGCCTGCTACCGCGGCAACCGCTACCCGACGCCGGACGAGAAGCGCCGCCTGGCCACGCTCACCGGCCTTTCGCTCACGCAGGTCAGCAACTGGTTCAAGAACCGGCGACAGCGCGACCGGACTGGGGCTGGCGGCGGCGCGCCCTGCAAGAGGTGAGGGGACGCTGACAGTGCATGTCCTGCCTTCCTGGGGACCGGACACCGCCTTTCACACCTCCGAGCCCGCGGCGTATGGGCACCGCGCGTGGTGGTCGCGCTCCCGCCTGGGCCCTGCCCCAGGGTCACCTGGCCCGCAGGCAGGCGCAGGCTCGGGGAACTCTTAATGCTGCGTTTGGGACCACGGTGGGGGAGAGAGTGAGAAAGTGGGGGCTGGAAGAATGGGGAAGGACCTTTCCCACTCCAGGGGAGGGGGTGTCTCCCGAACCGTTACTCTTCCCCACCCCCACACCCCTGGGGCCGGGACAGCGTGCGCGGTGGCCTGCCTTTGTTGTGAAACGTGAACCTTCCCCGGCTCTGGTTTCTGTGTAATCCAAGCCCTTCCCCTCCCACCCAGTGCACCAGCCTTCTCTGATGCCTCTGGAGAGGGACTCCGGGAATTGAGCGGGTACCGCTGCTTTTCCAGGCCACGTGCCTGCGGGCCCAAGGGACTCAGGACAGCCCGGGTGCTCCACCGGAGGCCAGAGGCCGAGGTGGTGGGAGAGGAGGACCTCGCCTGCACTGTATGCTAAGAGTGTCGGTCAACACAGGACTTGTAGGGTGCCAAGGGGCCCATGTGTGATTTCAGGAGGCTCAATGACCCTTGAAATAGACCTCAGAGGCTTGGGGGGCAGGTGGATGGTCGTGGTGGGCCTCTGGTGGGCCTCTGGTCCTGGGGGAATGCACAGCCTAGGACCGGGGATGGAGTTCAGTGGCTCCGCTTGGCACGAGGCCCAAGTTTGATTCCTGTTACAAAAAAAAAAAAAAAAAAGAGTGCAGCCTAACAGCCCTTTTTCCACCAGCGAATCTGATGGGAACCCCACTACTGAAGATGAGTCCAGCCGAAGTCCAGAGGACCTGGAGAGGGGTGCCGCCCCAGTGGCCGCTGAGGCCCCCGCCCAGAGCTCCATATTCCTGGCCGGGCCCACCCCTCCAGCTCCATGCCCTGCCTCCTCCTCCATCCTGGTGAACGGGAGCTTCCTGGCTGCCAGCAGCTCCCCTGTGCTCCTCAATGGCAGCCCTGTCATCATCAACAGCCTGGCTCTGGGCGAGGCCTCCAGCTTAGGCCCCTTACTCCTCACAGGCGGAGGGACAGCCCCTCCACCGCAGCCCAGTTCCCAGGGCACTGGCGAAGCCAAGACCTCCCTGGTCTTGGACCCTCAGACCGGTGAGGTTCGGCTGGAAGAAGCTCAGTCTGAGGCCCCTGAGACTAAAGGGACCCAGGTGGCTGCCTCAGTGCCTACTGGAGAGGAGGTCTCAGGGCCCCTGCCCCAGGTGGTGCCTGGCCCCCCACCTGCAGCCACCTTCTCTCTGCCTCCAGGACCAGTGCCCACAGTGGCTGCCCCCCAGGTGGTGCCACTGTCCCCACCCCCTGGGTACCCCACAGGCCTGGGTGCCACCTCCCCACTGTTGAACCTGCCCCAAGTGGTTCCCACCTCCCAGGTGGTGACCCTGCCCCAGGCTGTGGGGCCACTGCAGCTGTTGGCAGCTGGGCCAGGCAGCCCTGTGAAGGTGGCAGCTGCTTCGGGCCCTGCCAACGTGCACCTGATAAACTCTGGAGTGGGTGTAACCGCCCTGCAGCTGCCTTCAGCCACTGCCCCAGGTACTCCCCTCTTGCCTCCCTGGGCCTGGGAGGAGCTGGGGAAACGGAACAGCTCACCCTTGGCATATCCCCATGTCCTCTGTGCCAGGCTTAGCACCGTCTGGCTTTACCCCAGGGGGCTCTGCTGGCTGCTTCCAGCCCTAACCTTCTCCTCTCCCCGCAGGAAACTTCCTCCTGGCCAACCCTGTATCTGGCAGCCCCATCGTCACAGGTGTGGCAGTGCAGCAGGGCAAGATCATTCTCACTGCCACCTTCCCCACCAGCATGCTGGTCTCCCAGGTCCTGCCGCCAGCCCCCGGCCTGCCCCTGCCCCTGAAGCCAGAGACAACCATCTCGGTGCCTGAAGGAGCCCTCCCGGTGGCCCTCAGCCCATCACTCCCAGAGACCCAAGCCTTGGGCACACTGTCCACTCAGGTGCCCCCACCCCCCAGCACAGCCACCTCTGCAGCTAGTCTGCCCTTCTCCCCAGACTCCTCTAGCCTCCTGCCCAGTTTCCCAGCACCGGCAGAGGGTCTGATGCTGTCACCTGCAGCCGTGCCCATCTGGTCTGCAGGGCTAGAACTGAGCACGGGAGCAGAGGGGCTGCTGGATGCAGAAAAGGGGCTGGAGACGCAGGCCCCCCACACTGCGCTGAGGCTGCCGGGCCCGGACCCTGAGGGGCTGCTCCTGGGGGCTACTGCAGCGGCTGAGGTGGACGAGGGGCTGGAAGCAGAGGCCAAGGTTCTGACCCAGCTGCAGTCAGTGCCTGTAGAGGAGCCCTTGGAGCTGTGACAGCTGGCCTCATGCAGCCTCTCCTGACAGTGGTGCTCAAGATGCAGGGCAGGATGGGGGAGAAGGGATCCGTTCAGAGAGACAGTTCCGTGACCTGAAGGTCCCCACTACACTACATGCCTGCAGCCCAGGGAACCCCTCTAAGGCCTGGAGGTGCCTGGAAGACTTGACCATGGGGCGCTGTCCTGCTCTGGATGGGAGGACTCCTGGACAGCCCTCTTCCTGCCCTGCCATCTACAAGGGGGTCTCTGCCCCCCACCATCTGGTACTGGCCGTGAGCTGAAGACCTGCCAGATAGTTGGATTTCCGATCTGCTTGCGTGCTCCCTCATGCCTGACACTATTAACAGCTCAGCTGGCACCAGTGTGCTTGGAACTGCTTGGGATCTGAGGTGGAGCCCAGAGAGTCCTGTCTTGGGCCCAGTTTTGAGCCCAGAGACTGAGACCTTCCTGGCTTAGCCTTTCTAGGAGGCCAGGTCTTCCCTTGCTCCCCTGGACTTAAACCCTCATGATCACCTCCAGCCCCAGACCAAAGATTCCCTCCCTCCTGGGGCAACCCTGACCCATGTCTAGTTTGTATCCTAAATCTCTATTTTTCTAGGATATGTTATACCTCCATTTCAATTAAAGGTAACAGCAGAGCCGCTGGGAGTGCGTGCGGCTCACTTTGCAGAGGATCTGCCTGAAGAAAAGCTGAAGCTCTAGAAGTCCCGTTTGCTGTGGCACCTTCTGGCCACTGCTTTCTGAGGGGACAGGGACCTGGGCACTGGGGCCCTGTGGGCAATGAGTTTTATTTCAGAGTGCAGGCCTAGGCTGGTTTGTGGGGCAAGGGTGCCCCCAATGAGGGTGCAGGGGTACAGTGAGAGCCTGCCCTTGTCTTGCCTGTGGTAACAAAGGTTCCACTTGCTTTATTTTGTTTAAAACAATAAATAGTCTAATTAGAACCGCGAAGGGGGAGTGAGGTGTGAACAAAGACCAGCAAGCTGGGGGGAAACCAGGGGCGGTGGGGAGCCCTCACCGTGAACTTCCCCTCCTGCAGTTCATCTGGGTTTCCTCCACCCACCCTGGGGCTCCTCTGCTTACTGCAGGGTGGGAAGGGCAGCGGCCTTACGCGTGCCAGGCAAAGCACAAATAAACACAACTCATCCTCAGTCCCTGGGGACTGGCTGGGGCCAACAACAATGGGCTGAGGCTGGGGACAGCCTCCCAGCTGCACTGGCTCCTGGTCTGGGGGCTGATGTGTGGCCCTCAGTCACGGGGAGGAGCCAGAGACTGGGCCTGGTCCTGGGAAGCCATCAGTTTCTCGGCCAGCAGCTGGTAGAAGGGCTTGGGGGTCTCCCACTCTTCATCCTCACTGTCAGAGCTGTCCTGCTTCACGATGCGGTTGTGTTGGCGGCTGAATCTGCGAGCCTTGATGCTGAGGGGTAAGAAGTCCAGACAGGACCCTTCCTCGCTTACCTGCCCACTCCAATCCTCTGCCCTCAGCAGCAACCAGGTCCTGACCCTAGTGGGCTAACCTGGGGCCCGAGAGTCCTGTCTTTTAAGACTCCTGGACTCAGCCATGCAGCCTTCGCCAGAGCCCACACCCCTGGGGTGAGGCTGGCGATTGTACCGTGTGTGTTTCAGGCACCAGTTTAGACACAGGCAGGCAGTGGCCTCTTGGAGTTGGACCATGAGTGTCAGGACCAGAGAGGGGCAGGAAGCTAAGCATCAGGAAAGGAAGACGGGGCTCTGAGAAGTTAAATCTATGTGGCTGAGAAGGCAAAAGAAATGGGGGGGAGGGTTGGCAGCACCCTGGCAAGCCTGAAGAGCAATACCTACTACCAAAAGACAAAAAACAGGGCAAAAGGTGCAAGTCCCCATGAAGCTGTTCTTCTTTCTTAGCTTTAAAGTGGCACCTCTCCACCTATGACACTCCCAAGTCAAAAGTTTGACAACAAGCTGGGTATGGTGGCACATGCCTGTAATCCCAGCACTCAGGAGGCTGAAGCAGGAGGATCACCACAAGTTCAAGGCTAGCCTGGGCTACATAGCAAAACCCTGTCTCAAAAAAAAAAAAAAAAAAAAGACACACCCTAAGTCGACACACCCTAAGTCGAGTAAACTTATAGCCTATTTCCAACACAGTGAGGCATAAGGATGTGAATATGGGGAGACAGGTAAGGGTCGGTGTGGCCCCTCAGCCCTCACTGTGCTGGCTGGGCAGGGGTTCTCACCAGTATGGCTTTCGCTCTTTCTGGGTCATCATCCGCCACAGTTGGGCCAGCTCCTTGGTGGCAGCAGTGGACGCAGTTCCAGGACAGGCTCTGGGACAAGGAGGAGGTGGGAAAGGAGGTCAGGGATGGCCTGTGGGGTACGCTGGTTTGGGAGGGGGCCAGTGATAGGACAAATCAAGTGTTCCTGTCCTTTTGCCCGATGGTTGGCAAGACCTCCAGGAGCAAGGGTCTCAGAAAGTACACTTTTTCTTTTGTCTTTTTGAGACAGGGTCTCACTATGCAATTCAGGTTGGTCTTGAGCTCACTTTGTAGCCCAGGCGGTCTTAAACTCACAACAATCCTCCTGCATCAGCCTCCCGAGTACTGGGATTATGGGCATGCACCACCACACCTGGCTAGAAAGTATGCTTTAAATGGTCGCTCTCATGGTGGCAGGGGAGTGCAGGGGCCCTGTAGCCACTGCTCACCCAACTGACCAGCACCTGGTCTTCCTGAGAAGGGACCAGCTGTGCTGTGCTGTGGTCTTCCCAACCCTTGGCTTTGGTCCTGCAGTGACTGGGTCAGAGTTGGGCTCCTAACCCATCAGAATTGATTTAGGAGCCTTTATTTGAAACTTTTAGAAATGCGAGCTGTCCTTCCCTAAAGGCTGCTGGAGTAGTAGAGGGAAACCTGGCCAGGCACTCCTGGGACCACTCTGCCGCCAACACAATGGGGAATAAAGCCAGCCCAGGAGAGAAGGACAGAGACCCCAGTGGCACTGTCCCAGCTTGCATCTGAAGGCAAGTACGCCTGCCTGACTCTGCTCTGGGCTATCTAGACCTATTCATTCCCTTTCCTTTCACAGCCAGGGTTCGGATTGGGCTGCCCGCCCATGGAGGAAGCCGCTGCTGGGGTAACAGGCCAGTGAGAGTGGTAGCTGCAGAAGGGTCTGTGGCTCCAGGAAGGGGCAAATGGCCTCACAGCAGTGGGGCCAGATGGTCTGAGGGTCCTGATGGTAAAGGTGAGGGCCCTGTGAGGGACCCCTGAAACTCCCTACCCACCGGATATAAGGCTTCCGGTTCATCCTGCAGAACATGATGAAGCCATTGACGCACTTCTTCTTCACCGGGGCCGGGCAGGGGGCTTTCTTGCTCTCCTTGGGCTTCACAGGGGCCTTGCTGGCCCGGTGGCCCTTCTTGCTCTTCCTGCCAGCGGCAGACAGGGTGGAGGCGCGCTGGGTGGGGCTCCACGTGTAGTCATCGTCCTCCTCATTGGAGGACTGGGAGCCCTGTGCATCCTGAGAGAGGCCGAGAGGTGAGCCAGGGCAGGAGGGGCTCATGAGGCCCCCGCAGGTGGCCAGCACTCTCACCTCCTGCTGGTCCACCAGGGAAGCTGTGTCAGCGTCAGAGCCAGGGCTGGACAGTGCCTTGCTGTTGTCACTCATGGAAAGGTAGCAATGGTCCAAGGAGACTGAGGACTGGCGCATGCTGTAGAAGTCAGGGGGGACCTGGGCGGCCCCAGCGGGGGCATCCTATGCCAAATGAAAGAAAGATGGGGGCATCTTCCCATGCACTGATTCTCCAGGGGATAACCTGACTGTTAGAAACCCTCACTCTTCTTATAGCTCTTGGGACATTGAAGCAAGTGTCTAAGTTCCCACAGGGAGCAGGGGGCTGGATGGGCCCGGTTGTGGCCTCCTGTCCCAGTGCAGGACCAGGACCTCCCTCAGTTCCCTCAGTTCCCTGTCGCTTGGCATCTGTGGTACTCTGGACAAGTCTTAACTGCCCTGAGCGTCTGTTTCACGTGTGAAACAGTGGTCACAATACAGGTCTTGTGGGCTGAGAAACATGTCCAGTAGCACCGGTGCTGACTGAGGGCATTGCTGATAGGGTGTTTTTGTTTCCACTGCCAATTCAGCTGCACGTGGAGGTGACACTGGAGGGAGCAGGGGCTGGAGCTGGAGCTGCCTCTCAGACCCTGGCTCCTGCAGTGTGAGGGGATGCATGGTCAGCCAGGCCGGGCAGGGGCAACCCTGGCTTTGGTCTTCATTTTGACTGAGGATTCATGGGGTCTCTTTCCTCATTTTAGGGTCTGCATCCATAAAATGAGGCCACGAGCACCCTGGTTTATGGAGCAGTAATACTGTCACGTGGGCCGTGGTGGCTGTGGTGAGTGTTCAAGGGGGACAGGGAATAGAGGGTGGTGACCAAGAGAGGACAAGGAGGAACATGGGCAGGAGTGGACAGAGAATGGCAGCTGAGGCCCAAAGCATGAGAGGGGTGTGGGTAGGTAGGGCCTACCTTCTCCTGGGGAGCTGCCAGCAAGGACTCAGGATCTAAGAGCACCTCTTCAAACAGACCTGCGGGGACCAGAGGGCTGCTGGAAAGGACAGCTTCAGGCTTCAGCCTACCTCACCCTGCCCTCCCTGCCAGTTGGACTCTTCCTCCCGGGCTTTCTGCTTTGGGGTCTCCCACTCCAAGTCCCCTCACAGGCCAGCTCCCTTGAAGCCCCTCCACCCCCTCTGATTCAGGCTCCTGAAATCTTGCCCTGGCCCCAGCCTGCGAGGTTCCTGGCATGGCCTGTGCAGGTCTGAGCACGTGGTCTCCATGACTTGTAAATGGATTAAGTGTGTGTCCTGGGCCGGGAGGCTCACCTTGGGTCAGAAACATGGTGTCATCCTCCAAGATCTGTTCTGGCAGCAGCCTGCTTGGGGAGCTGAAGAGGGAAGGGCTGAGTCCAAGGATCTCTTCCGGGTGGCCTGTCACACTCCAGGTAGGGACCTGGGGAGGTGGCAAGGCCAGCAGGCTCTCTGAAAAGGAAACATAGGATTCAGGAGTACGGTCAAAGATTGTCCTCTCCCCTGGGGAAGCAACTGGCAGACACAAGAAAAGTGACTGTCTCTGTCTCATGTGGAGTTCCAGAACTTCATTTCCTGGTAGAGGAATGAAGAGGTAGGATGCTTGGTGCTACGTCAGGGATAGCAAGAAAGAAAGAAAGAAAAGAAAAGAAAGAAAGAAAGAAAGAAATTATTATCACAATGTGTGCCAGATCCAACAGACAGACTGTAGCTACCTGCAGCTCTGTGGTGAGAAAGATTCTGAGGTAGTATCTGGGCTCAAGGAATAAAGGTGACAGCTGTTTAGCAAGTGTGTGACTGGCAGTGAGTGACAGCAGGTATGGTGTATTTTCTATGCCTGTGCTCAGCAGATCCCCACTTCTCCCTGCCATGGGAATCCTCAGAAAAAAGTTAAAGAAACCCAAAGCCTATGAGGAGGAGAGGCGGAGTTCCAGGCACCTTGGGAGCTGCCCTCTAAGGGACAGACAGGAAGCCAAGGGTCAGCATCTGGAGCGTCCTTGTCCACCTCCTGACTGGAATCATAGAAGACCATCTGCTGCCTGTAAGAAGCAGAATCAAGAGGCAGACAGAGAGGCCTGGCCCCCGGGGTGGCTAGGTGATCCCTTGGGGTATCTCGTGTAGCCAATGTGTATGGGCTTTGGGGAGTTTCCTCGGCTAAGGCTCCTGACCTCAAGGAGCTTCACATCTTGTGAAGGGAGAGGAATGCATAAGCAGTGGCTGGCGACGTGTTGGGGTGCCTGTGATGGAGGCTCCTGGGAGGACTAGGGGGCAGGCGCGGAGGGGTTGCAGTGAGCTCAACCTACAGGACAAATAGCTTCTCATGTGGACCAGGGGACAGGGCTGTGCAGGAAGAGGGACCAGGGCGAAAAGCTCACAGGGTCAAGGTACAGCTCTTGTGGGGACTCAGGAATGTTTCATGCTGCTAAGTGTAAGATCCGTGGGGTGAGGGTAGGAAAGAGGCTGACATAGTGAGGTGGGCCACGGACTCTCTCTTTCCATTAAGATCTGGACTCTATCCTGCGGGCACAAGGAAAGGTCGGCTCACAACTGACATGTCAAGGACTGTGGTCAGAAGTCACTCAGACAAGTGAGAAAAGGCTGGCAGGGGGATGCCAGAGGCAGAGGCCAGTGTGGAGGCTGCAGTCATGGTGCAGGAGATGGGTGGTCAGGCTTCCCTGTGTGTGCGCTGGCAAAGGACAGAAACTGGCCTCGTTCCTCAGGACCTGTAACCATGCCGGGCCACACACTTCAACCTTACCCACTGTGCCCTCAGGGTTCCCCTACCTGGGGTAGAACGCTGTCCCGTTGAGGAAATAGATCATTTCACCTGTGCTCTCATCCTTGAAGGCAAGGTCAGGCTCCTCATCCTGGGGACCATCTGCATAATAGTGGCCTGGGGGTAAATCGGGGTGACCACTCCTGTGTGTTGGGCCAGAGTCCAGGACTCTGGAAGCCACAGGGGACAGAGAGGTGCCAGGTTCTGCCATCCAGCTTTCTCCCATCCTAGCCAACTTCTCAGGCTGCAGGGGCTCTGTGTGAGGCTGGGGTACCCAGATCACACACACATTTCTTAAAGCCCACATCCTTATCAAGAGCTGTAATGATGATAAAATCTTTAAGTGGAATAAAGACAATGATAGCAAACAAATACCCAGCACTTACTTTGAGCAGCCCTGTTTCAAATACTTCCCATCCCATTCAATAGCACCTTGCTGTGTTACCAACTGTGTGGGAAAACTGAGGCATAGAGAGACCTGTGTAACTTGTCAAAGGTCACACAGATGGCAGAGACATCTGTGAAGCCCCTCCTGAGCCCCAGGGTGGGTTGGGTACCTCTGCTGGGGCCCCCAGCCTCCAGAGCAACCCCAAACTCTCTACAACTAACATCTCCAAACATGGGTGAGTCCTTCACTGCACTATGAACTTGGTCAGTTGATGTGTCATAAGCATCCTACACATGGGCTGGCCTAGGGGAGGTGCAAAACAGAATAGGAGCTAATGAACAAACAGAGAAGCCAGCTGCCCAAGTTGCTGAAGCCACCATGAAGCAGGACCTTGAAGTCATGCTCCCCTGCCCAGCTCTCCGCTAGACCCATCATTGCTCCTTTGGCAGCAGATCCAGTGACAAGAGGATCACAAGAGAAGGGCTGGCTGCTTCAAGTAAGCCTGATGAGGAGGTCCTGGCCCTTATTTCCTGTTCTAAACCTGAAGCTAACACAAAGGTGATTTTTTTTTTCTGTACTGAGAACCAAACTGTGTTGGAGACAACTCCAGTGACTCCTCTTGAATGCAAAACAATTACTCCACTTCTGATTATTTAGAGGCTGATTTCCTTATACTGATGTGTACAGAGCTGGCTATGGTATTTCCTTCTCTCTTCAGTTGGCTTTAAGCATTACAAATAAGGCTAGCCAGGTGCTGGTATGTAATTTCTAAGGCCAACGCACAGTCCTGTCTCCTCGCATAGTGTTCTCCATGTACAGGATATGAGCACAGCAATGTTAGAGCCAATAGCTCCGGGAATGTCAACTGGGTTTGAGCCTCAAAGTACAGAGGCTATGACTCTCCAGGGCACAAGAGTTTGCATTCAGAAATCAAAGGACAACATCCCAAAACAATTCAGTTGCTAAATTAATTAGATTATGCAAATTGAGCCTTCTGCATATCCTTATCTCTGCATTTTGCAGAGATGCCTTTCTCCTACCTGGCCAGCCAGCTCACGTTACTCACGGAATTCCTAATTCCTGCCATCCTCACTGTCACTCATCCCACAGCTACCCTCCTTCTTTACAAGATAATAAATTCTAGGAGAGGCCTAGGATCAGGCCTTTGTCCCTTTGTCCTCACAGGGATTGGATTTAGGACTCCTTGGCTGCCCTTAACTAGGAATATGTCTTGGTGTCTTTACTCTCTCCGTGGGTTGCACTGGAGGTGGTAGATTAAAATCAACTTGCTGGGACTCCAATAACATCTCAGTAGGATTACAAATATAACTTTTTGGATTGTGAGGAAAATTTTAAAAAAATTATAATCTCAGATGACTAAACTCAATATTTGGGATTATAATACTCAGGACCTCATGCTTGCCAGGCAGGCTCTCTGCCACTCTGCCTAAATCCCTGGTCCACATGAGGGTGACCTTGGTCTTGTCCTTCCCTTTTACCCATGGCAGAGCCTAACAAGAAATAGGGGGATGGGATCATACTCTGTGAAGTAAAAAGTAGTGTCTGCCCTGTGCCCTGCTGTACCCCCAGCTACTAGGACTGGGTTACAGCAGGTGCCTGGAAAACAGCGCCAAGAGAAAGACTAAATTCATTGTGAAGAAAGAGACCAACTTGTGATGTCATCAAAGTCGATGTCATTGGCCATATCCAACAGCGTCAGCTGGGCTCCTGCTTCTTCATCTCCGTTTTCTTCTTGCACTGAGGGCAGCACAGCCTCACAGGCATCAGGGCATCTGGGAGGGGTGGTGGTCCATCCCATGTTTTCTTCTTCCTGTTCTGAGGGTGTCACCAGCTTCTGAGATGTGGTGTCCAGATCCAGAGAGCGGCGAGACCTTTGGGACCAGGTCTGGAGTTCTGACAGAGCAGAGAGACAGGTGTCAGGTGTGTCTCCGGTGGGGTCTCCTGTGCTCTGTACAGACATTGTTTCTAAGCTTTGTCTGAGTCAGGTGTGTGGTGAGGAAGGCTGAGGCAGGAGGATCATTACAAGTTCAAAGCCAGCCTGAATACATAGCAAGACCCTGTCTCAAAAAAAAAAAAAAAAAAAAAGCTTTCTCTGGCCTGGTCACTTCCCACCCTTCTGGGCATGCCCAGATCCTCAAGGAGAGGTCATTTACTCCAACCTCTGTCCACACACCAGTGACACCTGATGTGCTGGGTGTGAGGCACAGACAGGAATTCTTTTTTTTGTCTTTTTTTGAGACAGGGTCTCGCTATGCAGTTCAGGCTGACCTTGAGCTCACTTTGTAGCCCAGGCTGGTCTCGAACTTGCAAGATCCTCCCACCTCAGCCTCCCAAGTGCTGGGATTACAGGCGTGAGCCACCACACCTGGCTAGACAGGAATTTTTCAAAAATCACTCCAGCGGGGGTTGAAAGTCAATAATCAGGTCCCATTTCTCGGATGGGAAGCTAAGGCTACATAGGGGAAGTACCTGGCAATGCTGGAGTAGGATGGAGAACTCCCCAGCTGGGTCTTTCTACCACCATATGCTCCTGCTGTGCTGGCCCAGGAATGAGGCCTGGGCACATGACAGCAACCACTCCTGGGGCCTTCCCAGTGCATGTTGGGAGCACTGCTTTGGCAGAGCACGTGCAGTCTTCTTTACACTCTGAGACCAGCCTGGAGTGGGTATGGCATTTCCCAGTGAAGAGCCAGCAGCTCAAAGGGGAACGGCCCAGCCCAGGCCCCAGCACTCCTACGAGCGGGAGCTAGGGATGGACCCCAGGGTGACGGCATCCCTAGGGAAGGAGCCCTGCTCCCATTTCAGTCCTGTTTCTGCTCGGCCTCTCCTGAAAGCCTGTACCTGGTGCTGCTCGGGTCAGCTTCTTCTTCCGGGGTTTCTGACGGGCCCCCCAAACGTGGGAGTTCTGAGAGCATGGAGAGCTGGAGGGGGTGAAGTGTCTCCGACTGGCCTGGTCTGAGGCTGGATTCCAGCCCGGTGCTGGTGGGATGGAATAGACAGATCAGAGCCCCCAACCTCAGCCGCCCTCATTTATCCCATTTCCTGCCTGTCAGAGCACCATAGCCGCCAGCTGGGGTGACTTCCAGGCTGACTGCTCCTCAGGGCGACTGTACAAATGTGGAATCTGATGTGATGGAGAGAAATCGGACCTGCCAATGGTCTGCCAATGGTCGCACAGCCAAGAGGCAGAATACACTGTGAAAGCCCAGGGGTCCCCAGAGTGACCATGGGCCTTGGCAGAGAGGATGAGTGGGTCCTTTCCCTGCCGGACACTTGGCCCTCTTCTCTGTTCCAGACCTGGTCCCCTTTCCAACCTCCTCAACCCAGTGCGGGTGCCACCCCCAGCCCTGGGGCCTGCTAAGACTCTCCTGCAAATGTACCCACTTCCGTTCACATTCTCAGCTGTGGTGCCAGCTTAGGCCTCACTGTCATTTGTCTAGAGACACTCCTAGAAGGATTTTCTCATCTCAACTCCAGTTTCTCCTTTAATAACCAATCCTCTACACTAGATGTCAGGGACCTTGTTCTACAACTTGTTCCATCCCCTGCACCACTTAAAAATACATACAGGGAAAATAAATAAAAAATATATACAGGACTGGAGATATAGTTCAGTGGCATGAGCATTTGCCTAGCAAGCACAAGGTCTTGAGTTCAATTCTCAGTACAAAAGCAAAACAAAACAATATATACACAGTAAGTATAGAGGGCCTTGCGTAATTCTCATGTTCTTCATCCTTCTCACAGTTGTGTGTCATAAGGCCTTCGGCACTCCATCCTTGCCACCCTAGTCCTGCCAAACCCCTCCAGCCTCATCTCTTGCCATTCAGCTTGCGTATTTTATGCTCCAGTGACAGTGCTCGGTTCCCCCCAGGTCCCCTCTGCTTGTATTCAGGGCTGGGCATCCCCGACACACGCATCTGGCTGCTCTTGCTTCTATTATTCCTTTGATCTGCCTAGGGGCCTCCCTTTTCCAGGTGTCCTTGACGCACCTCCCCCAAAGCTCCCACAGCATCCTGCATGTACTTCTGAAGTTTCCCATCTGACAGGCTGTGCATTCCAGGGACAGAGAGGACAGCTGGCCTCATCTAAGCCACTGGGAGTTAGCCCTTAACAGACAGCAGGAGATGCTGGCTGAAATGCTTACCCCCAAGTCCGCCTTCCTCATCACTGAGGTAGGATTTGAGTAGGGCCTTGACCACATCGATGGCCCTCTGCAGGTACTGGATGTAGTGCAGGACGTGCAGCAGGATCTCCTTCTGCTCCAAAAGAAAGATGGGTGAGCACAGGGCCAGGGTGCAGGACTGGGCTTGCCCACTCCCTGCTGTAGGGAGAGCTGCTCCTGTTGCTTGGTTCTGAAGTACTGGGAATTGAATCCAGAGTGTTGAGCTACATCCACAGCCCTCTTTATTTATTTATTTTTGAGACAGGATTTCACCAGGTTGCCCAGGCTGGCCTTACACTTATGATGCTCCTGCTTCATTCTCCTGAGCAGCTGGGATTACAGGTGTGCCCACTACACCCAGTGCTAGTCTTCTCTTAAGCCCCACTGTGCCCCAGTGAGGTACAGGGTACAGCTGAGGAAACAGGCTTAGTGCACTTCAGGGATGTGGAGGGTGAATCCAGGTTAGCCTGCCTCCTGGTCTGGTTTTTGGGGACACACTGCTCAGCTTCTAGCCACTGGCCCTTTGCTCATGCTGTATTTCCTGTTCCCTCCTCCTCTCCCCACAAGTTCCCTCCCACTCACTGCCTCTTCCTCTTCTTAGTCTCAGCCCTCACCATGCGGCCTCCCTGCCCTGCCCTTTCCCACCTAGACAAGGCCAGCAGCCCCTCCTCAGCGCTCTTGTCACACCTTGTCCTATCTTCAAGGCACTTGCCTCATTGCTTTGTAATAGTCTCTTTTTTTAATTTTTGCTACTGGGAATTGGCTCATGATTTGCATTTGCCAGGTGGGCACTGTGCTACTGAGCTAGATCCCCAGCCCTAAAAATCTCTTGATGTGTTGTTCTCTCCACTGACTACACACTAGGTGATGGTGAGCCTGTGGCTGAGTTCTGTGTGCTAAACACACAGCATGGAGAGGTTGCTCCACCAGGGACTGCTGAAGGAGTGATGTCCCCACAGCACCCAGTGGGAGCCTCCTGTCCAGGGGATGGCATCTCCAACACCAACCACAGAGGACCTTCTGACACTGGAAACGCCAAGCTACCAAAAAATACTGCTCATTGCAGGCCGGGCACGTTGCTGTGACCTAGACATGCTTCGCCTGCCTTCATAGACTCCACAGTGGTCTCACAAATCACTCAAAACTATCATTAGCCATAAGCATTATGAATAAAAGTGTACAACAAGGAACTCCAGAATTAGGCCTCTCCGAAGAAGCGGCATTTAAACTGAGGCCCACGAGTGAAAGGGATTAGCTAGGCGAAAAGTGAGGTAAAGCAAGCCAGGACACAGGGTCTTACGAGGGGACTTATGTAAAACTTCTGTAAAATACAGTGCAGACAAATGGTCACTGATATGACTGAGCATGAGCTTAGAAGGGAGCTGTAATCTTACTACATGATCTAGGAGAGACATGTGACAGGCAAAAGAACGCATGTTCTGAAGGACCTGGATCCTCTCTGCCACTGATGACTGTGCATCAGGAACAGGTCATCTCCATGACTTTACCAGGCCTTGGTTTTCTCATCTGTACAATGGGAATGAGGATATTCATTTATGTTTAGAGGATTACTGCTAGGACTAAGCAAATGATAGTGTGGAACTACCTAGTAGAGTTCATCTCGTATACTACTTATCTAATGAGTGCTTAGTTGAAGGCAGGCATTGCAGTGCACATCTTTAATCACAGCATTGCGAAGCTGAGGCAAAAGGGTTGCAAGTTCAAACTCAGGCTGGGCAAGTCAGTAAGACCCTCGTTTTGTTGTTGTTGTTTGTTTTTTGATACTGGGAATTCAACTCATGACCTTGCGCTTGTCAGGCAGGTGCTTATGCCACTGAGCTAAATCTCCAGCCCCAAGATGTTTTAAAATAAAAAATAAAAATAGGCTGAGTGGGGATTTAGCTCAGTGTCATAAGCGCCTGCCTGGCAAGGTCATGCGTTCGTTCCCTGGCACCAGAAAAAAAAAAGTCCTGAGGAGTGTGAAGGCCCAGGGTTCAATGCTCTACACTGGGAAAAAAGTGTAGTCAGTCTTTGAATGAAATTGCTTTTATCAGGTTCTCAAGGGATTACATAAGGAAAACTATAACTAGAGTACATCTTACTGTAGAGAGAACGGCTGTCATCAGGAAATCAAATAGTGACAAATGATGGTAAGGCTATGGGGGAAAAGGAACTCTTTTGCATTATTGGTGAGGAAGTAAACTAGAAAAACCACTATGAAGATCAGTATGGAGATTCCTCACAAAACTAAAACTAGAAATTCCGTTCGACCCAGCTATTCCTCTTTTAGGAATCTTCCCAAAAGACTTAAAGTCGTCGTATTACACTGATACCTGCATAGCCATGTTTATAGCAGCACAACTCATAATAGTTAAATCTTGGAAATGGCTAACAGAGGCATGGATAAGGAACACGTGGCATTTATACATGGTGGAGTACTATTCTGCCATAAAGGATAAACCTAAGGCATTTGTAAGTTAAAGGATGCACCTCAAGACCATAATGTTAAGTGAAAGAAATCAGATACACAAGTTTAAATATTGCATGGTTTCCTTTGTATGTGAAGCCCAAAATTTAATAAAGAACAAAATAAGTAGAGGACAGGAAGCAGAGAGGTCTTTTTCAAATGGGAAGGGGAATGAGAGCCAGAGGAGAGGGAAGGAAAGGCAAAGGGGATTGAAAAAAAAGAATCAAAGAAAAACAGGGAAATGGAGATTTCTCAGAAGGGAAGGGGAAAAAAAGAGTCAGGAGTTGGAAAGAACAGGGAGGGATGGGAGGGGAGGGTACCAAAAAGAACTAAGGTGTGTTAAGCACATATGCAAACTCCATACGCTAAATGTGATCATTATGTACTGCAAACATGTAGTAATAAAGAAATTAAATTAAAAAAAGAAAAAATAGTTGGATGTGGTGGTGCATGCCTGTAATTCCAGCACTTGGGAGGCTGAGACAGGAGGATTTCTGGGAGTTCAAGGCCAGCCTGAACTACATGAGACCCTGTCTCAAAAAAGAAAGAAAGAAAGAAGAAAGAAAGAAAGAAAGAAAGAAAGAAAAAAAAAAGAAAAAACAGAACTAGAACATGAATTTTTTCAAGGGCAGACTCTGTCTTTTTGAGCTTGGTATTTCCTATACCGGGCTTGACATGGCTGGCATGCACTAAGGTGAGTTCTTCGTAACTGTGAAGCAGCATGTAAATGCTACCTATTATGACCAGACTAAAGGTTTTATGCAGAAGGCAACTGGCATCATCCCTGATTTCAGGACAGAGGCTCAGTCCTTGACACTCTGGGAAGATCAGTTAGCAGCTACACCTAAGGCTCAAATCTCAAAGACCTTCTGAAGGTAAAACAGACCTTACAGCCATCTGAACACAGGGAATTCATTCAGTCATTCAACAGACATCTATTGCGTACTGAGTAACAGAGTCACCAAAGGGCTCAGGTCTTTGGTATGAGACACCAATAGCTCCCTCGTTTTCTCACTTCTTTCCATTGCCTGGTGCTGTGTCTCTGGGCAGCATGACCCCTCTGCACTGCAGTTTCCTTAAACCAAAAATCACCCTACTTGTACATCTCTCACAAGCCTAGCGGGAGATTAAACAAGAAATTGTGTGTAAGATGGTTAGTATTCATGTTCTGACACAGGAGCCCTCCATAAATTAGGAGCAATGCTTATTGCTATCGGTTTTAGGCTGGGCCCTGTGGGTGCTGAGAATGGAGATATGGCAGATTTCTCCATCTAAAGTAAATGAGCCTGCCTTGCAAGCAGGCAGTCGTGAGTTCGATCCTGGTACCAATAAAAAAAAAAGTTGAGAAAAGAAAGAAAAGGGGCTGGGGATTTAGCTCAGCAGCATAAGCACCTGCTTGCAAGTAGGTGGTTGTGAGTTCGATACCCGGTACTGATTTAAAAAAAGTTAAAAAAAAATAAATGAGAAGCCAGGCACTGTGCCACAGTGCCTGTAATCCTAGCTACTTGGGAGGCTGAGGCAGGAGGATTGCTGTGAGTTCAAGGTCAGACTGAACTACATAGCAAAACTGTCTCAAAATGATAATACCAAAAAACCCCTCAAAAACCAAAAAACACCATCAAAACAAACAAAACAAACAAAAAATGTCCTTCTGGTCACACTGGACCCACCCAGATACTTCAGAGGAATGACTTCATCTCAAGATCCTTAACTCACCAACATGTGCAGAGTCCCCTTTGCTATATAAGGCAACATATTTATAGGTGCTGGGAACTAATATGTAGACATCTTTGGAATTGAGATGTGGACTATTTGAGGAGTTTTCCCTCTGTCCTCAAATATTTGCATATTTAGTGTACATACAACCTGTGATTGGCACTTGGGAAGCTAAAAATGGTAAGGGCATAGTCCCCTGCCTTTGAGAAATGGCAGTCAAGGCTAGGGTCAGGCAACATTTTATAACAGACCTGATGCCACATCACATACCACAGTTCTTAGGAAGTGCCCCAGGTTTCACTTTTCTTTTTTATATTTTATTTTTCCTGCTTTTGTACTTAAGACTGAATCCAGGGCCTACTGAGCTATATCTCCAACCCTTTAAAATTCTTTTTAAATTTTTTCCAGCCCTTTTTAATTTTTAATTTTATTTTTACTTTTCTGAAACAGGGTCTTGCTGGGTAGTTTTTTTGTTTTGTTTTGTTTTGATACTGGGGATCAAACACTACCCTGCGCTTGCCAGGCAGGCGTTTATGCCATTGAGCTAAATCCCTGGCCCTTGCTATGTAGTTCTGACCAGCTTTGAACTCACTATGTAATCAAGACTGGGCTCAAACTCGAAGTGATCCTCCTGTCTCAGTTCCCTGAGTGCTGGAATTATAGCTGTGTGCCACCATGCAAAGCACAAGAGTCTTTATAAGAGGGAGGAGGGTCAAAGGTAGAGAGGGCGGTGTGACAACAGAAGAGGAGACAAGAGAAATATCAAGATGCTGGGTTGCTTGCTTTGAATGGGTCATCAGGAGCCAAGGAATGTAGTGGAGACAACTAAACCTGCTGCTACCTTGACTGCAGCCTCTAGCGAGCCTGATTTGGGACATCTAACCTCCAGAACTATACAAGAATACATCTGTGTATTTAAGCCATGGAGTTTGTAGTGATTTGTTACAGCATGCCTAGGAAATTCACCCAAGCACCTGCTGTAGTGAGGTGTTTAGGAGGAAGACTCTACATGACATGGTGGTTGATGGAATGTGGTGGCCAGGGAAAAGGCCATCTTAGGGTCAGGCACAGCTCCCCAGACACCCACTCCTCTGCGCTTCTCTAAATCAGGTCACACATTCCAGCGGGGACCAGATATCCGTGTGTTTGAATTCTCATCTTCTGGATAGATTTGAAATTCCCAGAGATAGATTGGGTCTCAGATTTCTTTGCCTCCTTTGTGACAATCAGAACAGATTCTGCCCTCCAACAATCTGCCCACAAAGGGCCCATGAAAGAATGAGGAAAAGAATTGAATGAGAAGAAATACAGCAAGAAATCATCCACTAAGCCTTCAAGACCTGAGCCTCGCAGTAAGTTGCTCCCACTGGGAGCAAGTGGTTAGCTTGGCACTGCACGTGCTTACTGAGAACCCTACCAGGACACCGGAGAAACCTCATCTATCCCTTCCTCGGAGATGAAACCCCTCAGTCCCAAAGTAGGGACTTCAGGAGGGAGCCAACACTTGTTCAGGGCATGCTATGTGCTAGGCCTGCCAGAGTTATCACGTCATTTTGGCCTCACAGTATCTCTGAGGAGGAGGAATTATTTTTCCTTATTTTATTGTCAAGAATCCCGAGGCTTGGAGAGAGATTGGAGTAGCCTGAGGAAACTGGCCAGAGATCCACAGCTATGAAGCCAGAGGGCACAAACCTGGGGCTGTTTGACTTCTGTTCTTCCCTCCCAGTTCCCCTGGCCTCTTTTGTGTAAAAGAATCCCCAGGCTTCTAGTCATGGGCCTCAGCTTCCCACAGGTTTCCACTTAGAGCAGGGCCATGCCTTTCCCAGGCTGTTCGGAAAGGTTCTGGCCAGCTTCCTGCTCAGTGCTGCCTGAAGACCCGGCTCACTGCGCTGCTGCCTCTCCTCCCATCCCCGCACCTTGGTGAGCTTCTTGGAACCAGTCTTCAGGGTCACAGGTATCAGCAGAGCCAGCTCCTGTAGTTGGGTGGTGTGGTTTTTCTTCTGATTCCTGTTTTGGGATAAGAGCTGGGTATAGTTACAATAACCAGAACTTAGTCTGGGATCTGACCCCTAAATCTGTTTTAGTGTTCCCCATCTCAAGGTCGCCCCCCACCCCCACTCCATGATATGTAATACAGAGTCCTAGGCTTCGTCTGGACTCCTCATTTTCCCTTAACTCCTGGACCTGTTGGTCACCAAATCTGGCCCATTCCTCTTCCCATCATTTCTTCCCACCCCCACACCTCCCTTTAGTGCATATGGATGCCCACACACCTTCCACCTGGCCTCCTCCATCCATCCTCTCTAGAAGAGGCAGCATAAGCTTCCTGAAACAGGAGTCTGACCGAGTCACGCTTGCTTCACACCCCTCAAGGTCGGTCCATTGCTAAGTATCACCTTTTTTTGTTTTTTAAGGTTGGGTCTCACTGCATAGTCCAGACTGGCCCTGGACTCACTATGTAATCCGGACTGGTTTCCTGCTGCACCACCACACCCAGCAAATATCAAGCTAAAATTATTAACATGGCTTCTAACATCCTTTCTCTTCCTAGCCTGGCCTAGATAACCACTCTGGCTTCATCCCTTTTTTGGTTCACTGGAATCAGCTGACCCTCATCTCACAGGAAGGGGTAGGGGCTACTCTAGATTACCAGGTCCTGGGTTCCCACACATATGTCTCTGATCCCTGCACCAGGCTGTCATCTGGTGGCGGGGGAGGGGGGCACTTCTATATCCCTAGCACACAGAACAAGGTCTGGTACATTTGAGGAACTCACTGTGTTTTTGCTAAGTGAAAGAGTGAATAAGGGTACAGAAGAAGTTGCCTCCTGAGCAGTTGCAGAAGTTCCAGGACCTAACCCCTGAACTCGAAATCTGTAATACTCCCAGGTATGCACACCTCCACCCTCTGCCCCGACAGATGGCAACATGAAGATGCTGAGCCCTGCCATAAAGAGCACAGCACTGGCACTGCTTATTTGAACACCTCTGTCATCACCTATGCCCGTGCCACCTTCCCTCAGGACCCACTTCAGTCACTTTCTCCTTGCCTCTCAATGTCCACTTGCAGTCACTTGCAGTATGGTCAAACCAAAACTACTCTCTTGATGGTGGATATGTGTGTAGCTGCACTAATGATCCTGACTGCCAGGCCCTGCGCAGGTCACTCTGGTAGCACTGCCCTTGAAGGGCTATGGGGGTAGTGTAGGAGGCACATTTATTATCCTAACCAAACTTCAGATTCCTGAGAGACTCTGTTACAGGGTCAAGTGTTAGCTCAGCAGCACAAGTGCCTGCCTGGCAAGCGTGAGGTTGTGAGTTTGATCCCTGGTACCCCCCCCCAAATCTGTTACAGTTTGTATCTAGATGTCCCTCAAGGCCAGCTTGAACTACAGAGTGAGGCCCTGTCTCAAAAACACAAGCAAAAAAATAATTGCTAGGCATGGTAACACAGTCCTATAATGCCAGAACTTGGGAGGCTGAGGCAGAAGGATTGCTGCAAAATTTGAGGCCAGCCTAGACTACATAGTGAGTTCAAAGGCCAGCCTGAACAACCTGGGAGAGACCTTGTCTCAAAACCAAGCAACCAAACCAGATATGGGTGCACACCTATAATTCCAGCACTCAGGAGGCTGAGGCAGGAGAGTTCCTGAGAGTTCCAGGCCAGCCTGGGCTACACAGTGAGTTCAAGTACACCCTGAACTACATATCAAGACCCTGTGTCAAAACCAACTCCTCCCAAAATCAATCAGTCAATCAATCAATCAATCAATCAATCAATAAGTCAATCTAAATGACTCTCAAGAGCCTCATAGATTCATATGTGGAGCTTTTGGAAGAGGACTGAATTTTGGAGGATGTGGCTGATTGTTAAAAGGTGGGGTCTGGTTGGAAGACGCAGGTTCCTGCTGGTGTGACTTGGAAGGGTTTACCCCCAGTCCTGCTCTTGACTTTGCTCTGCTTCCTGAGTGCCATGGCATAAGCAGCTTTCCTTGTCCCAGCCCCTTCCACTGTGCCTTCCTGCCTTGGAGCCAGCCAAGTATGGACAGAAATCTCCACAAACTATGAGTCAAAATAAACCTCTCTTCCTTTAAATTGTGGGTGCTGGGTATTGTGCCTCAGTGACTAAGGCAGATCCCTAACCCTAACCCATTTATTCAGCAATTACTGCCAGGAAGTATAGCAGGCAACAAGGATAAAGTATGAAGAACAGGGGCTGGGATTTAGCTCAGTGGCACAAGTGCCTGCCTGGCAAGTGCGAAGTCATAAATTCAATTCCCCATATCAAAACAAAGACAAAAACAAAAAAAACAATTTAGGAAGAACAAATACAGCCCCTTACTGGGCTGACAGTACAGTTGGGGATAATCTTTGATAAACTGTCACACTCTGGTTCTATGACTAGAACCAGAACAAGTAATATAATTTGGGGGTATTACAAACGAAAATGTGGGCTCTTTTACTCAGAATTAAGAATTTCAGCAGGGGGGCTGGGGATTTAGCTCAGCAGCATAAGCGCCTGCCGTGCAAGCGGGCAGTCCTGAGTTTGATCCCCAGTACCGATAAAAAGGAAAAAGACCAAAAAAAAAAAAAAAAAAAGAATTTCAGCAGGACATGTTTGGTATATGACTGCAATACCAGCACTCAGGAGGACTGCTATGAGTTCGAGACCAGCCTGGGCTACAAAATGAGTTCAAGGCCAGCCTGAACTGTATAGCAGGACCTTGCCTCAAAAATATAAATAAATAAATAAATAAATAAATAAAAAGGGTCCATGAGTTCAATTCCCAGTACCGACAAAATAAATAAATGAATAAATACAGTAAATAAGGGCTTAGAATGTATCGCAATGATAAAAACCCTGGATTAAATCCCTAGTACTAGAGAGACAGACAGAGAAAGAGAGAGACGGAGATAGAGACAGAGACAGAGAAACAGAGAGAAGGGTATGATGTGGTGGCACATTGCTGTAATCTTAGCACTGAGGAGGCTGAAGCAAGAGGATCCCCAAGAGTTCAAGTTCAGCCTGGGCTACATAGTGAGTTCAAGCCCAGACTATATAGTCAGACTGTCTCAAAACCACTGCCTCCCAAATAAAGATCAACTGGACTTGATCCCAAGTACTGGGGGGGAAAAAAAAGCAAGACAGATGAGAACAAAACATTAGCTCAGTCATCAGGCCCTTCTAGGCACAGAGCCCAGTGTGACAGCACATGTTACACACCCACCAAGTTGGCCCTGAGGAGGATAAAGGAGAGGCATTTCTTGGTGTAATGGCAGTGTGTAACGATGGGCTTTTAGTATCTGTGCTGCAAAAGTGAGCATGACATCGAGCTTTGACCTGATAAATGAGGGGCTCAAAGAGAGGGCTTTGATCTAATTGGTGAGGGCTTTCCCAAGGAAGTAAACTTGGCCAGACCTGTTCTGAAGGTAAAGAGGGAAAGAAAACATTCCAGAGAGAGGGAACACGTGCAAAGACCCCAAAGCATGAAGAAGCGCAGAGAATTTTTAAAAAAGCTGGAGTTCCTGGAGCACACAGGGCAAGACGTCCTGGGGGCAGACCAGGCGGGAGGAGGCTGGGAATCAGAGGCCCACAGCACAGAGGAATTTTGCTTTTATCCTAAGACCAAAAAGGAGCCCTTCAGGGATCTACGGAGGGGATGTCATCCTTAGTTCATCGTCTCAAAATCTTGATGAACACAGGAGTCTACACGTATTAGTAACTGAACAAAGGAATGAGAGTAAAATAATCACCAAATGGTCTCTAGATTACCTCTAGAGTGTGGAATTACAAGCATATGCCACCATGCCTGGCTTTTTGCCTTGATTGTTGCATGGCTGATTTCTTCTTTATTATTCAAGCATTTAATTTAAATCTAACCTCCTTTGAGAGGCATTTCATAACCACTCAATCTAAATAAGCACATTCTTTATTACATTCCTGTTATTTATCAGCATCTGATGTTACTTTTACTTATTATAAATTCAAGAGAACAGGAATTTTGTGTTTCTGCTGTATTTCATGCTGCTTTATCTATTAGTTACAGTAAGCTCAGTGCCTAAGGTCTGTGACACTTTAGGGTTTTGTGAAAATGTTTTTCTTTTAAAGTAGAACAAAAATTGATACAAAAATCTGTTATATTTGTTTTGCTATCAATCCTGTTGTACTGTGGGGGGATTAATATTTTTGTGTGTGTGGTACTTGGGATCAAACTCTCAACCTCATGTTTGCTGGGCAAGAGCTTATGCCACTGAGCTAAATCCCTAGCCCAATTTTTTTTTTTTTAGTACCTAGACTCGAACTTACAGCCTCGCACTTGCCAGGCAGGTGCTGTGCCAGTAAGCTATAGCCCCAGCCCAGTTTGTTGTTTTTTGAGACGGGTTCTTGCTAAGTAGTTCAGACCAGCCTTGAATGCACTATGAAACCCAGGCTAGCCTGCAACTTGCAGTGATCTTTCTCTGTCAGTCTCTGGAGTGCTGGGATGTGCCACTACTCCTGACTACAGTAATGTTTTTTCTTAACAGAGGGACTGAAGGAGAAAAGATTATTTAGGTCCCACAAGTCATAATGTACCCTTGTTGTATTGTTAGCTCCTAGAAGGCCTGGCAGATACTCAATAAAAGATTGTTAAAGTAATGATGCTGCTTCTGTCTTATGACAGCTTCTCAGCCTTTTGAGCCTCTAATTCCTGATTTTCCTCTTATCTGAGGTAATCAGCGTAAACACAACCTAGTTTACTGTAGTTTATAGGAACTAGAAGTCTAACAAAAGTCATTTCATACTTCTCATTATTAGAAACAGGAAAAAACCAAACCAACCAAGTGCACTGGGGAATGTCTATAAACCCAGCTACTTAGGCTGAGGCAGGAGGGCTGCAAGTTGGAGGTCAGCCTGGGCAACTTAACCAGACTCTGTCTTAAAATATATTTAAAAGCTGGGGATGGTGTGCTTGTTTAATGCATGTATAATGCCCTAGGCTCAATCTTCCAAAAAAGAACTGAATCCCACCACCAAATTTGCTTTCACAGGCACAAGAATTTAAGAAAAGTTAGCCTGACATGGTAAATGCATACTTGTAATCCTAGAACTTTGGGAGGCTGAGACAGGAGGACTGAAATTTCAACCCTGTCATGGCAATTTAGCAAATGTAAGTCCTTGTAGAGTGCAGGGTTTACAGGTGTGCGGCACCACGTCTGGCCAACATCCAGTTTTTGAACCAGATAAACTAGGATTCAAATTCTAGCTTTGCCACTTGTAGTGTGACTTTGGGAAAGCCTTTCCATCTCTGAGTCCATTTTTTTTTTTCTTATTCATTTCTGGAATGATTTGGAGGTTAAGAAAAGTTAAATAATGGGGTGTAGTATTACATAGGATGAGATAACTATGGTTGATAATGGTACTTGAGCAACATCCAATCTCTCCTTTTTTCTTTTCTTTCTTTTTGGTCGCAGGGATCAAACTCACTGCCTCACGCTTGCCAAGCAGGCACTTATGCTGCTGAGCTAATCTGTCCTTTATTGTAATATTATTTTGGTTCTTCTTCAGGCAACTACTTCCCCTCCACTCTGGTGCCTCTGTTTAAACCCCACCTTGCCCTTCCCACAGGGGGCAGAAAACTAAGGTCCGCTCCGCCCCCTCAGAGGAGTCACAGTGATTGGCTCAGGGGCGTGGCCAATCAGAGTCACTCAATGTTGGCGTTGTCATGCTGACTGGATATAGAATGAAAGTACAAGAAAGCCAACATACACAACAGCAAAACCATGGCAGATTCCTGGCACTATTACTTAATTCCCCGAACCGACCAAGTGTGATACTCCTAAATTTTTTGTTTAATGATCCCACAAAAACACCATTAGTGCTTAAGCTAGTTTTCTCTGAATTGTAACTAAGAACCTTTATTAATACTATAAGGATCTCACTTCTAGAAGGAGGAAAAAGAGATCAAATTGTTGGTGAGGTCTGGCATTCCAGGAGGAATTGGCAGCAAAGTTAGGCAGTCTTCATTTTCTTCGTGGTACTCCTTCTGAGCACCTAAGTAGAAAGCCTGAACAAAGGAGATGCTTAATTTTGGAGTTAATAAATCAGTGAAGATGATTGGATAGGGGAGAGCATAGGAATAAAATAAACTCTATTTTTCCTTTATGTAGATTTTGGATAAAGGGAGAAATGATCCAACCGTCAACCTGTGGAAATTCCCTCTATAAGACTGCATGCATGGAGTGCTGAGTGTCATCCCAGTACACACAAACATACAAAAACCCTAACATTTGGTAAGTGCTGGATGGATATATGAATGCGTGCATGACTTAAGAAGGGCATTTAAGAAATTCAGAATGGGAGCTTGTGATAGCTCAATGATAGAGGGCTTTCCGACAAGCATGTACAAGACCCTGGGTTTAATCTCCAGCACTGAAAAAAAAAATCTGAGAATGTTAAAGCCTATAAGGACTTTAGAAGTGATCTTTGTCAGTTATCTCAGAGCTCTCTCAGCCGGGGAATGGCAGGAATATTCTCTCACTTCCTTATGATGTTGTATGGATTAATAGATATTATACAATCAAAGGGCTTATCAAAGAGTCTGGAAAACAGTTAATACTCAGGAAACATTATATTATTATTTATCCAGAGTGGTTAGAACTTTAAGGGCTATGAAGGAAGTCATTACCTGTCACCAGGACCTAGGGAACTGGCTGTGGGCTGTTCAAGGGAACACAAGTGTCCACTGGAACCCAACATCTGCAAAAAGGAAAAAGAACTATTAGCAACCTTTGGAATTCCAGAAGGACTGAGGGACATGATGGGCACCCTTCACACCTCCCCTACTGTTTCTTTGAGCACCCAGAGTTCCCCAAATAGAACCCCCATTCATTACCATGACAGCCTCAGAAACCTAAATTAAAACTATAAGACTAAACTGAATCTCAAATTGTAAGTTTGGACTCTTAAATCATGATCCAGACCTAAAACTAAGACCAGTGAATTCTCAAACATTGACTTCAGAATTTAGACCTCAACTGTGAGATGTCATATTCTGAAATACACAATAGGAGCCTGAAAACTGTGACTTGGGTCGCTAGACTGTGATATTAACACTAAAAAAGTATGACTTTCAAGTCCCAAAGTGACAACCTCGAACCCAATACAAACTCAAAACTCCAGTATCTTAAACCCCCAAAATGTCAATTTCTAATCAACAGAACCTTAATTTTTTTTGTCTTTTTCATTTTTATCGGTACTGGGGATCAAACTCACGACCCCCTGGCTTGCAAGGCAGGTGCTTATGCCGCTGAGCTAAATCCCCAGCCCCTAGAACCTTAATTCTAATATGAAAATTGGAGCCCGAAAACCTTAACCCTGAAAACCTAAAGTAAAAAATCCAGACCCTGCAAAACCTCAGTCCCTAAAATTTACCTCAGATGCTAAAATAAAGACCTCTAGACCCCAACACCCTCAAATTGTGACCTCAACCCTAAAAGTGAGTTCTCCCAAATGAATCTGAAACTCCAGACCCTAAAATTGAAATCCCTATCAATGTAGGGATTCCTGACTTTAAAATTTTCTTTTTAGCTCCTAATCTCATATTTCCACACTCTGCTGAGATTTGAAGCCTGAGGTCTACATAGAGGTTACAATCCTCCCAAAGCAGACGCCAACAGCCCTCCTCCCCTACGATACTCCAGAACTCAAAACTAAGACTTCCAGCTACCCAAGTTAGGGTGGAGGGCTTTCAGCAGGAAAGCGTCCAGTCACACAGCCATGATCTTCACATTCATTTGGCTCAGACAGAAATCCAGTCTCACAAGAGCGGAGGTTCCCGTCGCTACCCTGGCCCTGCGGCGCCCTGCCCTAAGCGCGGGCCATGTCTGTCCCCAGCCCCGCACCCCCTCTCACCCCAAAGCGCCACTCTGGGAACCCGGGCCCCCATTCGAACCATCTACAGCAAAGTGCTCCCCGTCCCTCCCTACCCCCCACGCGCCCCATTCCCTTTGGCCTCCAGCACCCGCCTCAGGACGTGCTGCAAAAATGGCGTGAGGCCCTCCTGATTTCTGCCAACCCCAAAAATGGGAGTCAGAAGCGACAGTGTCCCTCGCTGGTCTCAGAAAGGCACGCGCGAGCCGGGGCCGTCAGGTTCCCAAGCTCCTAGTGAGATGGCAGTTCCGAGAGTGCGAGGATGTGGCGCAAGGCTCCCACACGAGGACTGAGGAGTAGAACCACAATGCTCTCCCGAGGCCACGCCCCTCCCAGTTCCCGCCAAGGTGAGACTGGAAAGCGTTGGAATGGCAGAAGCCAGAGGCTCTGCGCACGCGCACCCGCAGCACGGCCCTGTGCTGCAGGGCTGGAGCTGTGCTTCGCGCCTCCTAAAGAGCCCATTGGTACTGTGCGCCCAAGTGTCAACCAATCAGCTGTCACTCAGCTACCTGCCTTTTTTATGGGCTACCCCCACCTCTTGTCAAGCTTCCAGACTATTCTCAAGGTCCAGGGCCTTCGAGCCTAAGGAGGAGGCGGGGTTTTCCTCCATTTTCCGGGAAAAATCTAACTAGTACCTGTTCGACTTTCCTGTTCCTTATTTCCACCTTTTCCCTTCAATCCATATCTACTTATGACCTACTATGTGCCAAGAGCCATGCTGCATGCCAGGAACTTTGCCACCTACTATGTGCCAAGAGCCATGCTGCATGCCAGGAACTTTGCCAAGCTTCTTTGAATTGAGCCATAGTAGTAGTTCCAGTAATGAGGTGCAAGGTCCTTGAGCCATAAACAAGCTGTACATTTTAGCAAGTTTGTTAGAAAGCTCACTCAGCAGGCTGAGGCAGGATGATTTTGGTGAATTTGAGGCCAGCCTGGGCTATATAGCAAGACTCTCTCATTAAAAAAACAAACAAAAAAAAACTCACCTCATTCTCATGGCTCATGTAGAAGATAGGCTGGAAAATGTATCTCTTATTTAGTTCCCCAGTACTAAGGAACCCAGGAACCTATTACCACTGAGCTACACCTCTAGCCACTTTCACTTTTTATTTTGAGGCAAGGTCTCGCTAAATTGCCCACGCTGGCCTCAAAATTGTGACTTCCTTGCCTTGGCTGGTATTAGTCTGGCTGGAAATTGGAGTCCAGGAAATTAAGGACACATCATGGCGGGGAGAAAAATATACAAGGGGTGATTCGACGATAGTAAATGTTTAAATTAAAATTTTGAGAAAAACTTACTACAGTAAAAGAAACACAGCCAAGAAGGATGTGATTAATGTGTTCGAAGCAAGGGAAAACATTTTGAAAGACAATAATGGCAATGTATCTTTTACTGTAATGCATTTTTTAAAAAAATTTAAACATTTAACTATTTTTCAATTACACCGCATATGTTAAGGGAAAGTGATTTATGTATTTCTGATTACTTTTCTGTGTTTCTGTGGATAAAAGACTTAAACTCTTCCTTAACTTTATAAATTTGAGACTATAATTCTTACTAGGATCTGCAGAATATCTGGCATAGGATTAGCAAGCAAAAGTTACTCAACTCATATTTACACTGTTTTCAGGTGTTTGAACAGATACGCAAAGATTCCTGCCGTCACGCAGCTTCTGTTCTATGATATGGACTAGCTCGTGGTGCCCTGATGCATAAATTTTTTTCCTTTTCTCATTTGTAAATGAAGAAGTGGTAGTAGATAAGGGGAGGGGTGCGTGGGAAAGTGTCTGGGAAAGCATAAAAACACTGCTAGTTACTGTGCTAAATCAGCATAAGTCAATAAACTTCCTCTTCCTTAACTCCCACCTTTCACTAATAGTCCTTAGCAGTTCTCTCAAATCTCTTTACAAGGGCTCTGAGCCAAAATGGGAGGAAGCTGGACTTCATTTCCCAGTGGGCCTCGCGGGGAAACTTCTTGCGCCTGCGCCGCCAAATACTCCCTTTGCCTCCTGGGAGTTAGAGGCGCTGTTTTCCTCATCCCACCTACTAGCTTCCTACCCCACCTCCAAACTGCCGTGCTGCCATCCGGGAGATGTAGTCCTTAATTTCCTGGACTCCAATTCCCAGCGGGCTTTGGGGCTAGAACCCGGAAGGGGAGGCTGTAGGAGAGTGAGTGGGGGCAACTCGCGTAGCCGAGGGAACTGCGGCGCACGGAGATGGTGAGAGCCTCAGGCGGGGTCCGGGGGCGCTGGAGAGTGTGGGCGGGGGTTCGAGACGCGGGGAGTTGGGGGAGGAACAAGCTGAGGCTAAAGAAAGGGCTGGGCGCGAGGAGATCGCCTGGAGGAGGGGATTGGGAGGAATGGGAGCCCGAGGGAGAAGAATGGGGGGGGGGGTTGGTTGGGGAGGGGTCTTGGAGGTGGGCAGGCAATTGAGCCTGGGGATAGAGATCTCAGAACTAGAGAGGAAGGCTCCAAGTTGGCGAAGGGGCTGGGTACCCAGGCTGAGACCCTGAAGGGAGCAGTTTTGAGGAGGGTGGCCCCGAAGAGTTGGAAAGGCTTGGTGGTCAGGGTTAATTGTGCGAGAGAGTCTGGGAGGGTCCAAGGCTGAGGCCAACCATGGATGCTAGAGGTTGGGTTCCCTGGATTGGATTCTGGGCAGGAAGGCAAGATGAGGCGGTGGGCGTCAGGAATCAATGAGAGTGTAGGCTAGGCTTCAGAATTGAGGGTGCGGTGGAGAGCATGAGATTAGGGAGTTGGATATAAAGAGGCTTTCCTCATCCAGCCAGAGACTATCGGTAAGCTGGACAGTTAGGGAACTCTTTAAATACTATGGCCAGAAGGGATTATAGACAACCCCCCCCCCCCGCACTTGGCTCTCTTACTTTGTCTGGTATTTAGAAGAGTGTAGTGGTTTATCTGTGTGGACAGTGTGGTACTCAGATCTCTTACTTTGCCCCTCCTTTGTGACCTAGGTCAGCCTCTTCTCTGTAAGCCTCAGTGCCCTTATCTGTACTGAGAGAACAACAAGCACACCACTGACAGGGCTAAAGAGAAGCTTTTTACTGTTGGTGGGAGACTTAAGTCTTAAGTTTCAGTGCTGTTGGTGGGAAGTTCCCTGAGCCAGGAATGCGCCTGGGTTACAGATGTTAGTGGATTCCCTCCTGTTCAGTGCAGCCCCAGAGGCGTTTTCTCAAAACTTGGCACGGATGTGGGTACACCCCAGCTCAGAAGCATGCTGGGGCTCCCCATAGTGTGATCCAGCTAACCCTTAACTGTTTTACAAATGCCTGGCTGTATTTTTCGCTGTTTGTTCATGTCAGCTCATTTGATTTTGACCACACTTCTAAGACGTGAGTGCTTCATCTTACAGTAGGCACAGAGAAGTTAAGCAGTGTCCCCCAGGTCAACAAGCATTACATGGTAGACTCAGGATTCCAGGTTAGGCAGCCTAGCTCCGGATCTGTATTTTCTCTACTATAATTTGGTCCTTCTCCTTATACTGCAGTAAAATGTGATGGGTGGGGACAGAGATCAGAGAAGCCTGCAGTTTAGAATTTTTAGTTCTACCATCTATTTGCAGTGACCTTGGGCAAGTCTTTTGGCCCCTCCTCACCTCCCCCTTTTTTGAGACGTTCTCACTATGTAGTTCGGGCTGGCCTTGAACTCACAGCAATCCTTCTGCCTCAGCCTCTTGGAGTGTTGGGAATACCTGCCCTCCTCACCTAATTAAAGGAGGTTAGTAACCCTAGGATAGTTATAGTTCAGGGAGAGAATGCCTGCCTGGAAAATTCTTAGAATAAATACTGACTATACATGTGTTGTTTTTTGAATGTGAGTGGAAAACAGACCAGACACAGTAGGCAATAGGGAAGGCTGTCTCTTTTTATCTTTCAAGTTCCCCATTTCCTGGTATTTCTAAGTTCCTACTGTTTCTTGTCTCCCAAGTCCAAGAGCGACTCCTGGGGAGAGTGCTTTGAAACTCTGTCCCCATTTGCATTCGTGTCCCCAGCCAAATATAAATAATTCATTTGCCAATGCCTAGTCTGGTCCAATTCCAGGTTTTTCCATGAGTGATAAATACTTCTAACAACTTGAGCATTGTTTTGTTTTGTTTTCTCTAACCTTTTGATAACTGGGTCCTCGTTGGACAGTTTGATAACTAACTCACCTTGATCAATTTGCTGTGAACCTTCTGAAATTTATAAATTCAATGGCTCTGGTAGTAAAGCTTATGGTTTTTAATTTATTTTTGTTTGTCTGAGACAAGGTCCTGCTATATAGTTCAGGCTGACCTTAAACTCATTATGGAGCCCAGGCTACTTCAAATTCATGGCAGTCCTCCTGTCTCAGCCTCCAGAATGCTGGGATTACAGGTGTTTGCCACCACACCCAGCTGAAATTTATGGTTAAAAGCACTTGTGTCAAATAGGCCCAGGTTCGCATCTCTGCCTCTGCTGGCCTATGTCCTTGACCAAGCTGAATACCCAGGTCAGGCCTCAATCTTCTCATGTAAAATGGGACCACATACAACCCATGAGGTTGGGTCTCATAAAAAGATAAATGTATATAAAATGCTTCATGTGTATTAAGCTCTTACTAAAAATGAGGTCCATCTGTGATGTTTGTCCTCCCTCAAACTGGCTTAATCACAAGCTCTGGAGCTAGAGTATGGATTTGAATCCTGGCTCTACCTCTCATGGCTCTTATAACTTTAACTCTTTTGGACCTCAGCGTCCTCTTCTGGAATGTAGGGTTCATTTGTTTATAGTGCGAAAGTGTTAGAGGAGCAACTACTATATCAAGACCAGGATTGGATGCAGCTGGTCCCGGGCCTCTGAGAGTTTGCTGTTGTCATAGCGTCAGGGCATTTTTGCAGCGATGGTGGCCTTGTGCTCATTTTCAGGATATGGATTTCTCTGTTCCTGATTCATTTTCAGCATCTTATCCCCACTTTGCCTGCTTGTCTCTGCTTTCTTAGATTTTTAAAAGTTATTATTATTTGTTTCTTTTTCCTAGGGCTGACTGTCAAACTTAGGGCTTTATGCTTCTTGGCCAGGTGCTTGCTCAGTGACCTACATCCCCAGCCCTTATTTATTTATTTATTGTGATAGAAGGTACTGAACCCAGGACCTTCATGATGAGCTATATCCCTGACCTGTTTTTCCTTAATTTTATTTTGAGACAGGGCCTTGCTAAGTCACTAACTTGTTCAGGGTGATCTAGAATTTGCAGTCCTCCTATCTCAGACTCCTAGAGTGCTAGGATTACAGATGTGGGTCACCACACCAGTCCTCATGGATTTTTTTTTTTTTTTTTGGTACTGGGTATTGAACTCAGGACCTTGTGCTTGCCAGGCAGGCCTTTGTGCCGCTGAGCTAAATCCCCAGCCTTGCCTTATGGATTTTTAATATTCTATCACCAGCCTTCATTGAATTGTCTGAAAGCCTACTGATTTGGGAGAAAGTTGCCTCATTTATTTCGGTCTGTTTTTGTCTGAAGCTTACTCATACAAAATGATCTTTTAACCGTTTTTGATGATTTTTTTTTTTTTTTTTTTTTTGTACCAGGGATAGAATTCACATCCTTGCACTTGCCAGGTAGATGTTTATGCCCCTGAACTAAATGCATGGCCCTTTATAATGGTATGTTTCTAAAGAACTGAACAGTTGGGGCTGGGGATTGAGCTCAGCGGCATAAAGCGCCTGCCTTGCAAGCAGGCAGTCGTGAGTTCGATCCGTGGTACCGATAAAAAGGAAAAAGACAAAAAACAAACAAAGAACTAAACAGTAGCAAAATCTGGGCATGGTGACACATGCCTGTGGTACCAGGATTATGGGAGGCTGAGGCAGGAGGCTCATAGATTCTAGGCCAGCCTGGATGACCAAGGGAGACCTTGTCTTGAAATAACAAACAGGAGAATGGGATATAGCTGAGCAGTACAGTGCCTGCGTAGCAAGTATGAGGTCCTCTGTTTGAGTCCCAGTACCAAAAAATATAAAAAAGCATTGGCAATGTAATTTAGTACAAAGGCCCTGAGTTCAATCCCCAATACCAAAAAGAAGAGAAAAGAAAAAAAATCGCCCTGGTGTAGATTTCATTTCAGGAGGTGAAATAAAGAAGAAGCTTTTTTTTTTTTTTTTTTGTACCAGGGATCCAACTCACAACCTCGAGCTTGCCAGGTAGGCACTTATGCCACTGAGCTAAGTCCCCAGCTCCGAAGAAACTTTTGACTGTGTCAGTGATTTTCAGACCCTTTCATAGCCCTGCGTTTTCTTCCTTAAACTCTCCTTGTAACTAGGTTGGTAGTAAATGATCAACCAATCCATGGGTGGGTGCTATCACGTCCATTTTATTTTATTTGTGGTGCTATCAGTGGAACCCAGGACTTTGCACATGCTAGGCAAGTACTGTGCTATGGAGCTACAGCCCTCATCTCTGTTTTACAGTGCAGGAAACTGAGGCACAGAGGGTGAAGCAGCTTGCCTGTGGTGACACCCCACTGAAACAGGAAAGCTGAAATCCAGCTGACCTTGTCTTTAGGATCTCTAGATCCTGAGGGCTTGGGTGGTACTCATCCTCAGGGAGCTATTCGTCAAGGAAGTAAAGTGAGGGAGGCCAGCAGACCTTGCAGACGGAAGCCTGCGGAGAGATATGCAGGGGCCTGGACTGCAGACAAAGGGGCAGTAGGACTGGGGGATAGAATGAACAAGAACAGCTGGGCTTGATGGTATACACCTGTAATGCAAGCACGCTGGAGGCTGAGGCAAGAGGATTTCCAAGAGTTCTAGGCCAGCCTGGGCTACATAATGAGACCCTGTCTCAAAAACTAAAAAGAAAGAAAGAAACAGCAAACAAATGAGCTGGAACACAGCACTGATATCCTGCCACCAGTTCTTTTGTTGTTGCTGTTCCTGTCACCAATTCTTGTGTGTTTAGGCAAGTACATTCTGTAAGCACTTGCTCTCTGCCCTGCCCTGTGCTGTGTTTTGTTTCTGTTTTGTCTGTCCACCACCACCATTGGACTTCTTAGGTTTATGCTTAGCTTCTATTTTGTTTTTATTCGAGGCAGGATCTCACTATGTAGTCCAGGATGGCCTTGAACTCACTGTGAAGTCCAGGCTGGCCTTGAACGTAAGGCTATCTTCCTGCTTCAGCCTCCCAAATACTGGCATTACAGGCATGTGCTGTCACGCCTGGTTGTTTCTTCATGTTGGTGAAGCAATTGCTCCAGCTACTTCATAAGAAAGGGTTCACGGGACCTGCATTGTTTTGAGTACTTGCACGTCTTCACAGAGCGCTTGAAGTAGAGACGTGATAGAGTTGAAGCAATCCAGCTTGTTTGGAAAGATCCCTCAGGCTAACATGGAAAGAATGAAACCCAAGAGCTAAGTCAGCCTGGGGAACCAGGAACAGACCCTGGAACAGCTTATGGGGAGAAGTCTCAGCTTCCTGAAATCCACAGGCTGGTTAGGAGAGGGATCTTGCCCATTGAGCACACTGCCATTAGCAGGTGGTACAAGAGAAAGCCTCTGGAGGAAGCATCACCTGTTGCTTGGGAAAGTACCAGGACAGGTACTTCCTGGAGGAGGTGGCATCCTTCTCTTAGGGGTGGAATTTCCACTGAGGTGCTGGCTGGAGCAGAAGCTAGGCAGGATGGCTGGTAGGAGTTCCTTTATTCATTTGTTTTCCTTTCTTCATTCAAACAATGTATATTGTACACAGGAGATGCGTTGGGGTATTGCTTAGCCATGAGTGGCCCAAAGAGCTTGTTCAAGTGCGTTTTCTGCTCCAGCAACCCTGGGTAGGGACCAAAGTCTGCTCAGCCACCAAACTTCCAGGCGATGCCATGTGGCCACTGCCCCAGGCGCTTGGCGCTCACTGTTCCGGAAGCTGGAGAAGTCAGGGGCAAAAATGCTGGCACTGAGCCACCTTCATTTTCCTAAGGACAGAAAATTTGCACTCTAAACAAAAATTTTTTAAATCTTTGGTATATATATATATATATATATGCGCTAAGGAGAAAACTAAATCAGGGAAAAGGAATGAGCATGTGTGTGTCTTTTGGGAGTGGGGGCTGTGGTTTTAAATCAGAGGACTCAGGGTCAGTAAGCTGAGGAATAACATTTTAGACAGGGATAAAAGGGCCAAACAAGGGCTATTTCTCAGGTATTCTGTGCCTCAGTTTCCTGGCTTTGATATAGTTACTTTCTCATCACTGAGACACAATACCTAACCCTCCCAATTTAAAGGGGAAAAGGTTATTTTTGGTCATAGTTGGATAGGTTTCAGTCCATAATGGGCTGGCTCTAAGGCAGGACTGTGTGGCAGAGGAAAATTGCTCAAGGCTAGACAGGCAGGAAACACAAAGAATGCTCAAGGATGTAGGGAAAGAGTGAGACCCTTCCAGGCCATGGCCCTAGCAAGTACCCTCCTCGGACCAGGCGTCACCTCCCAAATCACGCTTAGATGTAAGCTGTGGGGATCCCACTCCCATGATCCAGTCAGCTCCCAAGTGTCCCATCTGTGTGCGCATGGGGCTGTGGGGGGACACAGAGATATAAATCATAACAGCATGCCATGAAAAATAGTAAGAAGATGTGAGGATGAAATAGGTTAATCTTTGTAAAGTACTAAGAGTGGGGCCTGGCACTCAACAAGTGCTCTGGTATTAACTGCTGTTGTGATTAATATATTCCTATTGGTTATAATTGTTTACTTGGATGTCTTCCCCCTTTCCCATGAGCTCTTTCTGGTGCGCTCAGTGTCACCCATGCATCCCCAGTGCCAAGACAGCAGCAGCACACAGCCAGACCTTGTTGAATGTCGGAGACAGGTTTTTGCAAATGTTCTGGGTACCCTGGACGATGTAAACATGAGGATTCTCTAATCGTTGGGGGGCATTCCATCAGGGCATAGCTTGTGTGATTTGGGTCCTTACTAATTTTATTTTCTCAAGAAATCTATTCTGAGAGATATTACAATTATAATTCTCCTTTGTCATTTTACAGGATTAGGGCTGTCATGTGCTGTGATGATTGTTTTCTGATTTATGTGTTTTGAAACTATTAGGATCATGCAAGCCGAGAACCTTTATATAGTGGATCAGTTTGTCTTATCACCATCTTTGCCAGGTTTTTTCAATTTATTTATTTATTTAGGTACGTAGAGATAGGGTCTCACTATGTAGATCAGGCTGGTCTTGAACTTACTATATATTCCAGTATGGCCTTGAGTGTGCCACAGTGTTTCTGCCTCAGCCTCCTGAATGCTGGAATTACGGCCATGCTCCACTACACTCAGCTTTATTATTATTATTATTATTATTATTATTATTAATGGTGCTGTCACTTGTCTCGCAGCCCCCATTTGCTTGGTGAGTCTTTATCCATCATTTTGGTTTTTCTCTTTTGGGTGATGTTTTGGAATTGACCTTGGTTTCACTTCTGTACAATCCAGAGATGGATTTGTCCTTGATGACCCGGAGCTGGTGGCAGGGCTGGGATGAGATGAAAGGATGGGGAGGTCATTCCTCTGCACGGGCAGTAGTAGTAGAAGGGAGCTCAGGGAGGGCCTCCTATATAATACTACACTTGAACAAACACCTGAGAAAAGTGAGAAACTGAGCCAAGTGGAGATCCAAGGGGATGCATTGCAGTCTACAGGAAGAGCAAATGCAGACCAGGGAAGGGAGGAATTCAGTGACTTTCAGAAACAGATAGCAAAGAACCTAGGGTGGAGCCTACGTCAGCCTGAGGGGTGAGCTTCCTGGAGGAGGGGATGCTGAACCGAAACCCCAGGGAATATAAAGGGAAGCAGCACAAAGCAGGTCAGGTAGTGACCAGATCAGATTTCCTGGCTTCATACCTTGCTCCAACTTGCTACGATTCTTCATGACCTCGGGCTGGTTTCAGTTTCTTCATCCATACTATGGAGAAAATACTGAGCATTAGACAAGGCCTGCGTTTTCTCACTACTCCGTATGCCAGGTCAGGTGCCCACCAGGCTCCACGGGGGTATTGAGTGTGGGGATGAAGGAGTGGGTAGGGACAAGGCTGGGTGGGCAGGGCACCTGGCCTTCTTCCAGAGGGCACTGGGTAGCCATGGAAGGTTCCAAGCAGGGACAGGGGAATGTTTATGGATTGTTCCTTCCAGGATAGCAGGAAGCAGGCAAGGCTGGGCAGGTAGTTGAAGCCAGGAGACACCTGGACAGGGGCCTGCATTGATTCCCACCTGGCATAGAAAGGATCTTGACCACAAATACTGCTTGCCATATTAACTTTAAATGAAAAAAATTAGAACTTAAAAGTCCTTGTGGAGTTATTGCCTTTCTTCCTGTACTGAGTCAGGTTGAGGCATTTGGCCTGAAAGAGGGAAAGGATAGGTCTCTGTGGCCACAAGGCCTGAGCCTTGAATGCCAGCAGATTCAGTGATACTGGGACTCCCACAGGGCTCTGCCGATTTATGCGTGCGTGTGTGTGTGTGTGTGTGTGTGTGTGTGTGTGTGTATGTGTGTGTGTGTCCCCACAGCTAAATCCCTGGCCCTGTCCATTTGTTTTGAAAGGTGAGGTGATTCAGGCGCCGTTTCTCCCAGGGGAAACCTTGGGCTCCCAACCAGAGCTAGGTACTGTAAGCCCTCTACCAGCGCTGCTTTCGGACCGGGAGTTCTCTATTCCGGGACCCCCGGTTCTTTAAATCTGGTCTGTCAATCAGGGTTCCCTTTTGAGGGACCGTCCAGTAATAAACCTTCCTTTGAGCGCCGTGGTCTCTGTCCTGCCTGGATTTCTCCGTTTAGCTGGATGTTGGGAATTGTTCCACGCTCCCTTATGTCTGGCGGTTTCTATTTTACCACCCTCTCCCATCACCTCTCGCCTACTCCTCCCCGTTTCGAAATTGGGCCCCTTCGCCAAGGTCTTCCTTATATGGACACGGCCTCAATCGGAGGCTGCTCATTGGTTGAGAGCATCACGCGCGCGTCTGTCAACAAAGGGGCGGGGCGGAGGAAAGGTAGTCCTCACGCCAGCCCGTGCACGTGGGGGCGGGCGCTAGTTCTATTCTGGCGCATGCGTGTGTCCGGTTGAGGGTGAGGGCGCTTTGGGGGCGTGTCTAGGTTCCGCGGGTCACCTGAGGGGTTTGGAAGATTTCTTTGATTCGGTGGTTACTAAATTTGGGGACTTGTTTTTGCGTTCAAGTCGTATTTCGGGTCCTGGGAAAGTTGCGGAGATGTAGGGAGTACTTTGGGGTTCCCTTGAGCTTAAAGGACGCCTTGGGGTTTGAGTTCTTTTGTAATGTGTGTGAGGTTTGGTTGTGTTTTGGGAGTCTCCTTTGTGGTTTTGTGGTTTGGTAGGTTTAGGATTTGGGGGCTCCTAGTGAGATTTAGAAGCAAGGAGCCAAAAATGGTGACGCACGCTTGTGATCTCAGCACACTGGGTGGCTCGAGCCGGAAGGTAGAAAGTTCAGGCCCCCTGGGTATCCTGGCGATTTAGGGTGGTCCTGTCTCAATAACAACAAAAAATTTAAAAGGGGGTGTGTGTGGCTGAGTGCAAAGACCCCTAGTGCTGGGCAAGGTAGCAGGGAACCCAAGAGGAAGAGTTCTGAGCCAGAACGTGAGGGCTCCTCTGTCTTTTCTACGTGCCTGACCGGAGAGATGAGTCTTTCTGTGCCTCATCTGGAAGCAGAAACTACTAACACCTCTTCCTCGGGACAGCAGTTGTTCAGAGTGCCCAGTACACGCTACAATAAGCACTCTGCTGCAGTTGTAACATTTGTGAGGTTTCTTTTGGGGTCTTTCTTGGCTTTGAGAAGTGCTTAGTTGGTTTGGAATTCATCTTCAGTGTGAGGGAACTTTTGTGTATTATTCGGTTGGGAGACTGGAATTAAGGGTAATGTGGGAGTGTTTGGGGTGAGTATAGGAGTTAGGAGACAGGCATTTGTGAGCTTGGCAGATTGCAATTTGGGTTGGTGGGAAGTCCTTTGAAATTACATCCTTTTGCACTGGTGTTTTTAGGTTTGGGTGTTTGAAGGATTTGAAATGGTCTGAATGTTTGGGGGTGAGTGTTAAGATTCTGCAGATAAAGGAACTGTTTGGGAATTATGGGGGAAATGAGTTAAGATTGGGGCTCTTTTTGTTACTAATGTCTGTATTTAGAGACTGTCTCAAATTTGAATGGTGTTAGATGATCTAGAATTGCCCACATTTAGAGGGACAGTCTATATATACTGCAAGAGTTGGCAAACTTTTTCCATAAAGGACCACATAATGACTATTTCAGGCTTTCCAGGCCGTGTACAGTCTGGTACAGCGCTGCTTTTGTAGCATGAAAGCAGCTGTAAACATGTGTTTCGTAAAACTTTCATTGATGTGGACAATGAGTTGGGTTTGGCCCTTGATCCATTGTTCGCTGACCCGTCTGGTCTGTAGGCTTGTGGAAGGCTTGAGATTTGCAGTTTCCTTTTTGAGCTCTCTGGAAGGAGGTGAGCTAGGGAAAAATTGAGACTGAGGCCTCTGCTGCTTACTGGTAAGTAGAAGGTGTAATGGAAAGTAGTTACATGCGATGCATTACCAGAATTGCCTCCAGATTAGGCCCTGTACATAAAAAATAGCCACTTTCAAGATAGCCCTAACTGAAGAGTCCAGAAACTTAAGTTTGAGAAGCTGGCTTTGCTCCAGATTCACTTTGGTCTTAGCTGTGTAACTTTACCCATTCGGAGCTTCAGTTTACTGCAATTCAGTGAAATTCCAGAGAGCCTTTGCAAGGATGTGGGTTGTCAAGGTGAGAATGCACAGCTCTAAGAAATTCTCAGGCCCTGCTTCCTCGCCACCCTCAAAAAAAAACCCAGTTTCTTAAGGGTCTGTCTCATCTGACTTCAGGTTTTCTTTTCCTACCTAGCCCATCTTTTTCCTTCCTCTGTGGGCTCAAGTAGCCACTTGCTATAGGCAGAGCTGGGAATTCTTGTGTTGTTTTTTTTTTTCCCCAGGAGCTGCCTACTGAGTGACAAAGAGAAGAGGGAGGAACCTGTTTTCTGCCAGTGAATACTGTCACTTAAGTTTAAAAGTCAGGCAGCAGGAGTCTGAACTGCTGGCTAGGGCACTAGGGCAGTGGCATGGAATCTTTGGGATCAGAGCAAGCAGCCAGTTAGGGTTGCACTCCGTTCAGAGATCCCAGCTGCATCCCTGTCTGCTCACCTGAGCAGTGTGGAAGGAAGAGAGTTTGGTTTTGTTTTTGTCTGTTGGTTTGTGGTGCTGGACAGAAGCAAGGGCCCTTCTCATGCCAGGCAGGTGCTGTACCACCAAGCTCCACACACCCTCAGGATGGCTGGTGGCCATCTCATTTGGTTTGTCCTTTCCAGACAGATTGAGATAGCAGAGGAATCCTGGGAAGAAAGCCTATTTTTTTTTTTTTTTTTTTTTTTTTTTTTTGCCAACTTTCTTTTCCCTGTCTCCAGGTGACATGTGGAGCCCCCCACCATCCTGGTCCTGAGGTCCGGTGACTCCTTGCCTGTTTGCTCTCACGCCCAGAATGGACCGTGGCAGTCTCCTGCCCTTTCAGCTCTGGTGCCCCCGGCCCTTTGGCACCTACTCTCAGAACCAGACACGCCCGCCTTCTGCGGTGCTCAAGCCAGCAGCCTGCCCTGAGCCCAGCAGCGGGCCAGAGCCAGACCATGGGCCCGCGCATTCGGAGAACACCCCACCTGCCTTGGCTGATGCCCCCACCTCACAGGCCACTCCACTCCTCTCGGCTTCTGCTGCAGGCGACGAGGGTCGAGTCCTGCTAGATACATGGTATGTCATCAAGCCTGGGAATACCAAGGAGAAGGTGGCCTTCTTTGTGGCACACCAGTGCGGCGGAGGCAGCCGGGCCAGCTCCATGAAGGTCAAAGGGCACTGGGGCAGTGACAGCTCCAAGGCCAAGAGGAGGAGGCGCTGTCTTGAGCCCACCAGGGCTCCTCCAGATCCAGGGGGCCAGGAGGGAACTCCTGCTGCTGAGGGGGGTCCCACCTCAGCCGGGGAGGATGTAGACCTCCTCTCTGTGGCCGAGATGGTGGCCCTGGTGGAACAGAGGACTGCCCTGGCCCTACAGAGCTATCCGCGCCCCACTACCCCAGCACCTGTGGTCTTTGTGTCAGCTGAGCAGGGTGGACCTGCTAAGGGACTGGGGCCTGAGAGGCGTTCTGGTGCCGGTGACTGCAGCCGTGTGGCCGAGGCAGTGGCCCACTTTGAGGCCCAGCGGGACAGTCCTCCAACCAAGGGCCTCCGTAAGGAGGAGCGGCCTGGTCCCGGCCCCGGTGAGGTGCGCATTGCCTTCCGCATCTCCAATGGCCGGGAGCCCCGAGCGCCAGATGGTGGCTTACCAAATGGGAGTGGGGGCCGGCCCGGTTGTGCCTACCCTGGGAGTCCTGGGCCTGGGGCCAGAGCCAAGGACAAGATCACCTGTGACTTGTACCAGCTCATCAGTCCCTCCCGGGATGCTCTTCCTAGCAATGTGGAGTTCCTGCTAGCCAGGGCGGATGAAGCCAGCGAGGGCGAGAGCCAGGCCCCTGCCAGGCCTGAGGACACTCCCCCAGCGCCCCCGCCTCCCCCTGCCCGGGACTGTGGAGCCTCAGGCTTCCACGTGGATGTGGTGGTGACTGGCGTGGTGGACGAGTGCGTCTTCTTTGGCAAGGACGGCACCAAGAATGTGAAGGAGGAGACGGTGTGCCTGACAGTCAGCCCCGAGGAGCCCCCTCCACCTGGCCAGCTCTTCTTCTTCCAGTCCCGGGGCCCAGATGGGCCCCCCGAACCCCCTCCAGCTGACACACCCACCACAGTGCCAGGCCCAGATGATGCTGAGGGCACCTCGGACACCTCCCTGTGCCGTCTCTACCGACATGTGTCGCACGACTTCCTGGAAATCCGCTTCAAGATCCAGCGGCTGCTGGAGCCCAGACAGTATATGCTGCTGCTGCCAGAGCACGTGCTGGTCAAGATCTTCAGCTTTCTGCCCACACGGGCCCTGGCGGCCCTCAAGTGCACCTGCCACCACTTCAAGGGCATCATCGAGGCTTTCGGTGTGCGTGCTACGGACTCGCGCTGGAGCCGGGACCCGCTCTACCGCGATGACCCTTGCAAGCAGTGCCGCAAGAGATACGAGAAGGGCGACGTGTCCCTGTGCCGCTGGCACCCCAAGCCCTACCACCACGACCTGCCTTACGGACGTTCCTACTGGATGTGCTGCCGCCGAGCCGATCGAGAGACACCTGGCTGCCGCCTGGGCCTGCATGATAACAACTGGGTGCTGCCCTGCAATGGGCTGGGTGGGGGCAGAGCAGGCCGGGAGGAGGGGAGGTGAAGCCGGGGAGGGGAGGGGGAGCCCTCCGTGCCCGCCCCCCCTCCCTGGGAGCCAGGGTCTGGACTGGGCCACCAGCCCACAGCCCCCCAATCTGGGCAGCGTTGATCCCCCACCAGAACTGAGATTAGCTTTGTGGGGGACCCAGGAGGACACTCTGTCCCTTGTTGGTTTTCTACTTTTTTTGACCTAGGGCCAGGGACCCTCAAGTAGGGTGTTTTTTATCAGCATCTCAATTTCTTCATTCAGCCCCAGCACCCTCCCTGCCACTCTGTACATCCCAGGAACCCACCAGCAGGGAGGAGATGGCAGCTAATTTTGGTACCACCTAAGGCTTCCCCCCAGACTGGCTCCCCTTCTTTGCCTCCTCCATCCCCCCAGCTCTTTGCCTGGAGCTGTTTGCTCACCCAGGTTGGTACCTCCAAACCTCCTGCCCCAGGGCTCACCTCTTTTGGAATTAGGGGCCATCTGATCACACATCAAATTTGGCACTTTTTCTGGGCAGCCTACCATTTCTAGATGTTTTCCCCACTGGAGAAATAAAAATTACTGCTTTCTCTTAACCACAACCTACCAGTCTCTCCCCTTCCTCTACAGAGAAGGGAAGAAGTCCCGTAAGTACAACTCCCACCCGCACCCATTATTTAAGCTTTGCCAACGCTCCTCACCCAGTAAAGCTGTGAAGCCCTTTGCCTTGCTCTCAGAGCGCGGAGGGCAGGGACTGTGGGTTTGAATTTCTATGTGGTTTTTTCTTCCACTCTGGGTACTTGTTGAGGCGTTGGGGTCTCTTCACCCCAAAGCCACGACAAGTTTCTTTAGAACCTTTTGGTCAGTTGGGACCTTGATGTTCAGGCAGTTTGGTCTGGGGTATTTTTGCTTGTTCTGTTTGGGGTTTGTTTTTGTTTTTCCATAATTGTGGTTCTGGAAGATTCTAGCATGTGGCATCTGGCCAATTTTTGAATTGGTCCTTTCTATAAAATCAATATTTATAAGGCTTGGCCCAGACTGGTCTGTGTGTTGTTAAAGGAGGGAGATTGGGGAGAAGAGAGCTACGCCCTTGCACAATAGGATGGGAAATGTACTAAAGGAATCTGTAGCCAAATTCCTCAGCCTGAGATTATTTTTGACTCCTCATCTGTGGTTTCGATTTGAAAATGTCAATATAGTAGTGATTTGAACAAGATTGTTCTTATTTCTTTAAAAATCCAGTGTTAAGTACGGTGGGCCTCCACGCATGCCTGTCTCAGCTCACCTGCCATTCTTTGTTGCCTTCATCCTTGCAGTCTGAGATGGCTGTGGGAATTCCCACCACCCCCTTTCTGCAGGCAGGGGAGCCCCCTTCCTTCCTATACTACTGCACAGTGTGCTTTTTTTTTTTTTTTTTTTTTTTGGGCCGATCGAGTTTATTTGTTACTTAAGCATTTTATTTCTGACTGGACTCAGACTTAGAAGTAGAAGCTCTCAGAGAGGAAAGCCTACGTCTCTTGGCAATTTGTTCCTGGCGTTTTTCTTTAGTTTCCTTCATTCTCTTGGCAAGAAGCTTAGCATATTCTGCAGCCTCCTCTTTGTTTTTCTTAGTACGCTGCTTCTTCAGAGCGATATGGCGGTGCTTGTGTTGGAGGACACGCGGAGTAACGATACGCTGAATCTTAGGGGCTTTAGTCCTGGGTTCCTTACCTTCTTTGTTTAAGGGCTTCCTGACAACATATTGGCGAACATCATCATCGTTAGAGAGGTTGAAAAGTTTGCGGATTCTGCTTGCTCTTTTGGGTCCCAGGCGCCAAGGCACAGTAGTATCAGTCAATCCAGGAATATCTTTCTCTCCTTTTTTTACAATAACCAAGGTGAGAATTCTCAGATTGGTATCCACAGTGCAACCTCGGACAGATTTACGCTTTCTCTCTCCGGTTTTCCTTGGTCTATAACAGGAATGCCCCTTGCTCAGTAGCAAGCGAACTCGGCCATGAGTCAAGACGCCCTGCTTCATAGGGAAACCTTGCTTGTCGTTCTCACCACTGATCCGGACCACATAACCCTTCCACTCTTCACCTAGAGAGTCAGCAGCAACTTCTGTGGCCATACACTTCTCATAGAAGTATGAAGTTTACGTTCATCATCCAGCTCAACGAGTTTCTAGCAGCCAGTGGCGGGGAAGATGTTCAGCTTCATTTTGAAGCAACTCGCAGTGTGCTTTCATTTGCACCTTCTGGTCAGTGCATAGCCATACACAGGGCTGCAAGGGAGGCTGGGAAATGGATCTTTGGCTGGGTGCAGTTGCCCAGCCAAACTCTGCTAGTAAAGATCCCTATAACTAAAGTCTTAAAATATTTTCTCAATTGTTTTTAGTAAGGTTAAAAAGAGGGGGAGTAAGATATCTTTTAAATATAAAAGAAAAGTAGATATTGAGAAGACCCATGCAATCTCTGATATTCTCATTCAAGACTCAGTTTCCAGAGAGTAGGTTATCAGCGTATTCAAGGCTTAGATTTGAGGATTTAAGGAGACCTAGATGAATCTTGGCTTGGCTTTGTGAGACCTTAGTTTTGCATGAAGAGTAGGTTAGATCACTTATGCCTTCCTGCTGAAAACAGTTGACTTCAGAAATTTCCTAAAAAGCATCACGTAGCCCCTAAAATATGGTAAGGACCCACTAGCCAAAATTTTAAGGGCCCTGGAGCTACCAGAGCATCTGCTAAAGTGGACGACCTCGAGTCTCTTCCTTGGCAGCCTGATGGGGACAAATAGGTAGAAGTCAAAGCCACAGTCCTAACCAGAGTGGGGAACCTCAGGAGTGGAGAGGCATGAAGATCTCAGAAAACTTGTGAATTCAAGGAAGAAGACTGCAGAGGGGAGCACCAGGCCAGAGGAAAAATCAGCTCTGAGAATTAGTCAGAGAATGTTTTTTTTTTTTTTTTTGTCTTTTTTCATTTTTATTGGTACCAGGGATTGAACTCACGACTGCCTGCTTGCAAGGCAGGTGCTTATGCCGCTGAGCTAAATCCCCAGCCCCGAGAATTAGTCTTTATAGCTAGGCTCACAGCCCCTGTGTCATCCAGGGTACTTTTTGCTGGCAGGAACAGCGGTAGGAGCTGCCATCTAGAACCCCCACAAATAAGCCAGGCATGGTGGTGCACACCTGTCATCTCAGCACTCAGAGAGCTGAGGCAGAAGGATCGGAGTGTGAGGCCATCTTAGGCTACATAGTAAGTTCAAGTCTAGCCTGAACTATATAGCGAGACCCTATCTCAAGACGAAGAATAGAATCCTGTGTGTTAATTTTTCAGACAGTAAGTAGCAAGCATGCATGAAAGTAAAGTATGAGCAAGAACCAGCAGAAATACTCCCCAAGATAGAACCATAAGGCTTCAGATGGTGGGACTCGGTCACAAATTGTGACATTATCTTAAACTCTGTGTTGTTCATTTTACAGTAGTAGAGACTGAACCCAGCCCTTTGCACAGAGCTGCATCTCAGGCTCCACTTGTTTGTGTTTTTTTGTTTGTTTTTGTCTTTTTCATTTTATCGGTACCAGGGATCGAATAACTGCCTGCTTGCAAGGCAGGTACTTATGCTGCTGAGCTAAATCACCAGCCCCTTCCACTTAGTATTTTGAGACAAAGTTTCACAAAACTGTGCAGGCCTGTTCAAATAAGGGTGCTTCCTGCCTCAACCTCCCAGAGCATTGGGATTATAGGTGTGCACCAACACACCCCACTAAAATTGTGTTTAAATATTTAAGAATTTAGGCATAGTGGTACTTTTCTGTAGCTCCAGCACTCGAGTCTAGGACAGGAGGATCATAAGTTTGAAGCCAGCCTGGGCTGCATAACAAATTCAGGCTGGCCTTGAACTCACGGTATAGTGCAGGCTGACCTCAAACAGAGCACACAGCTATGTGCCACCTCACCTGGCTGCATCTGCATTGTAACTGCAGCCTGTCACTGGACATCAGGTATGGAGTTTACTGTTCAAAAAGTTTTGGAGCTTGGAGCACTTGAGGTTTTTAGATTAAGGATACTCAGCCTGTGCTAATAATTCCTCAGAAGACCAATGTGTGAAACATAGTGTTCAGCAGCCATGCTTCCAAATACAGCTAGGGTCTCTGTGGAGTAAAGGGGTCAGTGGAGGAGTCCATGTGTCACGAAGTGGAGCTGCAGGGCCTGCTGGCTTTGGTACCTGAGGAACCATCACCTCGTCAGACAGCAGCAGCTCATCTGTAAAATGGATCTAACAAGCCTCACTGGGAATTCAAAGAAAGCCATGTAGTCCTAGCCCTCTGGGAGGCTAAGGAAAAATTGTACATTCAAGCCCAGCCTCACCAACGTAGAGCTGTAGGAAGAGCTGGTATCAAGAGTTCTAAAAAAAGAAAGGCTTGATTGGGTGGTAGGGGGAAGGTCCTGGGTTTAGGACAGGTGCAGGGCAGGGCAGGGCGGGGAAAGTCAGCAAAGGCTGCCTGCCACTTTGTCGACCAGCTTCATGTAGGGCCGGTGACTTGAAGAGAGGTGGGACGTGGGGGCTAGGAGCACAGCTGGGGTTGAGGCACTAGGTTTTCCAGACAGCTGACTCAGTCTGTCTCAGCCTCCTCCTCATTTGTACAGTGAGAATACACTGTACCCACAAACTTGCTGTAAAAACTCAAAGTCCCTGACAGGTGTCAGCCACTGTGGAAAAACTTGAACCAAGGACTCTCGTCTTCATTCTTTCTCAGTGGATAACCTGACTTTCAGTCAAGTTTATTGAGTCATTTTCAGTCTGCAGATGGCTTTCACCTTCACTTAAATTTTGTGCTGGGCATGGTGGCACACACTTGTAATCCCAGCACTCGGAGGCTGAGAGAGAAGGAGCACTTCGAGTTCCAGGCCAGCCTGCACTACAGTTTTAAGGGCAGCCTGAACTGCATAGTGAAACCCTGTCTCAAAAAAAGTTGCTTTTTTTTTTTTTTTTTCCCAGACAAGGTCTTGCTATACAGTTCAGGCCGACTTTCTTTTTTTTTTTTTGGTACCAGGGGTCGAACTCGCGACCTCACGCTTGCCAGGCAGGTGCTTATGCCCCTGAGCTAAATCCCCAGCCCAAGGCTGACCTTAAACTCACTATGTAGCCCACACTGGCCTGGAATGTGCAACAATCTTCCTGCCTTAGCCTCTTGAGTGCAGGGATTACAGGTGTGCACCCCTATACTCTTCTTACCCTCTACAGTTTTAATCCTCTACCTTAGCTACGTAGAACCCAGGACCTCGAATGCACTTGCCAGCCAATCCTGCTACAGCGCTGCACCCAAACTTGGCTCCCTCATCAAGGGTTTTATTTTCACTAGATTTGCTAAATAGCTGAGTATGTACCATACTGTACCCTTAAGGCCAGCATGTCCCATTAGTTTGGAGGCTGAGGCAGAAAGAGTTGAAAGCCATTCTGAGCTACGTGGTGGAACTCTGAGTCAAAAAAAAAAAAAGGACACCAAGTCCCAAACTGTGGTTAAAACATGCCCTTTGGTATTTATTACAGATTCACAGCCCTCCCTGAAGTGCTGGTTCATTAAATATGGAGTGAGACTTTCAAGTCTCCCATTTCTTTTTTTTTTTTTTTTTTTTTGGTACTGGGAATCAAACTCACCAGGCAGGCACTGTGCTGCTGAGCTACATCCCCAGCTCCATTTCTTATAAGCTCCCAGCTAAGCCAGAAGAGGAGGCCAGGTTGGCAGAAATTCCTCCCTGACCTTGCAGGTACAGCCACCATCTCATTGCTGTACCCACAGGAAAGGATGGTTTAGGGTTACTGCTTTGCAGTGAATCTAGCTCTGACCCATTCCTGCCAGAAAGCTTCTCAAACTTTCCAAATGAGGGTTTCTCAAACTATCTTTTGTGGTAGCCTAGTTCTGCGAGGTTCTTACAAAGGTTCCTTGATGAAATACTATGGGAACTGCTGCATTTTGTCTGACTCTGGAAAATTTCCAAATGCTGTAAGGAGACTTGTTGAATGATGTTTTACCCTGCTACTGGGATCTCTAATCCCCTCAAAACACTGTTTTGTAGCCCTCTGGCTGAGGCATAATCTGGACTGCTGAAAGCACCCATTTCTGAACCCAGGTTGTGCAGTAGCTAGGCTGTAGTTCTGAAGCATGAACAGATGCACGAACTTTTAAGTGGCAGAAGATTCTTTTAGTTGAGTGATGCTGGTCCAGATGCCATCGCAGTTTGCTGATTAAAAGCACAGCATTTGGTCCCTGCAAACCTTCGGACCTCAGGAAAGGGCCAAGCTCTTACTCTATAGCTGTCACCTCCACAATGTTCCAAGTCCCTGAAGCATGGCAGCTTGACCAAAGTTGAAAGTGGGTCATTCCTAGTAGTCTGAGGTGTAGAAAAGGAGAAGCCAGCACTCCTGTGCTTGGCCCAGTCTGACTCCCCTGGCGCCAGGCACCCTGGGTGCATCCCTCTGGGCACAGCTCCCACAGAGCAACGTGCCCCAGGCTACAGCCCCAGGTATTCTGCCAGGAACACGGCCAAGATTCGGCTGAGGTTGTGCACGGTAGGTGGGTGGAGGTTGGCCTCCGTGTCGCCAGGCGTGTGCCATACAGAGGGGAAGGGCGTGGCGATGAGGTGCAGCACTGGGACCCCTGCGGATGAGAGGAGATCCCTCAGGCCTGTGCCCCCACTGCAGACACTGGCCAGAGGTAAGCTGGATAACCTTACCCGCCCAAAAAAACATTCTGTTCCAGCACTTTCTGAACCCTGACATGAAGTGTGTGAGGGTACAGGTTGTTTCCATAACAAATTAGAGAAACTCAGAATTAATGGGCCGCAAAGAGATCGGAGGAGGAGGAGGAGGAGGATGTCCTTGGTCCTCCATGCCAGGTACACATGAAGCCTGTCTTCTCTGTAACATCCCTTATACCCTACTTGTGTACTGCTGTATTTTGGTACTAGGACACACAAACGCACCATTCTGTCCTTTCGGTGAACCCCTTAAGGTAGGTAGTTTCTATCATTCCCTTTATTTTACTTTTAGAGATGGAGTCTCCCTGTGTTACCCAAGCTGGCCCAAACTGCCCTCATATTCACTGAGTGAATCAGTAAAGAAGGCAGAGTTGAGTGTTGGAGTGTAGCCCAATGGTAGAGCGCCTCCCTAGCACATGCAAGGTCCTAGGTTTTCTGTCCCCAGCACTGAAACAAATAAACAAGTAATAAGACATTCTGAAGGTATTCTTGTTGGAAAACTTACAAGTTTTTTTTTTTGTTTATTTGTTTTTGTTTTTGTCTTTTTCGTTTTTATCAGTACCAGGAATCGAACTCATGACTGCCTGCTTGCAAGGCAGGGCTTATGCCGCTGAGCTAAATCCCCAGCCCCTAAACTACAAGTTTTTCAAAGCAATTTTTTTTTTTTTTTTTTGGTACCAGGGATCGAACTCAGGACCGTGCGCTTACAAGGCAGGTGCTTATACCGCTGAGCTAAATTCCCAGCTCTCAAAGCAGCTTTTAGCACCTGCTATGTGCCAAGACTGTATAAGCAGGCATTTTTATGGAGCTCACCATAATCCTCTCATGAATATACACATGCATATGTGCCGGTGTATGCATACCCACGTTTTCCTGGAGGAATGGGGGTTCAGGGAGACTGATTTGCTTTAAGTCAATCAGTGGCAAGTGCAGATCCTAGAATTCAAGACCTGTCCATTCTACAACCTTAGTGCTAGAGCACTTTCCTAGCATGTGTGAGACCCTATACTTTTTTTTTTCTCCTAAAAAAGGTCTCGCGGTGCAGATTAGGCTAGCCTTAAACTCGATAATGTAGCCCATTCTGGCCTTGACCTTGAGGCAATCCTCCTGCCTCAACCTTCCAAGTGCTGGGATTATAAGCCTGCACCAGAACATCCAGCTTTTTTTTTTTTTTACAAGGTCTTATAGTTCAGGCTGGCTTTGAACTGACATGTAATGCAGGGTGGCCTCAAAGTTTCAGCAATCCTCCTGCCTCAGCCTCTTCTTACCTCAGTCTCCTGAGTGCTGGGATTATAGGTATGCTCCACCATGCCCAGCTAAAACCCACATTCTTAACCCCTACACCAGATGTTTCTGACTGTGCATGAAAGTTAGGAACTTTGTAAAAATCATGCAGACAGCCTACCCCCTACAGAGGTGTATAACCCCTATACCCTTTTATATGTAAGAGAGCATGACTTAGCTCTCAGCAGGTACAGGACCCCTGTTTATGGATGGGGGGAGGGTAAGGGTCCCAGAGATGGTTCAGTAGGCCTGAATTTGACTGCACATTTTTTGAAGTTTCTTTGTGATTCTACAGAGCTACCAGGGCCTTGAAAGAAAATCAAGAATGAATGTCATGCTGGGGATGGTGCCACATGCCTGTAATCCCAGGGGAGGCTGAGCCAGGAGGATAACCATGAGTTTGAAGCCATTCTGGGCTACACAATGAGTTCAAGCCAGCCTGAACTACCTGTCTCAAAAACAAAACAATGAATACATGCTGTAATCGTTGTAGCATGAATTGTAGTAGTTAACATTTCTTGAATGCCTTCCATATGCTGGACACTATTCCGAACAAGTTCTTTGCACACATTAGCACATTTGGTGCCTTCAGGACTGTGCGACACCAGTTTACAGATGAAAACATTTAGAAGAGGAGAATAAATTGTCACCAGTCCCCAGTACTGGGAAGGAGCCAGAGCCAACCCAAGCTGTCCCCATTCGTCCCTGCATAGGGCAGTACCTCTGCGGAGGAAGGGGATGTGGTCATCTTCCACGGAGCCCGGTGGCTCCCCAGGCTGGAAGTACATCACTTCTAAGGGGTGATCCTGCAGCAGGTTCAAGCGGTGTAGACGCTTCTCTGTAGGGGTGAGAGAGCAAGACAGTTCTCAGCAGTCAAAGGTCCCCTGTTCATGGATTAGGTCCCAGAGATAAAGCCCTGGTCATTCTAACATGAATGAATGTGTTTCTCATTCCTGTGGTTTACTACGTTCCTGGTCTTACTTAATCTCTCTGGTCTAGAGGTAGATTATTATTAGGATCATGCTCATTTTGCAGATAGGAAACTGAGAATGACTGATGGAAGCTTCTTAACCCAAGGGGTAAAAGGCAGATGCAGCACTTGAAACCATAGCTGTCTTACACCAGAGCAGCTGATTTATAATCACTATACTTGACCTCCACAGGATGAGTATGTGATTCTGCCCTGACTCTTTAGAGATGAGCCCATTGAGGACATGTGCCTGGCCCTCCCTCCTACATCCCAGACTGGTGCTGGCCTCAACTTCACATTTACCGATGCTCCGCAGCCGATGGAACCAGCGGACTGTGTGGGGGAAGTGACTGTAGAAAGTCGGGCTGGGGGCTCCCAGGAGATCAAGCAGCATGAAGAGCTCCTAGAGAGAAGCCAGGACTGGAGGGGGCTGAGTGGAACCCCACCAACCCCACTGCACTTTTTCTCCCTCTCGCCAGAACCCAGCAGGACCCTGGTCTTACAATGGCCTGGATCCTGGTGGGGCCAGGACTGTGGGGCATAGACGCCATGAGCTGGGCTAGGTGCCGGGAGCCATAAAGGGAGTCTTTGGGTCCCCACTCCTTCAGTGCCTCTTCACCATCCAAGAAGAGCAGTTGTAGGGTCACTGGGGCTGCCTGTGGGAGCAGGTGGCCAGGGCCAGCTCAGTGCCAACCCTCAGCATCAACCCACCCATGTGCCCTGCCCACATGCAAAGCTGGACAGGACAAACTCAGTGCCCTCACTGGGTACAATGTGGGGCCACGAACACACATGAAGCCAGGCGGCCTGAGTTCAGTTCCACAGCCAGCTGCATCCTAGCATTGTAGACATGGGTTAAGTTACCAACTTCCTGAAGTATCAGCTTGATCATCTATAAATGGGGTTAATGACAGTTCTGTTCACAAAGAGGACTCAGATCTAGGACTGAGAACAGTGGCTGATGATATGAAGAACTAAATATGGATCGCTGGGCATGGTGGCTCATACCTGTAATCCCAGCATTTGGGAGGCTGAGGCAGGGGAATCGTTTCGAGTTTGAGACCAGCCTAGGCTACAAAGTGAGCTCAAGGCCAGCCTGAACTGCATAGCGAGACCCTGTCTCCAAAAAACAAACAAAAAAAGAGAACTAAATATGGGTTAGATTTGATAATTTTTCCTCTAGCTCACTTTGGCAAAAAACAAAAAAGAGAGACTGAGAGAGACCCACAAATAAATGATACAAATAGTGAAATGCAGTCGGGATAAAGACTTCAAGAACTACAGGGATCTGAGAGAGCACAGGAAGGGGCTTAGTGGGACATGGTAGAAAGGGCTCTGGGTCTTTTGGGCCAGGATGGTTGGGGCTGCAGTAGGAAGAACAGACGGAAGAGTAGCCCCAGCCAAGGGAGCAATGTGGGAGCAGGTCAGAGAAGTTTCAAAAATCAGGGGGAGGTTTAGGAAGGGCTGAGGAGTTTGGACTTTGTTTGAGGGGCACTGGGGATCCATGAAAGGTGTTAGAGGAGGGGAGAAGCATGATGTGATCTATACTCCCATTCACGTGTTCATTCCACAAATTTGCATTGATATCCCATTTTATGCCAGAATATGGCAATATTCTGACCAATGGGATACAAGAAACAGAAGAATCTTGAGTCCCTGCCTTCATGGAACTTAACTCTAGCTGAGGAGACAGGCAAACAAATCAACAGAAAGCATCAAGGATGAGCTGGGAACCAAGGGATTTATTTTAGGATGACTACAAAGGGATCTTGGAAGGGAAAATTTTGGAGTAGACACCTGAATAAAAGGTGAGAGCCAGTCAGGAAGGAGGAAAAATACATTTATTGATGGACTGACTGATCGACTGAGACAGGGTCTCACTATGTAGCCCGGGCCGGCTTCCAACTCTGTAGAAGGTATAGGTTGGGATTGTAGAAAGGATTGCAGGAAGCAATCCTCCGGGCTCAGTCTTCTGAGTGTTAGGATTATAGGCACCATGCTGGTTACAAAAAAAAAAAATAAAATAAAATTCTGCTACCACTAGGCAGGGTGGCACACATCTATAATCCCAGCACTCAAAAGGCTGAGAAGGCTGAGGCAGGAGGATCGTAAGTTTGAGGCCAGCCTGGACTACACAGTGAACCCCACCGCAAAAAAAAATTCCACGTAGAGCCAAGAGCAAGTGCAAATGTTCCGAGATGGGCTAGAGAGATCGGAGGGTGAGTGTAACTGCAGAAAGTGAGCAAGGGGTAAAGGGCAAGAGATGAAACTAGAGCGGTAACAGGGTGCAACTCAGAAGACAATGTAGACTCTGGCTTATTCTTGGAACCAGGGAGCCAGAGGAGGATTTAGGCAGAGCACCAGGATCTGACATTCAGAAGACAAGGATGACAAAGGCAAGAAAGAGAAGGTGGGTGCATGGACATGGCCCATCCCTCCCCCGATTCTGTTCCTCACCTGCTGTTTGGCCCTGCTCAGCAGCAGATCAAGGGCCTGAGCCAGCTCTAGTAGCAGTGCACAGGGTACAGCTGAATCCGTGGCTCCCACAAATGGGGCTGATCCGTGGGGAAAGAGCTTCGAGTCATAATGGCAGGCGAGAGTAAGGTGACGGGCAGCCCCTGGGTCCAGCGTAGCCACCACATTCCCAAAGTCCAGTGGTCCCAGAGGTGTTGAGGCTGTGAAGGGATCCAGCTCCACATGCCAGCCAGCTGTCAGGGCCCGCATCGTGGATTCCAGGAACTAGTGGCAAGAGAAGGTGGGAGGGTAGACAGGGACTGGGGAGGAGGTAGGGAGAAGGGCCATGTGACCTGAGCCACAGACAGCTGTCAAAAGTCCCACTGAGGGTTAAGCTATTCCTTTGACTCACTTCTGCCTAGTACCTAGTGGTTGCCAGATATTAGGGAGACCCACCTCCTGATGCCAACAATGCTAATCATGGCTTATTCTTCAGCAGCTCTTGTTATGTGCCACGCCCTGTTCTAGGAGCCTATTGAGCAGAGAATGCAAGTGAATGACCCCATTTTGCAGAGGCAGAAACGGAGTCCCTGAGAGGTTAAGAAACATCCTAGTGCAATGGTGCACATCTGTAATTTTAGCACTGGGGAGAGGCTGAGGCAGGAGGATTGCAAGGTCAAGCTCAGCCCCAGCAATTTAGTGACTTAGAAAGATTGAAAAAAAAATTTTTAAAGGGGTAATGATGGTGGCTTAGCTCAGGGTGAAGAAAGAAATTAGTCTGAGGTGAGGTGAGACTAAACACAGTATCTGGAAGGCAGTATAGTGCTGTGGTGCCACTTGTTAGCTGTGGAACCTATGGCAAAACGTATAACATCTCTGGGCCTTAGTTTCACTATCTGTGGCATCTCACACTGGCTCTCATCACCTGGGGCTGCCTATTGCTTGTCCCTAGCACACACTCAGGTTTGGGTAGAAGTGCAGCTGCTGGTTATGTGAGATTCTAGAGTCAGATTAACTCCTGTGAAAACCCCAGTTCTGCCCTTTACCTCCTTTGGGATCTTGGACAGCAGGTCTACTTCCCGGTTTCCTAGCGGGCTGGGAGTGGGGGCGTTGGTCAGAACCTAGAGATAAGATGAGACACCTTTACCTTTCTGACTTGAAGATTGCCGGGGCTACCTGGGGTTCGCACAATCAACAGAGGACGCAGGTAAGTAACCCAGAGCCGCTGCGGATCCAGCTGATCCACCACCTTCCGCAGCTTGGCTTCTGGGAGGTTTCCAACCAGCGGAGCCTTGGGGGTTGGTAAAACGGGAAGAGAAAATAAGAACAATCCCTCATTCCGACCCTACCCCGGACGCCGGTGCCGCCATGTGCCCGGGATCCTTTGGGAATGAGCAGCCTCCGGCATGTAGGATAAATCCTAGACTCGGGAAAGGTTCCTCCAAGCCCGTCTGATCAAATATACCGCAAACCTGATGGACAGACAAATCAAAGCTCGGTAGGAGGAATGGGTTCTTCCAAATAATTTACTTGAAGTGTGGAACCCAGACCTCCCAAGCTCACTACAGCGCAGCAGACCCTTCCTCTTAAGGGGGAGCTGCTATTACAAGAGGAGCGAAGCCTTCTTGGGTACGGAGTATGCGCTCTAATGACAGCGAAAGAAGGCACCTGCGGCTAGGGCCAGTGGATACAGCCACGTCAACCTGGGACTCTAGAAGGGAAAGTGGGAAATGACGGTCCCTAGGGTGCCCGGAGCCCCACTGGGCCTCACCCGGAACTCACGACCCCTTGACAGCTCCTCCGTCCCGCGGTGCCAGCCGCTCCAGATAATGTAGAGCGCGAAGCCCACGGCCACGGCCAGCAGCAGGGGCAACGGCTGCACCCGCGGTAGCAGGCGGCGCTTGGGCAGTGAGGGTGACTCTAGGAGCCCGCGTTCGCCGAGCCGCTGCCGGGGCCGCCCGCGGCCCCCGGATCGCATGGCAGCTGTCCTGAAACGTGTACCCGGCCGCAGAAGGAGTTTAGGCCCCGCCAAGTTCCACCCAAGGAATCACAAAACCAATGAGCAACAAGAGCGGCTGCACGTCCCACCCAGTGAGCCCTGAAACCAATGGCATCCTGAGGACACGCCTGCCTACCGCCAGTGGGTGTTGGCGTTGGTTTCCCTTTGGGTTGCACAACCCGAAAGAGCGCGAGAAAGGGGTAGGGACCGCCTCCAAGGGGAGTGGGCCAATGGGCAGCATTTGATCATAGAGACGCACGCACCTCCCCTGCCCAGGTCCAGGTCCCTTACAGATGTAGAATTGTTCTTCCCAGATTTGAAAGATCAATGGTCACCTCAGGGAGCCATGCCTGAAGGAAAAAGGGTAGTGCGCATCCCTAAAGCTAAGAGCGGATTGGCTTCGCCGAGGCCGCACCCCCAAAGATAGGACCGGCTTGTCGCCTCCCTCCTTCAATTTACACTTTTTTACAACAAAACCACTCGAGTCGTGCCCCCTTTATTTTTTCTCTCCATTGTTGTGAGCATCTGTCTTGTGTTGTCCTAAGTGGCTTCGAACCACAAAATCAGAGTTTTACCCAACTCCGTGCAGCTGGTGTGGTAGCTATGGCAACAGGCCACACCCATTATGCTGTTTGGGTTTGCGCAGGCGCTAACGGAAGTGAGACAACGGAAACGGAAGTCCCTCCCCTCTTCTTCCTTCTGAGACCGAAGCAACGCAAAGGGAAGAAGAGTAACCCGAGGTCGCGGCTGCCACCATGTGAGACTGGGCTGGTTTTCAACCGCAGGAGGGAGTTGAGGGTGTAAATTTGGCTGCTTAACTGTGGGAGAGGATGAGCAGGGCTGAGGACGGAGGCAGAGATTAGGAATAAAGTGGCGTACTTTTGAGGGGTTCGAGTACGGATGTGGGGCCTTTACCGGGTCGTGAGTTCTGGAGAGAGGACATCTTAAACACATAACGGGGGGCTGGGGATTTAGCTTAGCGGCATAAGTGCCTTGCCTTGTAAGTGTGTGGTCATGAGTTCGATCCCCGGTACCGAAAAAAAGAAAAAGACCAAAAAAAAAAAAAAAAAAAACCCACCACATAACGGGCTGGGAGTTTTCGCAGATGTTCTTGTTGAAGCCGATTTTAAGGGGGAGCTATTTTAAGGAATAAATTGCCGGCGGCAGGAAAGTGAAGTCTATTATTAATAACGACTTGAAGTAAGGGATTTATCTGGAGAATTTAAGCTGCTGGCGGGTGACTTTTCTTTTGCGACTGTGACACAGTGAGCCACTAAAGTGAGTTTGCTGTTTGTTTGGTAGATATTACGTTGAGTGTTCACGTGTCGGGCACTGCATTGATCACATGGGATACATCAGGGAATGAAAGGTCCTCATCCCCGAGAAAAACATTTTCTATTATGGGTTATGAGGGGAGCAAAGTACTCAGGCCATAGAATAATAAAGGAATATATAGCGTGTCATGTGTCCAGGGCTGTTAATAAACATAGTTTAGTAGGACAGCAACACTGGGAAGACCACAGTGTAGTGTCACAGAAGGACCTATTGAGAAGGAAAAGCTTGAGCAAGGAAGAAAGTGAGAAAGTGAAGCTTCCAGATAACTGGTAGTTCCAGGCATGGGTAAAAGCAAACAGAGGCCTTAAGATGAAAGTTTGCCTCTTGTCTTGAGAAGACCACCTAGGAAGCCACTGGCTAGAACAATGTGACAGAGCCTGCAGCAGTGTGAGAGAGGAGGCAGGTGTAAAGCATTGTGAAAGCTTTGGTTTTCCTTTTACACTGAGATGGGAGCTATGGAAAGGCTTCAAAGGGTGACATGATGTGGTTTAGGTTTTAGCACAGTCCTTCACACTGCTCTGTGACAGACAGATTGTCAGAAGTGTGAGTGGAAGCAAAGAGACCGGTAAAACTCCGAGAGAGGGATGATGATGATTCCAGAAATGGGAAAGAAATTATCGGAGTCTGGGTATTCATTGGTAGCCCAGTTCACGTACTCCATTCTTTCTATAATTCTGGTCAAAAACTGAATTAGACAAGAACCAAATCAAATTCAGTGGTAGGTTCAATGTTGGGGAAATTCAATTCCAAAAGGTAGATAGCAAGATTTGCCTATAGCTTTGACATAGGGTCTGAGAAGACAAGAATGTCAAGAGTATTTACCTAGAAAACTAGGGAGATGAAGTTGCTGTCAGTGGAGATGGGGAGTACTGTGGGTAGAGTGGGTTTCAGTGTGGGTGTTGGCAGCAAGATTGGGGGGACAACACAAAGCCAGGACCAGCCATGCTCTCAGCCTCACCCAGAAGTCTGTCTTTGCCTGTTCAGGAGCCTCCTTAACAAGCCCAAGAGTGAGATGACCCCAGAGGAGCTGCAAAAGCGGGAGGAGGAGGAATTTAACACAGGTCCGCTCTCGGTGCTGACCCAGTCAGTCAAGAACAACACCCAGGTGCTCATCAACTGCCGCAACAACAAAAAACTCCTAGGCCGGGTGAAGGCCTTTGACAGGTGAGCATGCAGGGTTTGGGAGGGTTCGTGCCCAGGTCTGGAGAAGCAGCCCCAGTTGCCCAGCCTGGCCTCCAATTTGTAACCCTCTTGCCTCAGCCTCCTGATCAGCTGGGATTATGGTTGTGTTTTGGCTGTAACTTGCAGCCTTTTAGTAGCATTCAGGAAGTGCTTTCCTCACCCTGGTGTGAAGCTGACTTTGAGAATGTTCTTGCCACTGGCTGTTGTGTGACCGTGACCTGGGTTTCACTCACAGCCTCTTCCCACCTGAGGCAGATGAGGGCAAGAACAACAGGAAATGCTGAGCACAGGAAGTCAGCAGACCTGGACTCAGACATAGGCTCTGACCCTGGTAAAATGCATGACCTCGGATAAGTCCCTTTCCACTGTTGGTTTCCTGCTCTCAAGCCTGGAAATAATGCTGTTCACTCTTTTGGGGAGGAGGAGTTGACTTTTCTCTTCCCCTCACTTCTTTTGCCTCTATCAGCCTCCGTGTTTGACACACACTTGCTGGCGTATGTGCATTCAGGGGGTTCTGTGTGGCGTCAGCTGTGCTTGTGTGTTTTGTCAGAACTTTACAGAGGAGTGGCTGACATCACAATATCATCAGTTTTTAAAATAGAAACTTCTATGGGCTTTTCTGCAATTCATTTTTCATACATTGTCAACATCTGAGAGCAACTTAGCAAATCAGCTAAGGCATTCTTCATCACACACACTCCCTATTTATTTACCCAGTTATGTTATTTTCCCGAGGTGTAGTGTTGGCAGCTGAGGCAGAATTCCGAATGTAAATACAAGGCACCCAGTGAAACATCTCTCTCCTTTCCTGCCCCCAGCACCCCTCAGGAACTCCCAGTGTGGCTGATTTCATAGCTCTTCTCATGGGAGTCTTACTTCGCCATTGCACCACACATAGACAAAGGTGCAAGGCTCTTTTCTGCTTTAAGTCAGTGCTAGTGAGACTTCAGTTTTAGACTGCGGTTTTTTCATTGAATAAAACTTGAAAATTTCCCCCATTGGCAATGCTACTTTTTTAACTTGCTGTTTTCTGAACTGTTAGTATACTCCCATAACTTCCAAAACTAATAATCCAATAAATAGTTTTAGGGGCTGAGGATTTAGCTTAGCAGCATAAGCGCCTACCTTGCAAGCCTGTGGTGGTGAGTTCGATCCCCAGTGCTGATAAATACATACATACATACATAAATACATAGTTTTCTGGGCCCATCTCCAGTTTACCTAAACCACCTTTTGGCCACTGCTTTTTTCAAAATCTTCAGAGGCCAGACAGTGGTACAGGTCTGTAATCTCAGTACTCAAGAGGCTGAGGCAGAAGAATTGTCTCAAAAAGACCAAAAAAAAAAAAAAAAAAAAAAACCCAACAACAAAAGAAAGAAAACGTACACATAGGCTGCACTATGTAAGTGAACAAGCAGTGTATGTGCTCCTCCAACACCCTCCACCATGTTTTGCTTCGCCTTGCTTTCAGCTTGGTGCTGGAAATGGAACCTGGGTCCATATGCATGCTAGGCATGTGCTCCACCACTGAGCTACATCCCTGACCCCTAGCTCATTATTTTTGCTGCAGAATATAACTTTCTGTGCATGCTGGCCCCCAGCCGGCCTTCTCATTTCACTGTGTCTCCTGGAGTTTCCTCCATAGCAAAACAGAGAGCATGCCCTCAACCTTTTTTTTTCCTTTTCTTTTCTTTTTTGGTCTATGAGACAGGTTCCTGCTAACGCAGTTTGGGCTTGCCTTGAACTAACTTTGTAGCCCAGTCTGGAATTTGCAGTGATCCTCCTGCCTCAGCCCCAGCACTTTTTTTTTTTGAGATAGGTCTCACTATGTAGTTCATGCTGGCCATATGAACTTGCAGTCTTCTTGTGTCAGCGTCTTTTTCTTTTGTCTAATTTTACCTCAACTTCTTGAGAGAGTGCTAGGATGAGAGGCGTACCCGGTGCCCTCTGTCTTACTGCTCAGTGACATTCCCATCAGTTGTGTATACTTTGGCTTGGTTAAACCAGCAACCTCTTAAGACTAAATGGCTCTTTGTAGCAGTGACCACCATCTGACAGTATGTTACAGGTCTCTGTCCCTTTCTCCTTTCTTATTCTTTACCCTGGCTAGAATGCCCAAGCCCTGAGGACAAGGTGTCATCTTAGTCCCTGCTCTGGTGCCTGTGTTTTAAGCTGTGTTTGTTGTCTGTATTCAGCAAGCATCTGTTGAACAAGCTGACCATGCTGCCAGCCCACCTGCTCACCCTGGGCTGTGAGGGCAGGGGCTATGTGCAGGTGTTTGGTGCCACCCCATCCTCAGTACCCCAGGAGCCTCTGGGTCCCGAGCCAGATGGTGCTTGGTGCATCTCTGTTGCTGTCTTCAGCAGAGTTAGTGGCACAGTGGGAACCATTTTTGCTTTATGCCAGACTCCCTTCTGAGTGGTTAACAGATGCGTATTTATTCATTCCATCTTCACAGCAGCCCTGTGAGAAGGTGCTGATTGTCTAGAGGAAGAAAACAGAACAGAGGGCAGAGCTCTTGGTCCAGACCTCAGTCTAAGTGGGCAGGTACAGGGCATGGTGGCACGTGCCTTTCACCCCAACTCTTGGGAGGCTGAGGCAAGAGGATCCCTGTAAGTTTGAGGCCAGCTTACACTGCATAATGAGTTGAAGAAGTAGATACTGAGACTCCATTTCAAAAAACCAAAAGAATGATGGGCATGGTAGCGAATGCATGTAATCCTAGCAATCAGGAGGCTGAGGCCGGAGAAAAACCACAAGTTTGAGGATAGGCTGAGCTACACAATAGAGACCTGGATGAATTACAGAGCAAAACCATGTTTGGGGGGGGGGGGGAACAAAAGGAAAAACAAATGTCCAGATGTGGCATTGGCAGCCTGCCCCTCCTGGCCCCAGGGTCTGGGCCCTTCTCAGTGCAGTGCTGCTGAGGGGGTCTGAGCCCCCACCCTCCCTGCTCTTGCCTCCCCAGGCACTGCAACATGGTGCTGGAGAACGTGAAGGAGATGTGGACTGAGGTCCCCAAAAGCGGCAAGGGCAAGAAGAAGTCCAAGCCAGTCAACAAGGACCGCTATATCTCCAAGATGTTCCTGCGTGGGGACTCTGTTATCGTGGTGCTGCGGAACCCGCTCATCGCTGGCAAGTAGGGGCCTCGTCCCTGCTGTCAGGACCAGCTTCCCTGCCTGTGAAGCCCCGCCCTCTATGACTGTAGTGATAATAAAGTGCTCTGTGGTTTTTTATTTTTCAGTCTTAGTAGTGTCTGTCTATCCCCAGAGCCCTTGAGTACCAAGGACGGGCAGAGAAGGAGCTGGGTGTGGGGCTGAGCGGGCAGAGAGGGAGCCAGGCATGGGACTGAGTGCTGAGGCTGTGGCATCTGAGCAGGTCAAAAGTGCTGTCTCTGCCCCTTCCAGGCCTTGCTGTCGCATTTGTATGGGGCACAGGTCAGAGAGACATGTCCTTGCTTGAAATCAGTTCAGTCTTTTTTCTTCTTTTTTCATTTATTCTGTCAGCAAATGTTTCCCAAGTGTCTCCTCTGTGCCGAGCCCTGTGTTGTAAAGCTAGGGACAGAGCAGTGTCTAAGAGAGACCCCCAGTCTGCCCTGTGAGCCAGGCAGCAGCCAGTATGTGAGTACTGGCAATGGCCCTGGCCGAGCTTTGAGAGTGCCAGGCTCTGCACTGTTCAGGTGTCGAGCTGACAGTTCTAGGGTAGGCACCTTTGTTTTTTCCAGAGCCGGAGACTGAAAATCCTGACCTCAAGGCCTTCACACTGAGCTGCGTCCCCAGCTCAGTGTTCCTTTTTTTTTTTTTTCGTTTTTAACGGTATCAGGGATCGAACTCACGACCGCACACTTACAAGGCAGGCGCTTATGCTGCTGAGCTAAATCCCCAGCCCCCAGTGTTCCTTTTTTATTGTGAGACAGCCATGCTAATTTGCCCAGGTTGGGCTGGAATGTGGCGTTCTGTGGTCTCAGCCTCTCAAGTGCTAGAATTGCAGGGGTGTGTGCTGTGCCCAGCAGTTTGTACCTTTTTTTCCGGAAGAGGAAACTGAGGCTCAGATGGGTGTATCACTTTCCAGGGGCACTGATTGAGGAGGCAGTAATGCTTGATGCAAACCTACTGTGCTGGATCACGGCTCTACTTTGTAGCCCAGGCTGGCCTGAACTCAGCCATCCTCCTGAGTGCTGGGATTACAGTTGTATGCCACCAAGCCCAGCAATGTACTGGGAATTTAACCCGCTGCCTTAGCACTGAGTTATGTCCCAGACTTTTTTTTTTTTAGTTCAGTTGCTCAGACTGAATTTGAACTTGGAATCCTCTTGTCTCAGCCTCCCAGAATGCTGGGATTACAGGCATGTCCCACCACAACCGGCTGTCTGTTTGCAGGTTTTTGTTTTTGAGACAGAGTCTCACTGTATAGTTGAGGCTGGCCTTGAACTTACTATCCAGGCTGGCCTTGAATTTAGGGCATCTTGCTGCCTCAGTCAGCCTCGCAGGTGCTGGGATTACAGGTGTATGCCACCACCCCTTGTTGCACTCACTATGGGAAGCACAGCCAAAATCCTGGAGGTGGAGCTGGGGACCCTGCACTGGAGTCATCTGTTTCACAGATGAGACAGCTAAGGCCTCGGGAGGACAAGTAAAATAACTTGCCGGGGGCCACCCAGTTAGAGAATGGTGAAGCTGCGTTTAACTCCTGTGCTTTGGCTTGGTTTCCAGCCCTTGAAGCGGGAGGTGATTTGGGGCAGGGTGGGCCGGGGTGAGGAACTTGCGACCGCAGGACCACAGTCTCTGATAGTGCCGGTCAGCAAGGCCAGAGTAGCACGTGGCCACGCGCTGACCCACACCACGCCTCTGTTGACTCGGGCACCCCTAGGATCGAGGTGCCATCACTGTACCCACCCTCCATTGGTGGAATTGAGGTTCACAGAGGTGTGGGCGGTTCAGGGTCCAGGTTTTCTTGTTCACGAAACCCAGCAGCCATGCAGCCTCCCTCAGTCATGTCCCTTCAGAGCCCTGCCACAGAAATTTACAGAGCAACAGTTTCTCCTGCTTTATTTGCCTGGACCTTACCCTTAGGCCCCCACCCCATCAAAACACAAGGGGATATGGTCCAGCGTACAGTGGGGACATGCACTTGAAAAGGCTCCAAGTTCAGCTGTGGAGCACATCTGTCCAGGAGCTGGAGACCCCAGGGTGCCCAGTGTGTCTGTGTGTGAGGGTGCTCAGGTCTTGTGTGTGGATGGAGCTCCAGCCCGGATGAGGCCTCGGGCTGCTCCCCAGCTTCTCCCTCTCAGGAAGGTGGGACCTGCCACCTTCCCCAGCCTTCGCTGGTCCTCCATACTCTGGACAGGAGCTTTCAGTTGTGGGGCTGCCCTTGTGTATCTCTGCATCCTAGGCTTCTCGTGTTCTGTGTTGGGGCTCCAGGACCTCATGTCCACCCTCCCTAGAGTACTCTACAGGTGATGCCAGCCTCACACACAAAGAGCACTCTTCCCTCCAACCCTGAACCCAGTCTCAGCTTTCCGCTCTGCCCCAAACGGGCACCCTGGCCCTGTCTCTGCTGTGCTCCTCATACGGGTCTGGCTTAGAGCCTGGCAAACAGCTCCAGAACCCAACTGCTCCTCACTCTCCTCAGCTACCATCCTACACAGCCACCACCGTTCTGCAGTCCCCTCCTCATGGACCCCTCACGGACCTGGCTTCTACCCCTGCCCTGAGAAACCTTACAACAGAGGCAAAGGGACCTGTGGAAAACACTAGCCCATGAACCGCTTCTGCTGAGCTCTTCAGTGCCTCTGGGGCAAACTCTTGACCCCTGCGCCCCTGCCTGCTTCTCCCCAGCCATGGGCTTGGATTTCCTCCACTCCAGGGCAGAGACTGCACAGATGCCTTCCTGCCCCAGGGCCTTCTCACATGCCCAACCTTCTGCCTAGAACTTTATCCTCCCATTCTCTGCACAGTTGTCTCCTTGACCCCTGTCAGGCATGGCTTCAATGTTGTCTCCTCAGAGAAGGCCCCCTGAGTCCCTGGGACTGTCTGTATTCCCTTCATAACCGCTGCACAGTCCATGTGTCACTCGATGTTCTTGTGTTCACAGTTGTCATCGCCCCGGAGGGCAAAGACTCCATCTTCTGTTTCCTTCTCTCCCATCTCCCCGGTGTCTCCCACACCAAGTCTGGTACCACAGGCCGGCAGCTCCATAAATACTGCATATTCCTGTTACCTAGCAGTAACTTTCCAAGACCTCATCTCCAGGCCCTGGAAGCGATTTCGAGGACAAGGCGTGGCGGATGGGGACCTCAGCGGGGCCAGAGCCCCGGGAGAGGCGCTCTGGTTGTGGGCGGGGGGCCTCACGGAGGCTATGACGTAGGCTACAGTGGTGCCAGCCCCGGCGGATCTCCGTCTGCACCTGCGACGACGGGTTGCTCAGAGGCGGCGCTGTTCTCAAGCGGCCACCAGAGGGCGAGGGCGGGCTCTCCTACCTCCTTGTTGGTGAAGCAGTAGAGGACACTGACCAGGAACCCCTGGCGGAGGAGGGGCGGAGTCAGATTGCCCAGCAGGGATAGTATTCTAACGACTCCTTAATGAGCTCCGATTCTTGCCCAGCCCCAGGTCGCTTTATAGATGTCGCCACCTAGTCCTGGAGTATCGCAGTCACCTGGTCACTGGCGCAGAACTCTTGCCTTGCGCTGGCCAGATTGCTGCATAGTAGGGGACGTGACAGTAGGCGGCCTGAGTGACAATCCCTCCCCTACTTGCACTCTCTGGGTAAGCTGCTTAGCCTCTCTGTGCCTTAGTTTCTTCATCTGGAAAATGGGCCATCTGTTTTACCATCCAGTAGTATTGGTAGCTATGAGAATTAAGGCACTGTTAATATGCAAGAGATTGGGAGTTCCTGGCATATAGCCTTAACTATTTATTTCTTTCTTTATTTTGGAGACAGGGTCTTCCTATGTATTTCAGGCTGGCCTCAAACTCAAAGTGATCCTCCTGCCTCCTGAGTGCTGAGATTAGATATGTGCCACCACACTCGGCCTTAACCTTTTTCTTAATCTTCTTCTTATTTATTTGTTTTATTTTTTTGAGACAGGGTCCTGTTATGCACTTCAGGCTGGCCTTGAGCTCACTTTATAACCCAGGCTGGTCTGGAATCTGCAGCGATCCTCCTGCCTCAGCCTCCTGAATGCTGAGATTATAGGTCTGCACACCACACCCGGCTCTGTAACTCATTTTTTTTCCTGTACTTCATTCTTATATACCATTCCTTATAAATAGTTTGCATTTCTAAGTGTTCTACCTCTAAATTCAAATAAAGACAGTGACAGTAGGACAGTGACAGAGTCAGGCTCTGCATGCTCAAGGACCCGCATTTAGTTCCCAATATCAAAATAGGTAGTTATTTCTATTTTATGATTAATAAATTAATAGATACATATCAAAACTCAGATCACATCCCTCCTCTTCTAGTGAGGAAAACTAAATTAAATACTAGACATGGTGGCTTATACCTATAATCCTAAATCCAGCCTGAGGAATTTAACAAGATAGTGAGACCCTTTCTCAAGTTTAAAACCTACTAAATATCCCAGGAGATTTTTTATATATATATGGCTTTTATTGATTTTGGTTTTTTGAAGACAGGGCCTCACTATGTAGCCCATTCTGACCTCAGACTTTAGGGTATCCCCTTCCTCACTTGCCTAAATACTGGGATTACAGGTGTATGCCTGGCCAAGATTTTTGAATTTTAGTTTATTTTTTAGTTGCACTTGGGATTAAACCAAAGGCCTTTCAGAGTTTTGTACTAGTTTGAGGTGTTTTTTTTTTTTTTTTTTTTTTTTGAGACAGGGTTTCACTATGCAGTTTAAACTCACTGTGAAACCCAGGCTGGCCTCAAACTCACTGGGGAGGCACCCTGGGCTCCATTCATAATGCTGCTGCTGTCCTGGGGGTCTCATCTAGAGTTTCTCTTCCTGGAGCACCCCAATATCTGCTAACTGGTCCTCACCTTTTCAGCTCTCTTCCCCATTGTACCCTCAGGTAGGCCTTCCCTGATGCCCTGTCCAAAATACCACTGCAGCTTTCCTTGGATTTGTGATTGAATCCAAGGCCTTCACACTGAGCTACATCCCCAGCCCTTTTAAAACATTTATTTGGATACATTAAGTTGACCAGGCTGGGCTCAAAATTACCTTTTCCTGCCTTGGCCTCCCAGAATGGCCTGTATCACTACACCCGGTTGCATCTCTTTTCCTGCCCCTTCACTGCACATCTAATCACAACCTTGTGCACACAGTGTGTTTAGGGTCTGTCTCTGAGAGAGTGGGGGCCATTTGGTTCTTCTCAGTATCTCCCCTATAAGCCTGGAAGACAGCCTAGTGGCTATAAGTGCTCAATAATTTTTTGCTGAATTTGATGAACAGTCTTGTAGGGTGAGACTGGTATTGTCCCCACTTTAGAGATGACAAGACTGAGGCCAACACGGTGAGGCAAAGTAAGGACTAAGCCAAGGCAATTAAGTGCAGCATTGGCTTGAATTTGAAAATCTGGTTTCTGTGCCTGAGGCATCTCACTTCCCTCATCCTGGTCTCTATCCAGAGATGGATGCCACACAGCCAGAAGTGATAAAATCTGAATTTGACCACTACTTCCATCCAGCCCTTGCTCCTCAGTACTGCTGAGATCCAGATGCCTCTCCAACCCTGGGCAGCTCCAGCTTAGTATTTTGCTGTCCTGCGCATTAATGAATGAAAGCACAACCCCCCTGCCCCAACCCTCTCGGGGAGGACCACAGCCCTGCCCAAGCACCTGGAAGGAGCTAAGGAAGATCTCGAAGCCCAGCTTGGCGAAGCGCAGGGTGCCCTCTGCCTGTTCCTCGATCACCGGAGCGAACACCACCTCGTGCACGCCCAGCAGAGGCACCAGTGTGAGCGTGGAGCGAGCCAGCCTGGGGACAAAGGGTGGTACTGGTCCCTGGGTTCGGAAGACCCCGCGTCTTTCCCCGGGTTCCCCTCATCCTGGGATCCCCTCCCCCACCTCAGTCGATAGTCGGGACAGCGCATCTGCCGTGTCCTCAGCTTGGACAGGAGGATGCCGAGAATGCGCATGAAGATGAGGAAATTAATCTGTGAGGAAAGAGAAGCTGAGCCAGACACGACTCATTCTGGGGGGCAGGAGATAGCTCCATGCTTCCCAGAGTGGGAAATCCTTGAGGACGTCCTGGAGGAAGCGGAACCGGCCATACCAAGATGGTCATGAGGATGGGAGTGCGTATGATCCACCAAAAAGCCTTGACATCATTCCGCTCCCAGCACCTGGGGGAGGCAGTGTAGGAGTCGGAAAACTAGATTTCCGGTTTTGCTAGGTGTGCAGCCCAGGCCCCGCCCACGTCGTTTAAGGCCCACTCACATTTCCTCTAGAAGCCCCGCCCACTGCTAGCAAGGCCCCGCCCCTTCCCAAACATCCGGCTGCGAACTCCCCATTCCTCAGCCCCGCCCACGTTCGCCCCTACCCCAGGGGCCCCGTTTTAACAACAATCTCCGCCCACATCCCTCAAAGCTCCGCCCACCTTCCAGGCCCCGCCCCAGGCCCTGCAACTCACTGCGTGTTCTCGTACAGGTACCTGACGATCACCCAGGGAATGACGAAAAGCGCAGGGGCCCCTGTGCAGACCCCGCCCCCCGCCCCCCACCCCGCCGCAGCCGTCAGCGCACGCAGGGGCCCTGCTAGGCCCATGACCCGCGGGGTTCTCTGCCGGGGTGGGGGGCAGAAGCCTAGAGAGGAAGGAGACCCCCTGAGGTAGACCAGTTGGGCAGTGGGGAGCTGAGGCGCGCTGGGCTGGGCAGGGTCGGGGTCGGGGTCGGGGTCGGGGTCGGAGCTCACCCCAGCCAAGGAGCAGGTAGCCGTGCAAGTGGCCCTCCTCCGAGCCCCCCACAAGCACCAGCAGTCGGTGCAGGTACACGCCCTCCACCAGCAGCCACGTGTAGTTGGCACCCACACAGTACTGGGTCACGATCTGGGCTGTGCGGCAGGTGGCCAGGGCCTGGGGAGGTCAGACAGGCGCAGGAGGAAGTCGGGGAGGCCGGGATGTGCCATTCTCATTGCTTGCCATCAAATATTCTCCCAGTCAGTATCCCCAGTGGATGGTCTTTGTGGTTGGTTTCTCTCACGCTATTCTTTTTCCCTGTATGGACTTTCCCACACTGATCACCTTAACAATTCTCGCCCTCCTTTTTATCACCAGGGTCCTTCCTCCAGAATCCCAAAATATGGCCCCTACCTCGCTGTCTCCTAAGAACTAAACTTTCCTGCTAGTTTATGGACTCTCCCACCGTACCAACAAGTGCTATGGCCTAACTTGCTTCCAGCCTCTCTTCGTCCCCCTGTTCCAGTAATAAATTGGTACCCTCCCCCGGCTGATTTTCACCACCTCTCACTGGTGGAAAAGCCCAATCATAATCAAGATCAAGAGAGACATAATGGAAAATTCCAATAAAGGAGGCGAAGTGATGGAGAGAACTGGACGGTGGAGGAAGTTGAGTTGGGAAGAAGGTCCCTCTCCAAATGTGTTTGCAAGTAGTAAGTGGGCCACGTCCACCTGACCAAGAGGTGGATTCCCATTCGGAGGAACCGAAGGAGGCTCACCTTATTCCACAAGGTCCGGGTCTGATCCCCGGGGTAGGGCCTAGGGGGAGGCAGCAGGCGGTCTCGGGTGAGGATGGCAGCCGCGCGCAGGATGAAGGATGTGAACAGGTTGATGTGGATGTAATTACGAGTGCAGCGGAGCCGCCTGTGGAATTTGAAAGCTGATATGGGGACCCCTGCAGAACTGTCTGTGGCTACATGAGGTTTCTTTAACCACCCACCAGCCCTTCTCCTAGATCCATCGGGGGTGCTGGGAGCGTAGCCACTGTCCCCATCTTACTGGGAAGCCTGAGGCTCACATCTCTACCACCGCCATGCAGGGCTGGGCGTCCCACCTGAAGAAACTCAAAATGAGAAGGGCTAGCAGCAGAGTGGCCAGGGACAGGGAGTAGCCAATGGTGTACACGACCTGCAGCCGCTCCAAGATCCGTCTCTGGTCCTGGTGGGGACAAGGACAGCATGGGAATGAGGCTCCTCCTTCGGGCCCAGGGAGGGGCTTCCCAGTGCCCAATTCTACTCTTGCAAAAGTTGATCTTTTCCTCTGGGTTTCTGCTCGGTAGCCCATTTTTTTCTTGAGCCACCATCTACCCTTGTTGGAGCAGGCTGACCCTCTCTCGCTCCAAGGCTGGGATGTTACCAGCCAGTGTGAGCATTCTGTCTAACACACACTCCATCCACACATGGATTCACCTCGACAGACCACAGGACCCAAGCCAGGACATGTCAGTCCTGAGATGTGATGTTGGGGTCATTGAGAAGAAAGCTCGGTCCTCCCACTGTTGCTGGCTGGTAGGATGTGGGTCTGGTGTTAATGGGGGTCACCTTTTTTACCACATAGAAAAGATGAGGCCAGCACAGAGGAAAAACAGGCATGATACAGTGAGACAGAGAGATTCCCCACCTTGTCATGTGAGTACCTAGATCTCTCTGTACCTGAAGCTGTTTCCTTACACTGGACTTCAACTATAAGCCAGTGTTTCTCTTTTCCTCCGGTAAGCAAGTCCCAGTTGGGTTTCTATTACTTGGAATCTCGACCCCTGAGCAGTACAAGGGGTTTCCAATCCTTCCACCTTCCCTAGACATCCTAACCCGATCCCCTGCCCTCTTGTTACCTGAAGTGCCTCATTCTTCTCTGGGTCCTCACACTGAGTATGGTCTCTCCAAGGTCCCCACTGCCCATCACTGCCACACTGGCGGAGGACGAAGCCTGCAGCCACTAATGGGAGGAGAGGGAGGGAGTCAGAGGCAGAGAGAGGAGGACACAGACTGTACGATGTCACAAGCCCGTGTGTGTCTTACATGATCCATGTTCATACAAGCTCGTGAAAGTGGTACAATTATTAGCTCCATTTTATATATGGGGAAAAGGAGGCAAGAATTAAACAAACTGCCTGAGGCGACATAGCCAGTGAACCCAGGAAGACCAAGTGGAAGAAAACAAAAAATAGAAAAAAAGAAAGAAAAGAAGACAACCCCCCCCGCCCCCCGTTCTAAGAGGCACACGGAGACACTGGGCCTGGCAGAAGAGGGAGGGGACCGAGAAGGGCAAGGGACAGAAGCAGGAGGTTGTGCTGCGAGCTGCAGGGCAGTGGTGCCGGACATAGTGAGCCCTGAGAGCGCCTCACCATGCTGGTGCCAGGGCAGGTACCAGGGGCACGATGCACGGGCAGTGGTGTTGGGGGCAGCGTAGTCCCAGCACACGTACATATCGAAGGAGCCGTTGCAAGCGAGGCCTGGGAGTGGATATGGGGGCCAGAAGCTGGGTGGACCTACTGTGCTTGGACCTCCCGTGGCAGCAGGACCAGGCTTCTCCTCAATCCTTTCAGCCCGGCTCTAGCCACGCCCACTACCTCTCAATACCACGCCCACCCTCCAAAATCCACCCCCGGCTCCCACCAAGGATCCAAAAGCTAGATTCTTCCCCACGCCTGAGGACCTTCCCAACTCAAGCTCCTTTCCATTTCCAGCTTCTTCCTTGAACTCGCCTACATTTTTTTTTTTTTTTTTTTTTTTTTTGGTTTTGTTTTGTTTTTGAGACAGGGTCTCCAAGTAGTTCTGGCCTTTGAACTCACTACGTAGCCCAGGCTGGCCTCGAACTCCCGGCGATCCTCCAGCCTCAGCCTCCCAAGTTCTGAGATTACAGGGGTGCCCCACCACATGGGTTCGAGGCGTCTCGCACTGATCAGGGTCCCACTCCAGCTCTCACTGCCCTCAGGCCAGGCCCATCTACACGCCCCGACACTGTCCGCTTGGATCCCAGAGTTTTCTCTTTCAGAGCGCCCCCACCCCGCCCTCAGCCCTAGGCCCGCCCCTATCCCACCATAGGCCTCAGCTCCTCCTGCACCCCTCCAGCCCCTGGAGTCAACCTGAGGGCGGCTCCGCGGCGCCCAGGGCCTCCTGGCACTCCCGCTGGTACCGTTCCCAGCGCTGGTACAGCTCCCCCGCCGTCTGTGGCCCAGAGTCTGTCTAGTAAGAGAGAGAAGGGAGGATCTCACCTCCCCCCCCCCCCCAGACGTACAAAGGACTCCAGCTCCCAGGCGACTCAGCTTGACTCAGCTCCAGAGGGTCACAAACACCTTAGACAGAAGCTTAGAAGGGCTGTCTCATTTTGGTAGGCAGTATTGGGTAGCCTAGAAAACTCTGAGGGGGGTCTAGAAACCGCAAAGGGATTTGCTACAGGAGACTGCAACCCTTCCAGAAGGTTGGAGAGGGCTGGGGGACTGGATCTCTTCGGGAGGATTTGTGGGGGTCGGGGAGGACTGGAAACCATAATCTGAACTGAGTCTGAGCGAGCAAGGCAAAACTCTCTGAGAGGCCCTTCCCAAAACGTGAATTTTGGGGTCTCTGCGTCCTCACCTGAACCCTCCGGAGCGACAGCAGCAGCAGCAACACCCGCAGGGGCCCAGAGTTCAGCATCATGAAAGCGGAGAAGGGTCTGGAGGGTCCCAGGGCAAAGTCAGCTCCTCTGTCCTCTGCCCTCCGCCTTGGGGCCCCAGCCTCAGCCTCCACCGGCCTTAGGGATTCCTACAGGTGCACTGAAGGCCCGGCCAGCTCCTGATTTGGGGACGGGGCGGGGCTTGTGGTGGGCGGGGTCTCTTTGGTGGGTGCAGCCCCCGGCCGCCCCCAACTGTTGCTAGGGCAGCGGCGGTGGAGGGGAGGGTGTTTGCAAAGGGGGCTGTTGCCCTAGAGCTGCGCTGGGCAGAAGCCTCAGTGTCACCCAGAGTCTAGACGTAGAGACCCCGGAGACCTGAGGATCACCAAGGAGAGGAGCACGTAGAAACTGCCAGCCTAGCCGGAAGGGGAGCTTGAAAGGCCATCTGAGCTTCCATTTGTCCAGCCCAAGGGGTTTTCCAATGGCAGACATCACAAAACTTTCCCCATGTGGTCAGATAAAGGCCACAGTCACTGTGATGACCCTGCCCAGCATCCAGACACTTAAGGACCAGAGAGCCATCAAACCCTGGGCTTAGATCTGCAGGGGTTCACATGCCTCAAAATCCTTTGTTCCAACCCCCAATACTCCCTGGGGCCACTGTGTAGGGAGAGGGGGAGGCCAGAGGGGACCTGAGACACAGGAGACAGGAACAGAGACTCCCAGACACAGCCACAAGGAGACACACAGCAAGACACCAGAAGCCAAAGGACAGAAAAAGACGGACAAAAATGAGAGCTAGGAGACAAAAAGGAGGTAGAAAAATGCAGAGACAGGCGATGGGAAGAGACCTGAAAGTGTAGAAATAAAGCCATCTGGAGGTTCAGCAGAGATGGAGACAGAAAGACAGAGACACTAAGAGACAGGGAGATGGGGGACAGAGAGGCGGGAGCCAAAGTCTAGGGTGAGAAGGAGCCAGAGCTAGAGAGGGACTCACAGGCCCCGGAGCAGAAACAGGGGAGGGGATAGGGTGGCCTCACCTGTCCCCTGTCCTGGGCCTGGACACTGGCTCCCAATGCCCCTGCCACCGCTGCCTCTGGCACCTTGCTGCTCCTGCTCAGGAAGAGGTTCCAGGCACTGGCAGCCTGGGAGCCTGGGGCAGTGGTGGGGGCGGAGCCAGGGCAGAACCCATGCTGGAGGGGGGAGCTAGAGGCAGAACAGGGGGCCTTGCCTGCCCCTGCTGAGAGTAGCACTGTCACTGTCACAAGGGAGAGGAGTCGACATCTGAGGACTCCCCCCGCGGTGTGCACAATCTCTCACCTCCACCTGGCCCTCAGGCCACCGACCACCCCATCCCACCCAGCCTCTTACACACAGGGCCACGCCATGTGCAAGGATCACACACAACCCCACAGGCCGGCCCCACGCAACACAGGACAGAAGCACACACACTGTTCCTTGGAGTCACGTTCATTCACTAGAGTACAACGCCATCCACACTCAGGGAACAGGTCTCTTACCCACCAGGTGGCACCATCCACAGGGTGACACAGCCACCTGTGCAGTGCTCTGGGCTCCTCATACTCACTGGAAATGGTCAGTGTCCTGCAGCACCCAGAATGCTGTCCATGACACACTCGCTTACACATTCACTAGTAGCTCATCACTAACACCCCCTACCCCCTCCCCGTGCTCCCTGAGGGCCCCAGAAGGACAGGAGCAAGATGTCCCCATCCCCATAGGTTCCCAGCTTTGCCCAGAGCAGGGTTCAAGAGATGATGTCAAAGTAGAAAACGCACAGGTTGTGTGGCTACTCACAGGGTCACACAGTTCCCGGAAGTCACACGCAGAATTGGGGGACTATGCAGCCACACAATCTCCAGAGCCCACAGTTGTACCCCAAAACATGCTTTCTAAGTGTCGCCAAGGCACATGCTTCCATAAGTTCCCACATGGTCACACCTAGTGATAGAATCACACAGACACACAACTCTCCACGACAGACAGTCCAGTCACACTTTAAAAGTCACACACACGGGGGCTGGGGATTTAGCTCAGCAGCATAAGCACTTGCCTTCCAAGCAGGCGGTCATGAGTTCGATACCTGGTACCAATTAAAAAAAAAAAAAAAAAAAAAGATGTTCTCAAAAGTCACACACACACACACACACACACACACACACACACACACCCCGATATGCGTCACGTGATCCCACAGGTACACACTGACCCTCAGCCTCACCGTTCTGGGAATCCCCGTGGCCCACAGGTTTCCAGCCTCTGCTTCCAGGCTCTTCCTTTGCCCTCTGTGGGACAGTGTCTCTCCACAGAGGGGGCTCAGAGCCCAGTCCTGGCTCTCAGGGCCTCCTGCTCATCAATCACACTGTGGAGCAGTCTGACCACACACTCCCCTGGGGCTAGGAAATGCGTGGGACAGAGGAGCCTCTGCTCAGTTGCAGAGGAGAAACAGGCCCTGAGGCCTCCGAGGGGCAGGCAGCAAGGGATGGCATGAGGGCTGTCCTGCAAGCTGGGGGGAAACAAGTCTGGGGTGGGGGGTTCCTCACCAGGGCCTGGCCGCTGGGGCCTCCCTGCCCTCTGGCCCACATTCCTGGCGCCCTCTGGGTCCTGGGAAAGCTCCATCTGAAGTGGACAAGGAAAATGGTCTGACACAGGCCGGCACCTCAAGGAGAGGCTGCGGCAGGGGAGGAGTCTGACTGCCTTAGCCCCATGGGGGCAGGAGGGTCACCCCACTGAAGGGGCAGGAGCAGGGAAGAGGAGCTGAGGTGGTGTGAGAGACAGGAAGAGAAAGGAAGGCCCAGAGAGAGCTGAAGAGGAGAGACAGACAGGAAGAGAGGGAAGGGCAGGAGGAGAGAGACAGAGAAAAAGGGAAGGGAGGGGAGTGGAGGGAAAGGAAGAGAAAGTAATGTCTGTAATCCCAGCCCCTGGGAGGCTGAGGCAGGAGAATCACCTCCTGGGCTACATGTGAATTCAAGACAGCCTGAGCTGCACAAAGAGTCTCAAAACATTAAAAAAAAAAAAAAAAAAGAAGAATGAGAGAGACGGGGAAAGGCTGAAGAGCAGGAGAGAGACAGAAGCAGAGAGGTGGGCAGCAGCACTGGGGCCTGTAAGCCAGGCCGGGAGACAGATGCCTCCTGGCCTCCTGGCCCACTCCAGGGCACACAGGACAGGGAGGGAGGGCAAAAGTCCGGGCACCTAACTGGCCCCTCCAACCCTCTGGGGAGGGGACCAAAGATGCCACGCTAGGGCTTGGGAAACTTCAGGCAGACCAGCAGCCTCTGCAGGCAGCCTTATGTCACAGCCCTGCCCCCAGGGAACCCTGGTTCTCATAGCCTGCTCCCCTGCCTCCCCAGCCCCTCCCCAGCCTCTTCTCGCCCTGCCTGCCCCCCTAGTCCCTCTCTGTGGCTCTAATCCTGCCTCCTCTTTTGTGCCGAACCCATTGTCTGGCCTCTGGTGGCAGCCTCTCATTTCTGCCAGCCTGCTTTGCCTTTCCTGCTGGCCTTCTCTTCCTGTCCCTCCCCTCCTTTCTGCTACCCTCTCCCTTCCTCTGGCCTGGTCACCTCTTGCCAGCCTTTAGAAACTTTCTTCTTTTTCTCCCCTCCCTTCCCATCTTCTCTTTGGTGTCTGTCTGTCTGTCTGTCTGTCTGTCTAAATCTCTTTCCTCATTGTTCCCAGGCCTTAGGCTCCTGGCTCTGGTCACTGGGCCTCTGCCACTGGCGCGGAACAGGCAGTGTCCTGCCCGCCTGGGATGGAGCCTTCGAGCAGCTCCTGCCCCCTGGGGCCGTCTGCCTCAGCAGAGCCTGTGGGGAGCTGCAGGGGCCCGGTGCTTGGGCAGATGGTGCAGGAGAAATGAGGCAGAGAGATATGGGGAAAGGGGGCGCCCCGTGGGGACTGAGACCAGAACAGGGAGACTGCACTGGCCCCCTGAGATTCAGGACTTCCGGGGCAGAAGCCTGAGGGCCAGTGACCCAGAGAGAGACTTGTGCTCCAAGAGAGAAGGACACAAAGAGGTGACAAGAGAGAGACAGAAGTGGGCAGAGGAAGACACAGTCTCCAACAGAAAGGGAGACAGAGACCCAAAGAGACAAGAGCCAGATGACAAAGTAAAGGGACTTGGGACACAATGACACAGAGACAGAGGAGACAGCTAGCTATCTACAGACCAAAACCTGCAGAGACAAAGCACAAAAAATACGAATCCAGAGAGGCTTGGAGAGACCAAAACAGATAGAGACCCAGAGAAAGTGACCCAAAGAAACAAGATCTAAGAAACAGGTTGGCTGTGGAGGTGTGCACCCAGGATTCCAGCACTAAGGGAGGCTGAGGCAAGAGGATTTCAAGTCTGAGCCCAGCATGGGCAATTTACAGTGAGACTCTCAGAAAATAAGAAATAAAAACGCACTGCGGATGTAGCTCAATGTGAAAGCCTCAGCTCCTCTTGTTTTTTTCTGAGACTTTGGGGGGAGGGTGGTGCACGTCTCCATAGCAACCGCCTCGGATGCTGAGGGCAAATATTGTCCTGACCACAGCAGCCAGTAATGTTGACATAATCTGGAGCTGGGTAAGGTAGGGGGTTCAGGGGCCCAGAGGCCAGGATGGGGAGCCCGGAAAGCAGAGGGGCTCCCGCTGGGGCTCTCCAGACAGCTCCACCTCCTGCACCTCCGGATCCTGAGCGCACGATCTCTGTGGCAGGACTGCGCTGTCAGTCCTGTGGGGCTCTCTGCTGTCCTCTGGTGGCGGCGGACAAGCTTAGCCCACCCCTTTCCGAGCCTGGAGGACCACAGGCTGACCTTCATGTTTTCCTGCCGGCTTTGGGGTCTGGTTCTATTTCTGACGCGTACTCCCATCCCTCAGGGCAGCGCGTCGGCCAGCGGACGTGCTGAAGCCCAAACCTCATCTTGTCCCTCCTATGCTCTGAACCTGCCGTGGCTCCCCAGTGCCCTCAGGGGAATCACCAGCTCCTCTCCACTGCCTTCCAGGCTTTCCCAGAGCTTTCCTGCCTCTTCTCCATGCCTTCTCAACTTAGCAGACTCTTGGCTCTCCAAACCTTTCTCCTCACTTTACCTAAATGGTCTCTCTCCATTGATTTTTTGAGACAAGGTTTTAACATGTAGTTCAGTCCAGCATGGAACTCATGGTGACCCCCCTGCCTCAGCCTCTCTGAGTGCTGGAGTTACCTATGTGTGGTACCATGCTCAAGTTCTGTATGTTTGATCATCTTCCAAGACCATCACCAGGTCAGTTTTATCCATTCTCTCAGCAAAAACTTTTCTTCATTGGACTCTGAGTGCCAGGGAGCTGGGATGGGGCTCTCCTGGTCAGTGTTGTCTTCTCATGTGTTAGGTACCAGGCTCTGCCCTTGTAATGCTGAAGACTCGTGACAGGCAGCTGTCACCCTGGCTTATGAAGCTTTTACCCCAAAAGAAGACCTAAAGATGGAGACCAACAGACAAAAACAAGAAGGAGAGACAGAAAGACAGTTAGAAAAAAAGTCAGAAAGACAAAAAAGTAGAGACTGAGACAGCCATAAGTCAGTAGAACTAATAGAATAATAATGGGTGGCACTTGGGAGGCTGAGGCAGGAGGATTGCTGTGAGTTTGAGGCCAGCCTGAGCTACAAAGTGAGTTCAAGTATCCTGAAATGCACAGTGAGACCCTATCTCAAAAAAAAAAAAAATGACACACGTGCTAATAACTACTATATACTGGAATTTTACAGCTGCTCACTCTGTAATAGACCTGTAGCAGGTGTATTGTCTCCATTTTCCAGAGGAGGCTGGGGTTCAGAGAGAAGTAACTGGCCCAAGTTGACACAGCTCATAAGTGATGAAAGGAGGGCCCAGCATATGAAGCTTCAAATCCTATTTCCAGACACAGACACAAAGAGAAACAGAAATGAGTGAGAGCCAGGTGTGATGACATGCATCTGTAATCCCAGCACTTGGGAGGCTGAGGCGGGAGATTTTCTGTGAGTTCAAAGACTACACAGCAAGACTCCATCTTAACAAAGAGGGAATGAGGTAAGAAAAAGAAGACTAGAGGCAGAGAGAAAAGACAAAAAATGTGAGCCCTGTCTACCCCACCCCTCCTCCAGTACAGCCCCTCTAAATTCTGCCTGCTGTTCCCTCCATCACCACAGGGAGCCCCAGGATGGGCCCTCCCCAGGGCTCCCTCAGCCCTCTGGGTGTGCATCTTTGCTCTGAGCTCTGCGTCATGACCTTGAAACCATCTGCAAAACATGGTCTGGGTCATCTCTAGGTGTTGACCCTCAGTAGAGAGGTGGAAGGGCAGTTCACTGTTTTCAAAGTCCATTGTCAGATTTTTTTTTTTTTGTCTTTTTTGAGACGGGGTCTCGCTATGAAGTTCAGACTGGCTTTGATCTCACTTTGTAGCCCAGGCTGGTCTCGAACTCACAATGATCCTCCCACCTCAGCCTCCCGAGTGATGGGATTACAGGCACGAGCCACCATGCCCAGCTCATTGTCAGATTTTTTCACCCTCCTCCCTTCCCCCAATTTCCCAGCCAGCTCCGACTGACACCGCCAGCTGGTCCGGGCTGTACAACTGGGACTGTGCCAAAACCCGGACTAAATAACTCAGCTGTGGGAGTCTAGGGCTCTGGCGGGGTGGTGGTGGTGGTGGTGGTGGTGTGCGGACCTCAGGGCCTCGAATACCCAGAAGACATTGGATGGAGAGGTTAGGGAGGGGCTGATAGAGTTAGGGGAGCGGTTTGAATTCCGAGGGTGGAGCTAATCCTGCAAAAATCCGGTTCTGAATTCCGGGAGATTATAATCCCTCCTCGGTCAGAGGGCGGAGGTAATAGCTGGTGGGTGGGGAGAGGATGTAAACACCCATGAGATCCTGAGGGTGGGGCTAGGCGCTCTAAGGGGAGGGGCTAGATTTAATAAACAACCACCAAAAACTCGGCTAGCTTGAGTTTCCGGGCGGCGCTAGTGGATACCTGGAAGGATTTGAGAATAATGTCGGGCTTTGATTTTGCGAAGAGGCTTCTGGGAGTCCAATAAAAGATTAAGGAGAAGATCTGGGAGATGAGGCAGTGTCTTCCTCCACCCCATCCTCCCAGACCTGGGGGCTCCACTTCAGACCCAGATGCAGGAAAGGCTCCGCCCCCTCGAATCCATCTGCATCCCTATTGGCGAAGGAGCCTGCGCGACAGGCTCTCATTGGTTCCAAAGAGGCGAGGAGGGGAGTCTAGAGAGGATACATTCCGGTTGTGGGCGGGGCCAGACAGTACCTAGAAGGACCCCGATGCAGCCAATCCGGGCCTGAAGATTCTGTTGGGGGGTACTGGCAGAAGGTGTCCTGACTCCCTTTTCTGGACTTCCTAGGGGATGACCCCGGTGCCAGGCCTGGCGCCGGCCGCCTAATGCAGGGCTGGCTGAGCCGGGGATGCTGGAACGAAGGGCGTTGCTATGGCAACGGGAGGCAGGGCCTGGGGGGGGGACCGGGCCCGGGCTGGGGCAGGGGGGGCCGGCAGTGGCTTTGGCGGGGCGATGGCGGAGCGCGGCCCGGCTTTCTGCGGCCTCTACGACACGTCCTCGCTGCTGCAATACTGCAACGGTGAGACCCCTTCCTTAGCTCCGTCCCTGCCCCGCCCAGAGTGGGACCCCCTTCCTACCCCATCCTTCCAACTCCATCCCTCGCCTTTGCGGAAGATTCCCTTCTCTCCCCCTGAGCAGCGTCCTGACTCTGGAGCAAAGTCTCCATCCCTGATGATGCCAGGGTCTTGGTTCCCCACCCACTTGAATTTTCCGGTGCTTGCCAGGTGGTTAGATGGAGGAAGGGGGGCAGAGCTCCAGGACCCTGGGGCTGCAAAAAGCAATGGCTTTGGGGTTGGTTGGTCTTGCAACTGCCCTCCTCTGCTGCCTTCCAGTCTTGAGAGCCTCTTCTGTCTCCCTAGCAGAAGGACAGACAGATGGCGGCTGAGGGTGAGATTTGGTGAGTTGAGGGCAGGGTGTGAAGTGGATAGGTCTGACACCAGAGGACTTTTGCTCCACTATAGTCCCCTAAACCCTCCTCCCCACCCCTCCCACCTACTAGACCCTTCCCCTCTCCCTTGACAAGTGTCCATGATACCAGGAGGGGTGCTGTGTCAGGCCTGCATGAGGGGAGCTCAGGGCCCAGGGACCCTGGAAAGAGAGTGGGAGGTGGGGCCTTGGGTCTGAGCTGAGGAGCTGACAGGCTGAGGGGAGTGATCAGAAGCCAGCAGAGGGCTTGGGGGACAGCCTGAGGCCTCAGGAAAACACTGGCTTCTTCGTGGAGGCTAAGTGTCAAGGTGAAAGCCCCTCTCACTGGGTGAGGGCACTCAAAGACCACCTTCCAGTTTGGAGGCCACTTCCCTGAGCACACAATCTTCAGCCAGGAACTCCGGGAATTGGGAAGAGAGCCAGAAGGTTCATTTTGTGGTCCTCTGCCCCTCCAGGAGGCAGGATGACAGGGGCCTAAGCCTGGACCAAGAACGGTTCTGTTACTGAGCCGCTATGTGTCCTGAGCAAGGAGCTTCCACTTTCTGGGCTCCAATGCCTTCCTCCTCCTCTTCTTCTAAAACGGGCAGAAATTCTACAGCTAGTGGGGTTGCTGGGAGCAGTGGGTAGCCTAATAGAGTAGCTAATTCTGTTCTGGATTTATTGAGCACATACCATAGCAGGGAAGAGGGCTCAGTTGTTTTTGAGAGCAGGGCCCAGCACACACAAGCTTGCAATAACAGGTGCCGGGGTTTTTTGTAGTACAAATGGCAGATAGAAAGGGGCTCAGACTGACAAGGAAGTTAGGTCCCCCGGCCCCCCCCCCCTTGGCTGAACGACCCTTGGCCTTTCTCTGCACACCCCCTCCAGCCTCTTTCCTTGACTGATGCGTTGCAAAACGTGATGTCAACAGAATCAGGAGATCCCGCGGTCAAAACTCCCTTTGGGATCCAAATCAGACAGCTCTCTCCTGACTTCAGCAGGCCCCCACTCTCCTCTGCAGGTCCGGAGATGGACCCACGAAGTGCTGGGGGAAGGGCAGGGCCGGCTAAGGCCGGCAGTCGATTGGGTGGCGGAGGGAAGGGGAGGGACCCATGGCTGCACTGCGGAGCCCAGCAGGCAGGCGGGGCGGCCTAGGGATTCGGGATGGCAGGTGCAACCTCCACGCCCTATCCCTGTTTATGCTACCATCTTTACTTCTAGCAGGCTGGGAGCCAGGGCCATCTCGGCTGTGGCCAGCAATGAGTCTGGGTATGAGTGGTCTGGGAGGGAAGAGGGAAGGTGCCCCCTTTCGGGAAATTGGACGTGTGTGTGTGTGTGTGTGTGTGTGTGTGTGTGTGTGATGGAGAAGTCATTTTCGCAGCACCCATGAGTTGAAGAGGGCCAGAGGCAAATTTGGGATGTGGAGTGAAGATGCAAAATAAATAGAGGGAAGGAGGAGAGGAACTGTGACTGGGAGGAGAGATAGGGGGTTAACTCCGCAAGAGGCTACCTTCCTTGGGTCTTCTGGGACCACTATATGATGCCTGCAATGCCTATGCACGCCTCCAGGGAGCGCAGAAGCTCTTGCCGCTGGCTGGAGGGGTGAGGAGGACAGTCCCTCTGTGAGCAGCGGAGGGGAAGAGGAGGAAAGTCTGAGGAACTGAGGTAGTCAGTACCCATAACTATAGCGATGTCAGAATGTTGGAGATCTGTTCTAGAACGTTGATGTTACTAGGAGTACTAGGAGTAGGTTGATGTCGTCCTTAAAATGTTACTCATAGATATTTAGTATCTTTGTCATAGATTTTTTTTCTTTTTTCAGTGCTGAGGATACAACCTAGGGCCTTTGGACTAAGCTACATCGCCAGACCTTTTTGAATTTTTTATTTTGAGATAGGGTCTTACTAACTTGCCCAGGCTGAGCTCCAACTTTCGGTCGTCCTGCCTCAGCTTCCCAAGAGTGCTGGGATCACAGGGGTTCACCACCTCACCCAGCACTCATTGAATCTTGACGCCAGAGCGAGAGGCTTCTAGGATTCTCAGAATCTTCGTTGACAGCAAGGGACTTCCCCAAGGTCACACGGCCAGGGCGCTGTGGCAGAGAGGAGGTGGGGAAAGAGGAGAGAGAGGTGGGGATTTCCTCCTCTCTGCAGAATCTTCCATGCCCCAGGTTGCTGAAGAAGCAGGGAGCGTGGCCTTCTGTCTTCCCCGCTGCTCAGATCCGGGAAATCCGAAGGGGGCCTCGGGCGCTGGAACCCCTTTGAGCCCCGCAGCCCGCGCTCTGCTGCCTTCCAGATGACAATCTGTCCGGCACGAGCGGCATGGAGGTGGACGACCGCGTGTCGGCGCTGGAGCAGCGGCTGCAGCTGCAGGAGGACGAGCTGGCGGTCCTAAAGGCGGCGCTGGCGGACGCGCTGCGTCGCCTGCGGGCGTGTGAGGAACAGGGTGCGGCGCTGCGCGCCAGGGGGACCCCCAAGGGCCGTGCGCCCCCGCGCCTCGGGACCACAGCTTCGGGTATGGTGGCTGGGCCGCAGGGGACGGGGGCGCGGGCTCAGAGCCCTGCCCTCTCACTCACCCTCTGCTCTCCTCCAACGCCGTTCGCTCCAGTGTGCCAGCTCCTGAAAGGCCTTCCCACCAGGACGCCCCTCAATGGCTCGGGACCCCCGCGGCGCGTGGGCGGCTATGCCACGTCCCCGTCTTCCCCCAAGAAGGAGGCGACCTCTGGGCGCAGGTGAGGCACCGAAACCAGACTCCCAGGCTCTTGCAAACCCTCGGAGCCCGAGGTTTGTTTTCTGTAGAGGGAGGGATTTCTGCGCGCGAGCTCCAGTCCGCCGGCCTCGCCGACTCTGCTCCCGACTGTGCTCGCCTGTCGCAGCAGCCGCCGCTACTTGTCGCCGGAGCGCCTCGCCTCGGTGCGTCGCGAGGATCCCCGCAGCCGCACCACATCCTCCAGCAGCAATTGTAGCGCCAAAAAGGAAGGGTAAGTATTGGGTCGGGGTCGTGCCATGAGGAGGGGGGCAAGGTTAGAACGCCACATCGGGTAGAAGATGGGGAATTGAGAGACACAGCCCCGGCCACGAGGGCATCATCAGCCAAAGTGGGGAGGGCTGGTTCAAAGGCAGGTGCAGCACTAGGGTTGAGTGGCAAAGATGGAAGGCCTGAAGGGGCGAGGCCAAGATCGAGGGGCGTGGCCAGAGTCCTCCGGATGGAACTCCGATATGGGGGTGCAAGGTTATGGTCCACTCTGGGTGAGCCAGAGGGGAGGTCAAGATGGAACGGGGCGCGTGGGCATGGGATCTCATTTGAATTTTAGGGTGGGATCGGGGCTGAGCCTTAGAGTTTCTCCAGGGAATGAAAGAATCCGAGGTGGGGTTGTGGTTGGAGTGTGAAAGTGTTGCCAGAATTTTACCCTGGGAGGAATCGAAACCTGGAGTGGGGTCAGAGGGGCTGAGACCAGGTAGGGAGCTGTCAGATCTCAGGAGCCCTGAAGGAATCAGAGGATACTGCCAGGCGGAGGTGGACGGGACCTGGACGGTGGGCGGGGCCGTGGGCGGGGATGCTCTACTCAAGAGGCGGAGCCAATTAGGCTTTGCAGGGACCCAGCACTGGAACTGACCACGTGAAAGTGGCCGTGGTCGGAATGCCTGGTGGGGCCAGCGGAGAGTGGCGGGTGTGTGTGAGGAAGACATCAAATCCCTAGAGACTTAGTGACTTTAGGTGGTGGGTGGGACCAGCATGCTGAGCGTGGTCCACTCTGGAGGCGGGACCAAACCGAGGGGATGGGCGGAGTCAAAGACTAAGGTGGAGTCACGACGCGATGGGCGAGGTCCGCCTGTGCTCAGGCAGGACCTTATGTCACGCCCCGCTCATTTCCATGCCTCTGAAATCGTAGTGAATATGTTGTGTCAGGTACTCTTCCAGGCACTTTTTGCGGGAATTAGCCAAATGCATCCTCGCAGCCAGCTGGGGAGGTGTGATTAACTCCAGGTTTAAAATGCGGAGACCGAGGAGGCAGAGGTTGGGCAACTTGGCCAGACTGCCAGAGAGAGGCAGAACTGGGATTGGAACTCAGCCAGGCCGCCCCCCGCCCCCCGCTTTCACGTTCTCAACCATTTGCCCATCGCTCAAAAGGAGCCTGGTATCAGGACTCCACTGGCCAGATTGTAGGACTCGGTGGCAAGAGCCTGCTCCAGGGGTGGCCGTGGAGGGCGGGGCAGGGCGCGGTGGCGCGGGCGCCTCCCAGGGCCGGAAGCGGCGGAGCCGGTCCCGGCTCCACCCCCGTCCCCGAAGCTCCACCAGCCGCCGCCATGAGTAGCTTTGGACCTGGGTGAGACCCTCTCGCAGACCCCCTTACCCTGCTTTGGGGGCCTGGGTCCCAGGCCACTCCTATCCCCAGGTCCTACCACCTCACCCCTTTCCGCAGGGAGGGAAATGGAGACACGCCCCTTCCCTGAAACTTTTTCTGCTTATAGTTTGGGACGCTGGGGTCGGGAAGGGGGCCGCTGGCGAGCACCGTGCTGATTAGGAGGCAGGATTCTAGACGACTGCTCTCTTCCAGGATTGTGTCCCAGCCACTTCCTGCTGTGTGATCTTTGGCGATCACTGCCTCTCTGGGCCTGTGTCTTAGGCTCTGCAAGATCAACCGAGCAAAGCACACGGCCTGCAGAGAGGCAGAGCTTCGCCCCGCACTCGGCCCCCACAACTCGTCTGAGACCTTCGGGGGCAGTGGGGAGAGGGGAGGATGCGGTAGTGCTTTTCTCCTTTGTAACCGTCTGATTTGCCTGCTGAAGCCATTTCTTCTTTTTTTTTTTTTTTTTTTTTTTTTTTTGCATCCTTTCCTGTTAGCAAAACCAAAGAAGTTATCTTCAGCATGGGTGAGTCAGGAGAGGGAGGGGCTTGGCTGGACACTTGCTTCTTGGGGAGTGGCAGGCCAGACCTGGCTGCTGGCCCTTTGCATCCATGGCCTGGGTTCCTCCACCTGTTTGCAAAAAAAAGTAGCCTGGCATGGTGGTGCCCACCTATGATCCTAGCACTTGGGAGGCTGAGGCAGGAGGATCACTGTGAGTCTGAGGCCAGCTTGGGCTACATTGTGAGTTCAGGGTCAGCCTGCACTACAAAGCACAACCTTGTCTCGAAAATCAAAACACAAAAAATGAATCCTAAGATGAGTGGGAATAGGACTTGGGCTGGCCTTAGCACCTGAGCTCTGTGGATGTCTTGGCAGAGGAAGGATCTGTGAAAATGTTCTTGCGGGGCCGTCCGGTGCCTATGCTGATCCCAGACGAGCTGGCACCCACCTATAGCCTGGACTCTCGCTCTGAGCTGCCTTCCCGCCATCTCAAGCTAGACTGGGTGTATCTTTTGCTTTCATGCCTGGATTTTCCTCCTGTCTGCCTGGGAGGAGACAAAAGTCCTGTGAGAGAGCTGGGGAGGGAGGTACTTCGCACTGGAAGTGGCTTTCCCAGTCTCTGTGGATGAGGGTGAGGAAGACCATGGCTGAAAACGACCTTTTATGGTTCATGAGTGCAGCAGAGGTTTGCTGAGTGCCTTCCAAATGTCCGATTCTCTTTTGACACTAAAGCTGAAGGGGACAGAGGAGAACGCAGCAGCTACAGTGAAATGACAGATTGTTTCAGTCAGGGATAAGTGCTGGGGGCACCATAACTGGGGCCATGTGTTAGGAGCCAGCTGGGTTTTTTTCTGAGGAGGGGACATCTGGGCTGAGAACTGATTGTTTAGAAGTCAGCTAAGAAAGAACCTAAAGGACAATGTCCCAATCTAGGGGCACAGCGGGTATTAGACTCTTGGTGACAGTGAGCTTGGCATCTTTGATAAAGGGAAGAACTCTGACCACTAGGCCTTGAGGTTTTGCTTTTTTGGTTTTTGGTGGGGTTTTTTTGAGACAGAGTTTTGCTATGCAGTTCAGGCTGGCCTTGACCTCACTGTGTAGCTCAGGCTGGCCTCAAACTTGCAGTGATCCTCCTGCCTCAGCCTCCCAAATGCTAGGATTACAAGTGTGTGCCATCATGTCTGGCACCTGTGTCTCCTCTTACAAGGACACTTGTCATTGAATTCAGGGCTCACACTGCTGATCCGGCTTGGTCCATTCTTCTTACCTCTGCAAAGACCCATTTTCAGTATGAGGGTGCAGTCCCAGGTTCTAGGGGCTCAGGCAGGGACCCCTGTGGGGGAGCCCACCACAGGGCTAAGAGCCTCGATGCCTTGGGGCTGGAACTCAGTCAGGCACAGTGTGGAACAGGTTCCTTAACTTCCCCGGACGCCTCCAGCTATGGATACCGCGGCCGAGACTGCAGGGCCAACCTCTGCCTGCTGCCCACGGGGGAGATTGTATACTTCGTGGCCTCGGTGGCCGTGCTCTACAGCGTGGAGGAGCAGAGACAGCGCCATTACCTGGGCCACAATGATGACATCAAATGGTAAGGAAGGCCCAGCAGGGTGGGGGGCCTCTTTCCACTAGGCTTCCAGGGCAGGCGAGGGATGGGGCCAGAGCTTTGCTCCCTCGCCAAAGCCACCAGCTATCTTCAGGCAGCACTGAGTGGGAGAATGTGGTGGGTAATCAGCAGATGTTTGTGGCTTCCCTCAATGCCTGGAGTCTTTGCTTTGGAAAAGTTTGAATGGGCAATGTGGACAGAGCCCAGTGGTGGGCTGGGGCCGGGTGGTGGCCCCCTGAAATCGGTGTGCTTCCCTGGTCACTCTGTCCTGGGCCTGAGCCCTAAGGGCATTTGAGATAGAGACCAGGGCCTCAGTCTCCCTTCCTTCATCCTCTTACTGCTACCAAAGTGTCAGTACAGCAATATCACCAACCAAATGATGGAGCAGTTTGTGGAATACAGAGCCAGGTGTTACAGTAGCGTGAGCTACATAGTGAGTTCAAAGGCAGCCTGAATTACAAAGACCTTGTCTCACAAACACCAAAAAATAAATGAACAATAATAAAGGAAAGACTTGAGCCATCATGAGCCTTTCCTTCCCACTGAGCCCTGTCCACCTGTCCCCTCTCTCCCCAGCCTGGCTGTCCACCCGGATATGGTCACCATTGCCACAGGACAGGTGGCAGGCACCACTAAAGAGGGGAAGGTAATGGAATAGAGCAGGAGAGTGGGAAGGAGGGCGGGACCAGAGCTGGGCCCCCAGGTGACAGACCTCTCTTTCCTGCAGCCACTGCCACCCCATGTGCGCATCTGGGACTCAGTTTCTCTCTCCACCTTACACGTGCTGGGCCTTGGCATGTTTGACCGAGCTGTGTGCTGTGTGGGCTTCTCCAAATCTGTAAGTCCTCAGCCCGCCTTGACTCGCCTCATACCTCCAAAAGCCTATACAAACTGGGTATGATACCAGACACTTGTAATTTCACCACTTGGGAGGCTGAAGCAGGAGGATTACTTTGAGTTTGAGGACAGTTTGAACTACATAGCTAGCCCCAGTCTCAGGAAACCAAAAACCAAACCAAGACAAACAAAAGCTAGGAGAGTGCTTATGTACAACTTCCCAGCTGGCCCTGGGGAACCCCAGCCAAATTCCAGGCCCTGGGCCTCCCAGATCTGTGAACCCTCACAGGCCAAACGTTCTGGTTATTTATTATGGAGGGCAGAGCAGCCTGGTTCATCCCAAACTCCCAGCACATTATTGATCTGTACTCTCCTTAAGTCTAGAAGGGTCCTTGTCTCTTAAGAAATTCCTTCATTCATACATTTACGC